CGAGGTCCCAAGATGGCTCAGGGGTCCAGCCACTTCCAAAGGCATGTGTTGCAAGTCACACGAGGAAGCCTAATTAATAGAGCCACTTCTAAGCCTTCAACTGATTCATCATCCACTTAAATAAAGGGATCCCTGACCAGGCCCTTATTAAGGGAGCACAGGTGGTGTGTTATGAATTTGACCCACCCCACTGAATACTTCTGTTTCTAATACCGTCCAAGTGGGACTGTCTCCCAAGGGCTAATACTGCCATGTGCTAATTACCTCCTTATGCTAACACCACCATGTGCTAATACGTCCATGTGCTAATTATCTCTCATGGGCTCACGCATTCTGTGTGCCAATGTCTTCCAGGGAGTAGCATCTTTCTGGGGGTTGCAAACGGCTTTAATGAAAGTACACAAAGCAACACTTGGAGCGACACTCAGTGTCACCTGGGTCAGTACTGATGACTCCCTGCTTCTCTGCAGCCGTCAAGGTCAGAGTCTAGAAGACCAAGGGTGAGGGCTGTCCCCAGAGTCCCCTCAACTTGATAGCTCAGAAGGAGATTCCTGCTGTCCCTCTGCCAGCCTTTCTGGTTGGGAGAGCAGGGAGCAGAAGGGCCAGAGCCTGGGTGCTGCGCTTGCCCTGGCTCACGGGTGACCTTGGGGAACTCCTTGAGTCAGACCCCCTCGAGCCACCTTCAAGCCGTCTGGATCTGTGCTGGCAGATTCCTGGCTCCAAGGTGAGCCTGGGCCAAGCCGCAGCCTCCCTCCTCTGGCCTCCAGCTGCCGCCTCCGCCCGGCGGTTCCCATGGCGGCAGCTCCAGCGCTCTGTTTACTCTGCTCTGCGTGTGCGATTTTTCCACAACCGGCGTTGAGAACACAATGCCAGTTTCCCCCCAAGGAGGTGCTGAGAGCCCACGCCCGCAGCCAGGCAGCGGATGTGAGTCCCCACTGGGGAGATGCTCTCAGACTCCCATGGCCCCCAGGCCTGGACCTCAGCTTTCTGAGGGGTGCAGAGAGCCCGGTTAGACTGGGGCTCCATCCCCAGAAGCATGAAATCCACGGCAGGTCGCCCACCCTCTGAGATGACTCCCAAGCTGTAGTGTGGGTCACGTGCCAGCCTCTGTGAGGCCCCATGAGCCCACCCCTCGCACCCCTCCGTGGAGGGTCTGCCTCGGCTCCTCCCAGAGGGGCAGCCCATGCCGGGCATCCCCAGGCACGAAGGGTCGGGGATTCCTGGCAGCAAAGGCTTCCTGCCGCAGCTGGCTCCCAGCCAAGTGCAGCCTGGCTGTGCTCGGGTCAAAGCAATAGGCTGACCCTCGCCCTCGGCCTCCTATCCCCAACCGGGAGCAGCCCCAGGTTAAAATGCCAAGACACAGATCCTAAGTGTCACTGGATTTGGTGCTCATAAGTGTAAATACCATCACTGTAAAAAACCGAAATATGGAAATAATCAGAAAACAAGTATCCTTAAGCATCTTGAGTTCCTGGCGTAAGAGAGTGAGTGGCACTTGGTAGGCAGCCTGTGCCGGTGTAATCTGAGCACTTTTTGCCTGACTTGACTCCCTTTATCTCCACTGAGGTTTTCCTCCTTCGACTGTTTATCTGGGCTCACAGAGGCTAAGTGACTTGCCCAAGGGCACATACTTGTTTATGGTAGGCTCAGGAGTTGAACCCTGATGATGGTTCAGGAGCCCAACCGGTGTGGTTGCCTGGAAACGATGACATCTATTGTTCTGAGGTGCGGGGGTGGGACCAGTTGTTTTCCCAGGAGCTGAGAAGAGTCTGCCAGGCACTCTTAGCCTAGCATCATCTAAGGGTCCTTATCCTCAGGGCCTGCCAGGCTGGGTGGCTGAGGGACCCTTGGCTCCAAGTCTCCTCCTGTCTTCAGCCTCAGTCTCACCCCAACCCCAGACTCTTGGTCATTGTTGGGCTCCCCATCCTTCCAGCCAGCCTGCCTCTAGTCCCCCCATTTCAATGCCCTCCCACCTCCCCCAGCTCATTTCCTCGCCTGCTTTGTCTTCTTGTCCTGTCTTTACTCATCATATTTGTTTCTCCTAGTCTGTCTTTCTTCATCTTCTCAGACTCAGACTATCTTGGCCTGAACAGGGTCTGGCATTTAGCAGAATTGTCCCTTCCGAAATAGTGTGACTGTGCCCTTTTTTCAAGGTTCTCGGGGGCCTGGGAGACACCCAGCCCAGGGGTCTGTGTGGTTGGGACAACTGGATATTCACATGCAATAGACTGAAATTGGACCCTTATGTCACACCATATACAAAAGTTAACTCAAAATGAATCAAACAGCTAAAAGTATAAATTCCTAAAAGAAACTATGCTTTCGTGCTCAGTCGTGTCCGAATCTTTACGACCCCATGGACCATAGCCCGCCAGGCTCCTCTGTCCATGGGATTTTCCCAGCAAGTATATTGGAGTGGGTTGCCATATCCTACTCCAGGGGATCTTCCCAATGCCAGAATCAAATGCAAACGCAGGAGTAAATCTTCATAACCTTGAAGTTTGTAATGATTTCTTAGATGTGACACTAAAAGCACAAGCAACAAAAGACAAATAGATAAATTTTATTTCATCAAAATTAAAAGCTTTTACACCGGAGGCAAGGATATTCAGTGGAGAAAAGACGGTATCTTCAGCAAGTGGTCCTGGGAAAGCAGGCAGCTGCGTGTGAAACAACGAAATCAGAACACACCCTCACACCACGCCCAAAAGGAAACTCAAAATGGCTTAAAGACTTTGAGACTTGACACCTAGAACTCCTAGGAGAGAACATAGGCAAAATATCTTCTGACATAAATCATAGCAATGTTTGCTATGGTCCCAGGTCAGGCTCCCAGGCAAAAGAAATAAAAGCACAAGTAAGCAAATGGGACCTAATCAAACCTATCAGCTTTTGCACAGCAAAGGAAACCATAAACAAAACAAAAAGACAACCTATGGAATGGGAGAAAATATTTGCAAATGACGTGACCGACAAAGGCTTATATTTCCAAAATATTCAAAAGTTCATACAACTAAATGTAAAAAAACAACAAAACAACCCAATCAAAAAAAAAAAAAAAAAAAGCAGAAGACCTAAACAAACATTTCTCCAAAGACATACAGATGACCAGCAGACACACGAAAAAATGATCAATATCACTATTAGAGAAATGAAAATAAAAATTACAATGAGGTATTATCTCATACAAGTCAGAATGGACATCATCAAAAAGTCTACAAATGGGAATTTCCTGGTCGTTCAGTGGTTAGGACTTGATGCTTTCACTGCTGAGGTCCTGAGGTCAGTCCTTGTTTGGGAAACTAAGATAACGCAAGCTGTGTGACGAGGCTAAAAAAAAATCTATAAATAACATGCTGGAGAGCATGTGGAGAGAGGGAACACTTACACACTGTTGGTGGGAATGCCAGTTGGTGCAATCACTATGGAAATAGTATGGAGTGTCCTTAAAAGAACTAAAAATAGTTATCATATGATCCAGAAATCCCACTTCCAGAAAAGATGAAAAGTCTAATTCAAAAAGATAGATGTACCACAATGTTCACAGAAGCACTATTTTTAATAGTCAAGATATAGAAACAAAGTAAGTGTCCATCAGCAGATGAATGGATAAAGAAGACGTGGCAACTCCTGGGCATACACACCGAGGAAACCAGATCTGAAAGAGACACGTGCACCCCAGTGTTCATCGCAGCACTGTTTATAATAGCCAGGACATGGAAGCAACCTAGATGCCCATCAGCAGATGAATGGATAAGAAAGCTGTGGTACATATACACAATAGAATATTACTCAGCCATTAAAAAGAATACATTTGAATCAGTTCTAATGAGATGGATAAAACTGGAGCCCATTATACAGAGTGAAGTAAGCCAGAAAGATAAACACCAATACAGTATACTAACGCATATATATGGAATTTAGAAAGATGGTGACGATAACCCTATATGCAAGACAGAAAAAGAGACACAGATGTATAGAACAGACTTTTGGACTCTATGGGAGAAGGCGAGGGTGGGATGATCTGAGAGAACAGCATCGAAACATATATATTATCAAGTGTGAAACAGATCGCCAGTCCAGGTTGGATGCATGAGACAAGTGCTCAGGGCTGGTGCACTGGGATGACCCAGGGGATGGGATGGGGAAGGAGGTGAGAGGGGGGTTCAGGATGGGGAACACATGTAAATCCATGGCTGATTCATGTCAATGTATGGCAAAAACCACTACAATATTGTAAAGTAATTAGCCTCCAACTAATAAAAATAAATGGAAGAAAAAAAGATGTGGCAGATACACATATATATGCAATGGAATATTACTCAACCATAAAAACAAATGCCACAAAGTCATTTGCTGCAGCATGGATGGACCTAGAGATCATCACACTAAGTGAACTAAGTCAGACAGAGAAATGACACCACTTACATGTGATATCACTTTTATCACATATAATCACTTACATGTGAAATCTAAAAAAATTATACAAATGAACTTATTTATAAAACAGAAACAGACTCACAGACATAGAAAACAAACTTACATTAATAGTTACCAAAGGGGAAAGGAGAGGGGATGGATAAATTAGGAGTTTGGGATTAACAGATACACACTACTATATATAAAACAGATAAACAACAAGGACCTACTATATAGTACAGAGAGCTATATTCAATATCTTGTAATAACCTATAATGGAAAAGAATCTGAAAAAGAATATATATATATATATATACACACATCACTTTGCTATGCACCTGAAACTAACACATTGTAAATTAACGGTACTTCAATTTTATTTTATTTTTTTTTGTGTGTGTGTGTGAACACAACTTTTCATTTCTCTTGGGTAAATACTCAGAAGAGGGATTGCTGAGTCTCCTTATTTTACATAATTTTTTGCTAAACATCTTCATGCTTTCATTTGGGTTCAAATTTAGGATACATATCTAGAAATGGATAACAGATATTCCGCAAGACTCCTCAGTCCATTGAATTCTTCAGGCAAGAATACTGGAGTGGGCTGTCATTTCCTTTTCCAGGAGATCTTCCCGACCCAGGGATTGAACCCGGGTCTCCCGTATTGCAGGCAGACTCTTTACCAACTGTGGTCCGTACCCCTCCGCTCCGCTCACTGGATGCTGATCGATGGGGATCCAGGAGCCCACGAAATGGGCATTCCCAGTTGCAGTGGAGACCCCTGAGACCTGGGACCCACTGCCTAGGAGCTCAGAGGAGGCACGCTCCACCCCCGACGCGGGCCAGGTGTGCTCCGCCCATACGCCCACTTCCGGGAGAGGCCCGTGGGGCCTCCCTACTGCCAGCCGGGTGAAATCCATCCAGGAGCAAATCCACCCCAAGGAGACAACCCAAGCTTTTTATCAGCTGTGAAGTGAAGTCGCTCAGTCGTGTCCGACTCTTTGTGACCCATGGACTGTAGCCTACCAGGCTCCTCCGTCCATGGAATTTTCCAGGCAAGGGTACTGGAGTGGGTTGCCATTTCCTTCTCCAGGTTCAATTTTAAAAATTAAAAACTTTAATGCATCAACGAAACTATTAGAGTAGAAGGACAACCCATTGAAAGGGAGAAAATATTTACAAATCATATATCTGGTAAGAGTCTAGTTTCCAAAAGACACGGAGAAGCAGGAAGTATCTTACTTTTGCTCCAAGATTTTTTGGAGAACACATTCTTTAAATGTTAAGATATATTAGTAGAGAATGCAGAACTTACACAAAATTTGAGCTACTGTGGGAGACATTAATAAATTTGGAATGTGATGTCAAGCGTGTAGGGGGAATGTGAATTCAGCTTCTTGCTCTCCTGCCGAGAAGGGACTCATGTAGGAGAGTTCACAAAATTCTGCAGGGCTCTGTGGATGGAAGGATGCAGAGGACGGCCTTAGTGGGCAGACTGGGTGGGCATACCACAGATATAGTCAGCCATCAGGAGGAAGCCTGGACCTTACTGGATCCGTCACCACCATCGCTGGGCCTGGCACAGCACCTGGCTCACTGGAATGATGTGGGTCACATACCCAGCCCTGGGTGAGTCACGGCAGCAGGGGAACAGATGGCTCTGGTTGGCCAGGTCTGGGTCCAGGCCAGGAGCAGGCATCCTGCTGGCTGAGTCCTAGGGAGAGAAAAACTTCTTCGAGGACTTCCCTGGTGGTTCAGAGGTAAAGAACTCACCCGCCAATGCAGGGGACACAGGTTCGATCCCTCGTCTGGAAAGATCCCACATGCCACAGGGCAAATAGGCCCGTGTGCAACCACTACTGAGCCTGCGCGCCTAGAGCCTGTGCTCCGCAAGAGAAGCCGCCGCGATGAGAAGCCCGCACACAGCTGCAAAGACCTGGCACAGCCGTAAATAAATAATTAAAAAACAAAAAAAAGAAACCTTAGAAAAACTGCAAGAGGAGGAAAAATAGCAAGAACAGGTGTTTTACATAGTATTATATCAATACATGTATACTTACTGACGTGAAAACGTTCACAACGTATTAATGAGAAAACAAATTAGAGTGTCAACAATGTTTTTGCCTATAGGGAAAATCTCACATTTGCAGTAAAAAACATTGGTCATCTTTGGTGGTGAGATTATGGGAAATTTTATCTTTTTGCTTATCTGTATTTTGAAAAAATTTTTTTACAATAAATGTGTAGCACTTATTAATAAGAAAGGAAAATAAAGGTTTTTTTTTTTTTTAAACAAACATAAAAAAAACCCTGTCTATTGTGAGAGCTTGCTTTTTCAAGTTTTGTTTTTAAATTTGTCACAGGGTTTGGCTTTCTGGGCTCCAAGCTGGAATATGCAGCGGGTTTCCTGCTTGGGGAATTGTGTTTTTCCAGGTTGCCTGAGAGGCACTGGGAGTTTGGAATAAACAGGAGTTGCCCATTTCTCATGGAGCTGTGACTCTGAGCAGTGCCTACACCTGGGTCACCATGCCACGCTGGATGCTGAATCCCAGCCACAGGCCTCAAGATTCTATATTTGATTTTACCCTTATCTGCATGAGCTGTTACTCACAGAATGTTAATGTTGTGAGACTTTTCCTTAAGGGTAAAAAATATTTTTCTTATATAAATGGGATTGTTGACATTATTTATAACTCATTTTTTTCATTTAGTAATATGTCTGTCTTTATGCCATATCCCATTATCTTGAAATTCTGTTGCTTTGCAGTAAATTTTGAAATTAAGAGTGTGATTAACATATATATAATTGATTATATTCAATATATATAATCAATTACATATTCAATATATAATTAATATAATTGATTATTTACATATAATTGATTATATGTATATAATCAATTATATTACTACATATTTGTCATGAAAAATCTGAAAATGAAATTAAGAAACCAATGAAAAAAAGTCCACAGAATCAAGAATAATATAATACTTAGTAAATTTAACAAAAGGAGTGCAAAATTTATCATGTGAAATCCATGAAATGTTGAAAGAAATTAAAGATCTAAACAGACTTTAAAACATTGCATATTCATAGATTAGAAGACATTGCTATTAAGATAGCAATAGTCCCCAAACTGATTCATTTTCATATAAGTATTATTTAATTTATATCTATATTGATCTTATATTCTGCAACTTTCCTGAAGTCATTTGTTAGTGTTGGCAAGTTTTTAGTGAATTTTTAGTTTAGGATTTTCCATATATAAGATTATGTCATCTGCAAATAGAGATAGTTTTACTTCTTCCTTTTCAATCTGCAGTCCTTTTTTTTCTTGGCTTAATTGCCTTTTCTAGAACCTCCAGTCCAGTGTTGAGTAGAAGTGGTAAGAGTAGATTCCTTGTGTTCTTCCTGATACCGAGATGAATCCATCCAGTCTTCCACCAGTAAGTATGATGTTAGTGGGGTTTTCATAGATGCCCTTAGAAGATTTCTTCTATTCCTATATTGAGTGTTTTAATGAAAGAGTGTTCAATTCAGTTCAGTCACTCAGTTGTTTCCAACTCTTTGCGACCCCATGGACTGCAGCACACCACGCTTCCCTGTCCATCACTAACTCCCAGAGTTTACTCAAACTCATGTCCGTCGAGTCGGGTGATGCCAACCAACCATCTCATCCTCTGTCGTCCCCTTCTCCTCCTGCCTTCCATCTTTCCCAGCATCAGGGTCTTTTCCAAGGAGTCAGTTCTTCGCATCAGGTAGTCAAAGTATTGAAATTTCAGCTTCAGCATCAGTCCTTCCAATGAATATTCAGGACTGATTTCCTTTAGGTTTGACTGGTTTGATCTCCTTGCAGTCCAGTGGACTCTCAAGAGTTTTTTCCAACACCACAGTTCAAAAGAAAGAGTGTTGGATTTTGTCAAATACTTTTTCTGTGTCTTTTGATGATCCTGTGGTTTTCGTTTTTATTCTATTGATATGTGCCATGCTAAGTTCCTTCAGTCGTGTCTGACTCTGTGACCCCATGGACTGAAGCCTAGCAGGCTCCTCTATCCAAGGGACTCTCCAGGCAAGAATACTGGAGTGGATTGCTATGTCCTCCTCCAACAGATCTTCCCAACCGAGGGATCAAATCCACATCTCTTATGTCTCCCGCCTTGGCAGGCAGGGTCTTTACCACTCGCACCACCTGGGAAGCCCCATTCTATTGATATGATGTATAGCATTAACTGATTTTCAGATGTTAAAACAACCTTGTGTTACTGTGATGGATTCCACTTGCTCACAGTGTATAATTCTTTTATATGCTATGGATTTGGTCTGCTAGTATTTTGTTGAGGGCTTCTGAATCTATATTCATAAGCAACATTAGTCTATAGTTTTCTCTTTTTTTAGCCTATAGTTTCCTTCTCTGGTGCTATCATCACAATTTGGGTGCTGGTGGTACTAGCCTCATAGAATGAGTTGGGAAGTATTCCTTCCTCTTCCATTTTTGGAATAGTTTGTGAAGAATTCTTTGGTTTTAATTCTTCTTTAAATTTTGGTAAAATTCCGCAGTGAAGCCATCTGGCCCTGGGCTTTTCTTTGTAAGTAGTGTTTTGATTACTAATTCAATGTTTTGTTAAAGACTTTCTATTTCTGGAAATACCCTGGCATTCCAGTGGTTAAGACTTGGCACTCTCATTGCCATGGGCCCAGGTTCAATCCTTGTTTGGGGAACTAAGATCGTGTAAGCCACAGTGGTACCGAAAAAAATTTTTTTTCTATTTCTTCCTAAAGGTAGTCTATATCTTTATAGGAATTTATTTGTTTCTTCCAAGTTATCTAATTGATTGGTGTACAATTGTTCAGTCTTCCTTTATAATCCATTTTATTTCTGTAAAGTTGGTAATAATGTTCCTTCTTTCATTTCTGATTCTAGTAATTTGAGGGTTCTTTTTTATTTTCATGGTCAGTTCAGCTAAAGTTTGTCAATTTTGTTGATCTTTTCAAAGACCTAGGGTTTGATTTCCTTGATTTTTTAATCTATTTCATTTATTTCCACTCCAGTCTTCATTCTGCTTTCTTTAGGCTTAGTTTACTCTTGTTTTACCATTGTCTTAAGGGAGAAGTTAGGTTATGGATTTGAAATCATTCTTCTTTTAAAAATATAGGCTTAAAATTTCTTGTAAGTATGCTCTTTGGTGTTTTATTACCTTCATTTTTATTTAATTCATTTTCTAATTTTCCTTTTGATTTCTTCTTTGACCCATTGATTATTTAGGAGTATTTTCATATATTTATGAGTTTGCCAAATTTCTTTCAACAGAATAACTAAAAGACACATTTGTGGGATTTCCTTGATGGTCTAGTGGTTAAGACTCGTGATTCTACTGCAAAAGATGCAGGTTTGATCCTTGGTCCAGGAACTAAAATCCTGCATCCCACTTGGTGCAGAAAAAAAAAGAGAGAGAAATTTGTGTACATGTTCTAAGGATACATTCCTGGGTGTGAAAGTGCTGGGCTAAGGGTAAATGTATTCAGCATTTGCTTAGATCTTGCAGAAATGTTGCATCAGTTTGCACACCCACCAGCAATGTGTGAGAGATCTGTATAAGGTAGAATTTTCTAGATTTCGTGGACCTCCTGGATAAAACAATTGTTTTGAATTACATTTCAATTATAAATGAACCTGCACATTTTTTCCCAGCAATGTGTGAGAGATCTGTATAAGGTAGAATTTTCTAGATTTCGTGGACCTCCTGGATAAAACAATTGTTTTGAATTACATTTCAATTATAAATGAGCCTGCACATTTTTTCAAGTGTTTTTTGGCCAATCGTATTTCTTTCTCTGGAATTTATGTTGTTGTGAAGTAGGAATCAAACTTTACTATGCAGGTGGCATGGGTTTGATCACTGGTCGGAGAACTGGGATCCCATAGGCCATGTGGTATGGCCAAAAAATTTAAAAAACAAAAACAAAAACAGGCTTTTCAGATCCACCATCTGTGCCGGAACCGCGGCCCAGAAGACTCAGCTCCATCCACCAGACACCAGTCCCTCCCACCAGGAAGCCTACACAAGCCCTTGGATCAAATTAATCCAACCAGGGGGCAGACACCAGAAGCAAGAGGAACTATGACCCTGCGGCCGAAGAAAAGGGACCACTGACACAGAAAGATTCTAGGGGCAGAGATGCAAAGTCCAGCCTATCTAATACAGCGGCCGGAAAGGGGACCCATTTTTAGGAATCATCCATGAGCTCTATGGGCATGATTTGCATGTGAACACGGGAGCACAGCTGCACTTACTGAAGAACAGACCTGTGCTAATAACTGCCGTAAGACCCCCCTGAGTGGAGAGATGGTGGGTGACTGCGTTGTGGTCTAGCCAGCCTGTAAGTGCCATGTAGTGAGGTTGGGTGGCAGTGTCCCTGTAGGAACTGGACATCACCACTGCCTATCAGTGTGGGAAGAACTGGACGTGGGAGAGACAGTGAGGACTTGGAGCAGGGGCTGGTGCAAGGTGCTTTTTTTATTTTAAAACTTACTGTATTGAAGTATAGTTGATTTAAAATATTGTGTTTATTTCTACTATATGGCAGATATATATTATAAGCCTATATATGTGTGTGTATACATATATATATACACACACACACATATATATATACACACACACATACACACACACACATATATATGTACATATATATATATACACACACACATATATATAGGCTTCCCAGGCAGCTCAGTGGTAAAAATCCACCTGCCAATACAGAGGACGCAGGAGACTTGGGTTCAATCTCTGGGTTGGGAAGATCCCCTGGAGGAGAAAAGGGCAACCCACTCCAGTATTCTTGCCTGGAAAATCTCGTGAACAGAGGAGTCTGGTGATCTACCGTCCATGGGGTCACAGAGTCAGATGTGATTGAGCACGCAGACACACATATACACACATATATACATTCTTTTTCATATTTTTCCATCATGGTTTATCGATGAACAGGATATGGAATATAGTACCCCATGCTATGCAGCAGGACCTTGCTGTTGATCCATTCTATGTGTAATCGTTTGCATCTGCTAACTCCAAACCGCCATCCATCCTGGCGTAAGGTTTTTTAGACGGGGGAAAGGTAGTGCCTGTCCCTTCTGAATCCCAAAGTGCACTTCCTCCCAGCGGGGAACCCCTCTGACTGGTGACAAGAGCTGGTCAGTCACCTGTGGGAGACTTGGCTGTGCTCTGGCTTCTGCCTGTTCTGCCGTGTCCGGCTGACAAGCCTTGATGAGCCGGCCAGCCCGGCCTTGGCTGACATGGGGAGGCAGGGGAAGGCCTGTGTCCACAGCCAGCCTGCCGGGCATAGGGAGCACAAGGCCCCCACGCCAGCTGGACAGGGTCCACCGGAAGGGGGCTTTCAGGGTCAGGAGGCAGGCTTGGGAAGGTCAACGGGCCACCCTCTCAGGAGGCTCTCTCTCCAAGCCCAGTCTCGGCGAGGGAGAACTTTGTCATGAAACTTCCTTACAACTCATTTTTTCAAATAACTTGCTGGTAAATTAGAAAGATGTCACCCACCTCCCATTACAACTGAGTTTGCTCAGCTTTCCATACCTTTCTATCCATGTTTGCCTTACGTAATTTCTGGTGGGATTTGGTACAGAACCCTGTTTTAATTGCAAATTACACACTTTATACACAGAAAATATTGATCCATAAAGTGACATTTGGTCTAGTTTAATTTTTCTTTTTTTGTCTTGAGTTGCATTGCCTGATACTAAGTGACCCTGATTTGCTGTTTGCATCTGTTTGACATACTTGTTCTCATTCTTTTCCATGTAACCTTTTTGTTTTCAGATCGGTTGTTTGGGGACGTTTCTCTTCACTTCTGCGTGGGAGATGTCTACACTTGCAAATGGATGAGGGGCACGTCGCCTGACCGGGTAGCTGAGCGGTCGAGCAGGTGTGCTGGTGCGACCCCCGGGGCTCCTGTGTGGGCTTCTCCCAGCACATCGCCTGCCCAGGTGTCATGGACACTGTGTTGGGCCCACAGCCTGCAAATTCAGGGTCTCCCAGGTAGCTTTGTAAACATAAGTTAGATCACGACTAGAAAACATCAGTTAACAACACAGGGAAGAGTCCCAGGAAGAGACAGGGACAGGCTCTCAGCACTGGGCAGTCAGGGGCGGGCAGTGGTCAGGCTGGAAAGGAGACGAGAACCATCACTTGGTTCATTATCTTCACCTTCGTGAGAGCCCAAGAGGGAAGCAGGACGGGGGAGGGAGAGGGAGGGGGAGGGAGAGACAGACAGACCGACCTGGGATCTAGCTTTGCCCGAAGCCAGGTGCAACTCTTGGACTTTTTCAGATTTGTTAAGTCAATAAATTCTCTTTTTAAAATTAAGTTAGTTTGGAGTGGGTTTAACTTGCAACTGAAGAAATCCCAGTAAATCCAGGGCAGTGCCTCCAAACTGAGTTCGGAACCTCACTGAGCAGGAGCAAGGCTCCGTTCAGTACCAAGAATCCCTAGAAAGGAGAAGAATAACTTGTCAATGTTTGCAGCTTAATGCCATCTGTGGCTTGACTGGCTGCTGTCAGGGGTCTCTCTGATTTTATGTCAGGAATTTTTGTGTATTTGCTTTTCTATATATCGTTCACATGGTATGTGATGAGACAGAACGACAACATTTTTTCCAACTATTGGAGCCAAATTGTTGCCTAAATTTGGGTCAGAATTTTTCAGCTCCAAAACAAACATTTTCTCTCATTCTCTCTCTTACACACACACACTAGTCTGGAGGCTAGTGATTGTAGGGCTCATGCTCAGTGTAACTAAGGGGTCAGGCTTCTCCTTCTGCCACTTGTTTTTGCCCATGGCAGCAAGACTGCTGCCTGAGTGCCAAGCATGGTGCCCCCTCTCCACAAAGGGAACAAGCAGGGGCCGGGGCAAAATCCCTTCCCCTCCCTGCAGGCTTCAGCTGAATTCTCTTCAGCCTGACTGGGTCACACAGCTACACTGGCTGCAGGAAGGGCTGGGAAAGTGAACATTCAGCAGAAAGAAATGAGATTACCGAGGGGGACGCAAACCAGTCGTGACTTTCCTCAGGAGCGAGTGGAAGGTCCTACCTTTCTTGAGAGTAAAGCATCACCAGTCATCACCTGCAACAAAATTGGATTCTGTTAGCAGGGAAGGGAAGTGGGCGAGACAAGGTCGTGAGTGACAGGGCATCACCATAAGGGGTGCACAGGGCCATGTTTACGTATGGCCTCAATCTGGAGGCTGGGTTATTTATTTTTTAATATAAATTTACCATTTTAAATAAAATGTAGTCTGGAGAATCTAGTATATGAAAACACTAGGCTTAAAATTCTTGAAAATAACAGAATTTAAAGCAGGAACTTGGGTTTTTAACCAGTGGTTTATTTAAAGCACTGATACCGCGCATGCTTCTGACTGGTTGAGTGAACTTATTTATTGAATGAATGAGCGAGCGCCTGCCGTGGTGACAACTGGGCCTGAGGAGAACTAGGCTGGTCTGGCTCTGCCACTACTTCTGTGCAATTTCAGGATGACCTCTCACAGCTTCTCGTTATTTCTCATATGAAGAGGCTCGGCTGATTGAACTGTTTCTCTTCTGTTCTGAAAGGCTTGAGTTCAAATTGCTTTTGACCTCTGTGACCTTCTATTGTGTGTGCTTGGTCACTCAGTCGTGTCTGACTCTTTACAACCCCACGGACTGTAGCCTGCCAGGCTCCTTTGTCCATGGGATTCTCTAGGCAAGAACACTGGAGTGGGTTGCCATGCCCTCCTCCAGGGATCTTTCCAACCCAGGGATCGAACCCAGGTCTCCCTCATTGCAGGTGGATTCTTTACCATCTGAGCCACCAGGGAAGCCCAAGAATACTGGAGTGGGCAGCCTATCCCTTCTCCAGGGGATCTTCCCAACCCAGGAATTGAACCAGGGTCTCATGCATTGCAGGTAGATTCTTTACCAGTTGAGCTGCCCAGGAAGCCCTGTTGTTTACTCATAGGTTAATCTCCTCTGCATTTCTAGCCTAGCTAGGTCTCAGACAGATAGAGCACAACACAGGCTCTCTGGGCCAACTTTAAAAGACTCAATGAATAAATGTAAATGTTGCTCAGGCAACACTGCCTGAGTATCAGGCCTGAATATTCATTGGAAGGACTGATGCTGAAGCTGAAACTCCAGTACTTTGGCCCCCTGGTGCGAAGAACTGACTCCTTGGAAAAGACCCTGATGCTGGGAAAGACTGAAGACAGGAGGAGAAAGGGACGACAGAGGATGAGATGGCTGGGTGGCATCACCAGCTCAATGGACATGAGTTTGAGCAAGCTCTGGGAGTTGGTGATGGACAGGGAGGCCTGGGTGCTGCAGTCCACTGGGTCACAAAGAGTAGGACACGACTGAGCGACTGAACTGAGGCAACACTGCAGGATGTGCAAGGGCCAACGTGTCACCAACAGGCCCTAGAGGGGGAACTCGGGGGCTGCAAACACCTTGGGAGCACCAGTTCTGCTGAGCCTCATGCTGATCCAGTTCTCTCCGGCCTCAGGATGATGAGGGTCGAGGTTGGGTCTTGGGTCCTGTCCCCGGATTCCTCAGAAGGCAGGCTGGGGGCTTTTGGGGGACGTGTCAGGTGCTTTCAGACCAAAACAGATGGGCCTTGAAGGTTGGTTAAGTCCGGCCCCCACCAGTTTCTCTTCTCTAATTCACAAGACAGCCCTCAATACCAGGAAAGCAGCTGAGGAGGGGGCAGAGCAGTAAGCAGCAGACCAGTGACTTGAAGGAGGAAGCTCGAGGCCCCGGGATGGGCAGACGTTGGCCTGGTGTTGAGTCAGAAGCAGGTCCAGAAGCAGGCAAGGAGGAAGCCAGGCCCTGGAAAGGTAGCAGCCCTGTGATCAGACCACCTCTGCCATCCTCCCCTCGGCTGGCAGCACGCACGCCCTGTGAGCTGTTAAGAGGTGAAGGATGCGTGGGATGGGGTTGGGGTGTGTCTGGAGAGGAGGTGACTTGGGTGACAGTGTGTGCAGACCCAGGGAGCAGGGTCTGAGGATAAGACCCTAGAGCACAGACCTGTGGGTGTGTGCAATCCTCTGAGTGGCTGTGCATAGGAGGGACAGACCCAGGGAGCAGGGTCTGAGGATAAGACCCCAGAACACAGACCCAGGGGAGGGGCAGGAGGAGCAATTGGGAGGGGGATGGGAGCTAAGAACCTTTCTGATTCCTTCCCACCCCAAGGCCTTGGGAGTCTAGAAATTCCATCAGTACGGACTTGGTAGAAACTCCAAGCATCATCTTCATAAGCAAGCAGAAGGAGGCGAAGAAAGGGAAAAAAAGAAAAGCCCACACACAAGTGTACCTTTTTATATAGAATTTGTACAATATATTTCTCTTCATTTGCATATTTTACCCACAACTTAACATCCTTTTTACAGGCTGAACTTACTCAGCTGATATAATCAAAATTCTTTCTTTCAACCAAATAAGAAAAATTCAAAATCGTAAACCCGTAAGAAAACAAATTAAAAACGATGATGAAAATAAGTCACTCCCCGTAAGGAACAGCGTCTGTCTGTACAATATACATGGTTTGGAACAGATTTCTTTATAGATTAGGCACATGTTTCCACAACACCTTCATTCCTGCCAGTCCTACCTCACTCCAGGCAGTCCCGCCTCCTAAGAAGGATCAGAGGGCTGTCCGTCTGGATGGAAATCACTTTTGGATACTGCTGGCCCGGCTGGGGACCAGGGGAGTGGGCCTGGCTCAGCAGCGCCACCCAGTGGCTGGAAGCAGAGGCGGTGGGAGGCAGGGCGCTGGGCCGAGGAGGGCGCTGGCAGGAGAGCAGCAGTTGTGGGTGAAGGAAAACCGAGGCTTATTCTATGCAAACTGAATACAGAGAGGCCAGACTAGCAGGGGCGGTGTACAGAGAAGCTCTAAAGAGCCCAGTGTTTTATTTACAGTTCTGTCTTCCTGGTGGGAGGCTGGGGGACAAAGCCAATGGCTGCTGCCATGAGGGCTGTGACCCCTGCGGCTGCTGCGAGTCTGGGGGGTGAGGGGGTGCAGGGTGAGGGGGAGCAGTGAGTACACCATCCCTGCACCGGTGAGCCCGAGCCGACGGCAGGCACCTCTCCTCCCAAGCTCGGGGATCTCTGTGACCTCCCTCCTCACTGGGAGACAACACCTGGGGCTGGGCGGGATAGAGCCTGGGGCCTTCTTTGCGGGTGCCAGCGGAGCAAAAGGTGAGAAAGGGGTGTCTACCAAGCCAGCAGCGCTCGTCTACTCACACCCCAACACCATGGGAGACCGGGCCAGGCCCGGGCTGTGCCCATGTCAGGGTCCTGGGCTTTAGGTCACCAAGCCTCGGGTCCTGCCCTGTTTCCATCTCTTGTGAGTTCTCCCTTCCATAAGGGCTCCACGTGCAGCTTGGGGCTGGGCCGAGAACCCAATTCTAGGGCCACAGAAGGTTGCAGCACCTCGGCTTCCTGACCCAGAAGGCGGAAGTGCTCCAGCAAGAAGGGGATTCCAGGACCCCACAGCCTTGGGCTCTGCAGAGGGGGCTTCCAGGGCTGTGGCATGTGGATCTGCTCAACCCCGCCTGGCTATGATGAGCCTTCCGTGGGTTTTGCCCTGTGTGGGGGGTGACATGCTTGGGCCAAGATCCCCGCCTTAAGTGGCAGCTGGCTCTAAGGTTCTTCAAGTGACGAGTCCCATTGAGGCTTTGTCCACGGCCCACTTGCCAACCCAGCCTCACACTCCAAAGCCTGACTTTAGAAAGAGGATAATCATCAGCACTTCAGGGCAGGACAACCACAGAAAGGAAAGCAGAAAACAGCATTTGTTAGAACTGATGTAGTTATTGCTAGAGACAGGTGACGGCCAGATAACCATGGAAAGTCCCAGAGGCGGACGTGATGGATTACCACGACCGTGGAGCAGAAATACAACCGTGTGGTTTTTTTGTTTGCTTGACTGCTAAAATAAGATCTCCTCTGATAACACTTTGAGTCTTGGGTACAGACACTGAAGAGATCTTCAAGATCTGCTCCTTTCACACAAACCAGTGTCCCCCTGAATGACTGATCCACTGGTCGTGCCCCCTGCCCCCCCGAGGCCCTCTCAAGGGAGTCAGTGTGGTTCTCTCTAAAAACATGAGGTGGAAACTGAAATATGTGTTAAAACAGCAACTAAAACAACGCGGCTGAGCTGGGAGCTGTGCACGGTGGACGTGCGTGGCGGCCTGCTGGCTGTTCCCAAGGGCACTTGTTCTCACCAAGGATTTCTCTGGGATGGCCGAGGCTACTCAGGGGGCCAGCATAGCAGCAGGTCCTGTACTGAATGGTGGGGGCCGGGTGGCGGCCAGGCTCTCACTGCTTTTGGTTTAGACGACCCAGTCTCAAGAAGCAAAAGCGAAAGAAGAGCTCCCGGGCCAGGCTGCTGCTGAAGGTCCTGCTGAGAAACGTGGGTCCAGGCAGACCCTATTGTCCCTAGAAGGGCAAGTGCAGGCAGTTCCAGCTCAACGGAGACAGAGCCCTTCCCAGAGAGGCTGTGGCCGACCTGAACAACCTTCTCAAAGGCCTGCAGCTGGCGCCTTCTGAATGATTTTGCATTGCTCTGCTTGTTCTCACATGCTATGGGACGCGCAGGTGCCTCGCTGTGACACAGGACATTCTTGGAGGCGTGGCTGCTAGGCATTCTAGTCGGGGTGGAGGGGGGGAGCTCAAGGAGAGCCGGGCACCGATGCCACAGGAATCTTCCCAAATGAGTGCAGGCATCTGCTCTAAGATCCTCGTGGACAGATTAGCGAGTTCCATGCATGCCACACCAAGGGCTAACACTCAACGTTCCAGAGGCGGGTGGCCTTGTTCGGGTAGTTGATGGCCAGGCTGATAGCAGCGATGTTCTGCAGAGCCTGTGGAGGGAGAGAGTCATCACCATGGTCAGGAAACTAGTTACCTTCTGGGTCATTAAGTGCTGATAGAACAAGACCAGCAGCTGAGCACTGGGGGGGTGCAGGGGAGAGGCAGATGCAGGCCAGGTGTGGTACCCCTCACCTGGGGTGCCACAGTCTAGAGGGAAAGAAGCAGCGATCAAGACACATGGAAACTCCACAGGTCGGCAGAATCCTCACTGCCCCGAGAGAGGAGCAGGGGCAACACTGGGGGCTCAGAGGACACCTCGAGGGCAGGGGGGATCTGGGAAAGCTCTAGGGAGTGGGGAAGCAGCACAAAAGTGTGGACAGGAAGAAACAGCCAGTGGTGGGGCCCCCAGAAGCAGAGTTGGGAGGGCAGCCGCCCTGGAGCCAGGCCAAGGTTGGTCTCCAAGCCAAGGCAGCAGGAAGAGGGGGCGCAGATGGGGAAGAAGGGGTGGAGGCTGGGTGAGGAAGCAGAGCACTGGTCCAGCAGAGTGGATGGGCTGGAGGCAAGTGAGGAGAGAATGAGGGTTAGAGGCTGAACACCGGGACAGGCAAGGGGGAGGAGTGCACGCGATGTCAAGCTTTCGGAGTCACGACCATCAGATGTCAGGACTGCACTGTGTGCCATGACTCCACGGGTTGCAGCGGCAGTGCCGGCAGGCAGCTGACAGGAGCTGGGGCGCGGAGAGTTTTTACTCGGCCTACAGGTCTCAAGACAGTTCACACAAACCCCTCTGCAGTGGACGGGGGGTGCCTGCCTCTAAGCCGAACCCTGACCCTTTCTTGCAGGAGGACCAACCTACGGTCTGAGAAAACCTGCCAGGAAGAGAGTGCAGGGCTCTGGCCGGGAGTCTCAGCTGGATGGAGGCCTCCTCGAGTGAGACCCCGGGCACACCTCTCCCTGGAGCCTTGGTGTCCCCATCCATCCACTGTGGACGCAGACCACACGCTCTACCATACCTGAGGACTCTGAGCCTGAGGGTCTCACAGTGGAGTCTGGGGCCTGGGAGCTCCTGAGACCCTTCCAGAGGCTCTGCACTGAGAAAACCCTTCTCACATTAACAGCACGACATTATCTGGCTGTTCTCACTTTCGTACTCTCGCGAGGGTACGGTGGAGCACCCCGCAGGTTCCTCTCTGACAGCACAGCCGGAAGGAAGCTGCTCTGTGAAGCCAGCTGTCTTCCATGAAGGCAGACAGCAAAGGGCGCTGCAAAAATGGAACCTGACGCTGCCCTTCTCAAAAACTGTTTGGTCTTGAAAAATACAGCTGGTTTTCACAACTGTATTGCTAAACATAATGAGATGATTATTTAAAAAAATAAATCGACAAATAAGTGTTTAATATTTCAATTTCTAATGTAATGTCTAAATTTAAAATCTGCTTTCTAACAGTATATATCAATCTCTATAATGCACATAAACACAAGCTTTTGGGGATCCTCAGTAATTCGTAAGTGGAAAGGGGCCCTGGGGCCCAACAGCTGTCAGAGGAGTTCTCCTACTAGGGAAGAAAGTTATACCCAAAAATATCTGAAATCTAACTCTATGGAAACTTTAGGGATTAGCCAAACTATAAATTTAAGACACTGGTTGTTTTGGTTTCAAAGACACAAATTCCTGCTGGTGTCTCCTGACCCTACGGTTTACTATGAACGTCACTGATAAATGGGGCTTGGCTGCTGTCTGTGACACGAGCAGGAAGTGGCTGACTGGGACAGAGCTCCGTGTAGACCCGGGGCGGAGCCTGCACCGGGCGCGGGGAGCGGGGCGGCGCGGAGGCGGTACCTGCGCGGCGCAGCGGAGAAGGTGGTCATCAGTGGTTAAGGCCAGCAGGTAGTCCTGCAGCAGGCCGAGCTCCTGCGGAGAGAGCGGGGCGCAGCGGTCAGAGGCCACCTCCCGGGGATGACGCCCGCCCACGACCCGGGGCCACGGAAGCCTCGGCGGGGCATGGCTGCTTGCTCCGCCGGCACCTCACCGCCCACCTTCCTTGGGAGCCTCGGAAGGAGTGAGATGGGGGGAGCCGTGTGTCCGGACTCGCGCGCAGCCTCCTCACTATAAACCCAGGGGATAGGCTAGAGAGCTCTGAAAGGCCCTTTCAGCTCTCCTGGTCAATGAGTCTATTGTGCTGAGGCGGGGAAGAAAGGAGGAAGAAAAAGGCCGTTGGTTTGTTTTCCCAAACTCATTGCTGTCAAGGGCTGTTTCCCTCTTTGGCATCAGGCCTGAGCAAACAGACAATCACACAGGGCGGACCGGCTCCCTGGGGTGGGGGAGAGGGGAACCCCGGGCTCCAGGCCAGGCCTGTCTCCCTGCGCAGTTCTGCTGGGGCCCCGACGACACCCCAGGGCTCGCAGCGGGGAGCAGAAGCACAGACCCTCACCTGGGCGCGGTTCTCGGTGACGAAGAAGAGCTCGGTGAGTGCGCGATGCAGGGGCAGGAGGATGCCAGCCTGGGTCACGTCCTCAGACAGGCTGTACTCCATCCGGGTGAAGAGCTGCCACAGGGGCTGCAGCAGCGTGAGGTCACAGAGGTCGCTGTGGGAGGGGGGGCAGCTTCCTGGTGTCACGCCCACCAGACACCAGACAGAGCTGCAGCTCCGCGGCTCCCTGCCACCCTGACCTCTAGTAAAGTCGGGCCAGGCCAGCCCCAATCACCCCCCTCACCCGCTAAACAGCCCCCAAGAGTTGCCAATGGCAAATAAGAAAAGGGGCAAAATCTCAACTCCAAACCAGAACTCCGGGGACAAGGAGACCCTCCAGCACATTCAAACAAATCAACTTTATGGATCTTTAAAAATGGCTGTTAAGAAGAACTTCCAATGACAGCAGAAAAAAACATCCAGATAAATGTTAAGTAGAAAAGACCAAGATACGAAACATAAAATTGCAAAAAAAATTTAAAAATGCGCGTGTAGTATTGTGTGACCATATTAAAAAAATCGTAATAAACATACCAAAAATCTTATCAGTGGCTGTCCCTGTCAGTTTTCTAGATTTTTTATAATGCTCACCGTTTTAAGTAATCAGAAAGGAAAAAAAAATTGATTTAAAAGATAATGGCAACCATTGTTATGATCTTAAGCTCATAAAACAAGAAATATGCTTATAAAGTTGCTCAGGATAGAAATCTATGTAAAGCAGAGTCCTCCTCACTCAACAGGCGCCTGTTGAGACTGCACTGATGTGTTTTACTCAGAGGGAGGTTGTACTTTAATTCCAGTTCAAAGTCCTTCAGAGGAGACACATTATGATTTCTTGGACTTACTACACGATTTTATACATTTATAATCTACAGTGTTGCCTTTTCTTTTTAATATATGATTTTAAAAAGACTCCTGATTATACATTTAAGTGTGATCCTGGAGTGAATCACTTTCTCCCAAAGGAATAAGTCTTCATAAAGTAAACCAATGGGAAAACATGGTTTGATTTAAAGAGATGGCTTCACAGTTGAGTTTTCAGGACAGCACTGGAGTGGGAAGGAAAAGGCACCTGCAAACTCATGCTTGTGGCAGAACTCAGGCAATTATTCTGTTGCCACCCATCCCCTGGGGGTTGCCTTTTCCCTCTGCCCGCTCCAGTCTTGGCCTCTGGGACCAAGGGGCTGTGGGAATGTCCTTATGGGAAGGAGGGTTGGCAATGGGCAGCAGACTGCAGAAATGTACCCACAATGCAGCCTGGAAGGGCCCTCCCGTCTGATGACAAGAGAGATGGGACACATGCTTCATACACATCACACTGTACTCAAAAATCTACTCAAAACTGGGTTAAAGACTTGGAGGTAAGACCTGCAACTGTAAAACTCCTAGAAGACATAGGCTGTAAGCTCCCTGACACTGGTTTTGGCAATGATTTTTTTTTTTTCGGATTTGACATCAAAAGCAAAAATAAACAAGTGGGACTCCATCAAACTAAAGGGCTTCTTCACAGCAAGGACAACAATCAACAGAGTGAAAAGGCATCCTATGGGCCAGGAGAAAGTATTTGCAAGTCATATATCTGATAAGGAGTTAATATCCAAAATACACAAGGAACTCATTCAACTTAATAGCAAAAAAGGAAAAAAGAAAAAGAAAAAAATAGGCAAAGGACCTAAAGAGACGTCTTTCCAAAGAAAGCATATAGATGGCCAGCAGGAACATGAAAAGGTACTCGATACCACTAACCATCGGGGAAATGCAAATCAAAACCACAATGCGGCTTCACCTCACCTGTGTTAGGATGGCTTCCATCAAAAAGATAAGAGATAACAAAAGCCAGCAAGGATGCGGAGCAAAAGGAGAACACTTGTACACTGGTGGTGGGAATGTAAACTGGTACGATTTGAAAAACAGTATGGAGGGCCCTCAAGAAATTCAAGGACTACCAGATGATCCAGCAATACCATCTCTGAGTATATCCAAAATAAATGAAATCACTGTCTCAAAGAGATTATCAGTATACCAACGTTTATTGCAGCATTATTCCTAATAGCCACATGTCTGGAAATAATGTCTCCTGACTGATGAATGGATAAAGAAAATGTGGTGTGTACATACACAATGAAATATAATTGAGCTATGAGAAAGAAGGAAATCCTGTCATCTCCAAAAATATAGATGAACCTGGAGGGCATTATGCCAAGTGAAGTAAGCTAAAGGAAGACAAATACTGCATGGTATCGCTTTTATGTGGCATCCAAAAACAGTCAAACCTGTAGAAACAGAGAGTTAGAGTGGTGGCTGCCAGGGGCTGGGAAATGTGGGAAACAGGGAAAGGCTGGTAGAAGGGCAGAAACTTCTGGTTGTAAGATGAATAAAGTCCGAGGATCTATTATACAACATGGTGACTATAGTTGATAATCGTGTGTAACACCATAACATAGGAGAGCAATTTGCTGAAAAGCACATTGCAGACAGAGGGTGAAATTTAAGTGTTCTCACACACCACAAAGAAGGCAAACATGAGGCGAGGGATGTTAGTAAATTTGATTGTGGGAATCCTTTCTCAATGTATTAATATAAAGAATATCAAGTCATCATATTCTACACTTTTAATAACACTACGATTTCATTTGTCAATTACACTTCAGTAAAGCTGAGGGGTGGGAGGAAAAACTAAATAGTCTAAAATTTACATGGACATGCAGGGTCAAGTAGCATCTTCAAGATAATCTTGAAGGTGAAGAACCAGGTTGAAGGCTTTATACTGCCAGATATGTACATTTGCTATGAAACTATAATATATAAGACAGCGTGGTACTGACACAAAGATAACCAAAAAGACCACTGGAACACAAGCATCAGGGATGGATCCATGTGCACAAGGACACTTTTCTGTGACAAAGATGGCACTGCAGTGTGTGAGGGGAAAGATGGGCTATAGAGTCAAGTGGAGATCCATGCGAGAAAAAAAATGTGTGTATACAGAGAAGCTTAACTCTACCCTTCAAATCATGCATTAAAATTTATTCCATGTGGACTGTTGATCTCAATATAGAAGAAAAAATAATTAAGCTTCACCTTCATGACCCCAAGGTCAAGTGAGGCAAAAATTTCCTAAACAGGACAATGAAAGCTCTGTCATAAAGGAAACAGGTGAACTGGAAGACACTAAAATCAGAAACTTCTTTTCATCAAAGACACCACTAACAGAGTGAACTGGCAAGCCCTGAAGTGGGGGAGATGTTTGCAATACAAATACCCAGCCAAGGAGTCGAATCCAGAAGGCAGCTTACCTGTGGGTACAGCATCGCACAATCCTCAGGAGCAGGTGGATGGCTTTCAACCGTTGATGACCAGTCTGGCGGCAGGCCACACCCACCAGCCATTCCCAAATTTTGGCCAGCGGGAGGTGTGGCACAACTCTTTCTTCTGACAGCATCTGCTTCAAAATCTCAAATCCTGGCAACCCCCACAAAACAGATATTTTAAAAAAGACATAAACTGCTCAAGTTTTAATAAACAGGATGAAACCACTATGATCATTTAAATATTGCCTGAAATTACGCCTTATGGAAAAGCAACATGGGAACATTTTCAGTTCCTTTTTTGCAAAATATCCTGGTGAATTCTAAGAGAACCAGGGTCTTTCCTTGGTCCTAACAGGTAGCTCCTCTCTCCAGCTGTAGAGAAGTCACAACCTCCCAACTCTAGTACATTCACAAGTGATGTGTGTGGGGCTTGTGAGAAAAATTCGTTGAAGTCTCAGAGAAAGGCACCCGCTTTGGTTTTAACGAAGAGCAGTGACTTAACGGCACTGACACCCACAAGGGCCCTGGGTAGGGAGAGCACGCGAACGGAGGGCCCAGCGCACACACCTGTCTGGAACCGCCCCAGGTGTCCGGCCGTCACAGTGAACCTGTAGCCCCACTCGGTGTTGCTCATGTCAGAGGTGAAGCGGTAATACAGAGTGTCTCCTGGGCACACAAGAAGCACAGGCAGGTCAGGACACCGCAGACAGGCAAAGGCCCGTGCGGACTTCCCACCAAACAGATAAAGCCCACTCCCAAATCCTCTCAGCACTCAGCACGAAGAGTCTGTGTTGCCTGGCACCCCTTTGCTACCTGGGAGCTCAAAGTCTTTCCACTTCTGCTGGGCCCCACTGAAGCTGTGCCGGTCCTGCTGGAAGTCGCTGCTGCTGGACATGGCCAGCTCGTCACAGCCTTCCTCCGTGTTGCACTGAGGGTCGAACTTGATGGAGAGGTAGATGGCCCCAGGGATGTGAACTCGGTCCTAGGAGGGGAGACAAGGACACGCCGTCGTCACTGGTCACTGGTCAGTTCCCGGGGGCTTCCTCATGCCGTGTCCTGCGGTCAGAACTGGGCCTGAAGAAGCAGTGAGTCAGGGCCTCTGCCTCCAGGAGCTCTTGGCCCGGCTGGGTGGGGAGGATGCACGCGGGCTGCCAACACGGCAGGAAGGACAGTGTGCAGCCTGCGGCACAGCTCGAAGAACGGGAGGCACGGGAGGCAAGGGCAGAAAAAAGTCCCAGGGAAGGGATGCTCTGGTTGCTGTGAAGACAGAGGAGGATGGGACAGGACTGTCAGGGAGGGAGGAATGGAAAAAGAGGTGAGACATGAGCATGTGGGGATGTGTTGCAGGCCAAGGAAACAGCATCGGAAAGCCTAACGAGTTCAGGGGATAGCAATGAGCTTGGGGTGTCTGAGGTAACAGGTGAGCTTCGCATGCACACATGCTAAGGAGATGGGCATGGGGTGACGTGACCCTGCAGAGGCTGGGAGGGACAGATGGAAAAGGGAAGGCCGTGTGTGCTAAAATGAAGCGCCAAGACTTGTCTGGACAGCAGGGGGTGCCCCGGGAAGGCGGTAAGCAGGAGAAAGCCTGGATTAGGTTTGTGCTGTACCAGGATCACTGCCAGCTAGGGTGTGGCAAGGCCGGGGCTGGGGCAGGCTAGCACTGGGGGAGGAGAGAGGAGCAGCCAGGGGGACCCAGAGAAGGGAAGGAGTCGGGGCGGCAGAGAGGTAAGGTGATCCCCCTGAGGTCGAACGCAGTGGCTCACTAGGTGTGTTTGCGGGGCAGGGGGTGGCGGGGTGGGGAGTGGGGACAGAGTCCAGGAACTGGGGGAGAAGAGGCTAAGAAGGTAGAGTGAGAAGGTTTACATTCTGTGAAACAAGACTCTCAGCTGTCAACAAGCACATTCCAGATGGGTCTGTCACCCATTTTGAAAGGAGCTGAAGAGACACGAGCAGCACCAAGCCTATGAGGACCACTAAGGCCACCCCCCGCCTTCTGCCTCATCCAAAGCCCCACCTCTCCCTGTCCAGGTGCAGGGTTAAGGATAAAAGAGATGAGGCCTTTCAGTTCTGGGTAATTAAACAAAGGGGACGGAGTCCCCCAGGTATGGCCAGGTCATCAGGAGAAGGACAGAGTGAGGATGGAAAGTCTGCCAGTGACACGGAGCTCTCAGTCCAAGGAGCTCGCTGCAGGGCAAGTAATCTCTCCTCCAGGGTGGGGGGCCCTCTGGTTTTCTATCACAACAAGGTCAGGAGAAGACAGGACTTGTTTGTACAGAATCCTGGGACTGGCTTCAGGGAGGCAGATGGCTGCTGAGACTAAGGGAGCACTTCCTAGGCCAGGTCTGTCGGGTTGGGGGAAAGAACCACAGTGGGAAGTGATGAGATTCATGCTCCTCGGGTCTTGCCAGTCGCATGCCCCGAGGCTGGGCGAGGCTGGCCGACCCTGGCTCATACCTCGAAGTTGGTGTTGTTGTTATACGGGTGTTTTGATTCTCGCACTTGCACCTCCATTCCTGGTTCCTCCATGAACTGGCAGGCAGCCAGGGCCATGGTTCCCAGCATGCTCTCCCGGCAGCCTTGGAGCACCTTCTGCAGGATCTGGTGGGACACAGGCAGAGAACAGGGCAAGATGATGGAGCTCAGCTGGAGACCGTGCCCAGGGCTCCTAAGCTCTGCCCTGTGGGTCCCCCAGTTCTAGACAGCAGGAGGTAGAAGAGATGCTTCCAGCCCTGTGAAAGGCTGCTATGCCAGTACCACTTTGAAAGGCTCAGTTGAAGATTTGATTTCATTTATTTTTTATTTTATTTTATTTTTTTTTTGAAGATTTGATTTTAAAAACAAAAGATGGTCACCACCTGAAAACCTGAAATTTAAACTAGAGCACTGGACTGAAGAGAATGCATAGACTCTGTAAGATACCATGTCTGCCGCCCAGAAGCTGGGAACCTGGGCAAACCTCCTGGGTTTGATTTCTTCACCAATAAAATTCTCCCTGGGTCATGATGTAACACAGGTGTAAGTGCTGGCAGAGTGTCTGACCTGGACAAGATACTCTAGAAATGATCATTTAAAACAGAAGATATAAACCTTCCTGGAAGGTTTCCTGTTATGGGAATAGGCTGTCACATTCGTAACTAACCTAGTCCCTTGGACTTCATGCTGTGTGAGACCCGGGGGGACATGAGAAGAGACAGGCCAGCAAGGAGAGCTGGACTTCGAAGTCTGAAAACAAAAAAGGAAGACTGCAAGGGTGGGATTTGTGGGACCGTTATTTCAAATACTCTCCGAGCATCCCATCTGCCTGGGCCGTGAGCGTGGCTCCAGGCCAAGACTTGGGAGACTTCAACTGTGGCCTGAGTCGGCTTTTGTTGGGTTCGCACCTATCGGGGGCTGAGCAGCCACACAGGGAACCCCACTCCAGGAAGGCACCTCCTAGAGGAAGCCTGTTCAAACCCCCGCAGGGTTCTTGGGGCGGGGGCAGAGAGGAGGCGCAGGCAGAGTGCGAGCCCAGCCCAGCTGTGTTACCTTCTCCCACTGGTGCTTGTCCTCCAGCTGCATGAACATGTCCAGAATATAGGTCATGTGGGCTGGGCCGCTCAGCTCCAGGATGTCCTCGCTCACCGGCACGTGCCCGGGCCACTCGGCAAGCAAGGACGCCAGCACGTGGCGGGCGTACAGGACGGCTGTGGCCTCGTTCACGCGGAAGAGGTAGTCTCGGACGGCCCTCTTGCTCTTGCAGTTGAGCTCCTTGTGCAGCAGGGCGGCGCTCTTGCTGCGCCGCTGCTTGGCATAGCTCTGCTGCAGCTCGCTCTCCGTGCTGGAGATCAGTTTCTGGGTCACGGGGTTCGACTCGACGGTGGCCTGCTCGCAGCGGACGGGCCTGGACTGCAAGCCCAGAGAGCACCGTCACTGAGGCCTGGCCATCTCACCACTGGGGTGGGGGGCGGGGGTGGGTAGACACCCTCCTTCTCAGGGGTAGGGGTTGATGGGTGGCCCCACGTACCAGGCAGGGCAGGATGATCATGTCTGTATCCACGGCCTTGGCACTCTGCTCGTCCAGTCTCAGACTCCGGCTGGGCTGCCACCGCTGAGCCAGGGTCCGGATCCTTTCGTCCGTGGTGAGCTCGTCCCCGTCAAACCTGAAGAGAATGAAGGAGCACAAAGCTGGGCATCTGTGTTCCAGAGAGGTGAGAGTTTAACCTTCAGTGAAACTTGCAGAAATGCTGATCAGAGTTATTTTCCTGTTACTAAGGAATTAGATAGTACGGTCCACCCTTCCAACACCAGACTCACAGTGCTAATCTACCTGAGCAGGCATGCCTGGAGGCCTGCAGTGGAGATGGAAACCTTCCTTTAGGATCCATTCTCCCTTTCATTTAGAAACAAAGTTTTAGCAAGATACACAATCACCCGGGTGGAGACATGGTTCCCAGTCCTCCCAGCAGCTGGATACAGCAATGCAACCGGGGTCATGCCAAAGGGAAGCCAGGGAGGTGATGTGTGCTGCATTCAGGGCCTGCCCTCAAGCAGCTGGGTTAAGGAGGTGCTCCATTCCCCACCTTCCCCCTGGGGTGGAACTAAGAGTGGGTGTGGGAGAGCCTGCCCTGATGACACAGAGGAGGCCAGCAGCCATGGGGACACCGGGTCACTTGGGAAGCAAACTGCCCACCCACCCTGGGCTGCTGCCTACCTCTGGACTGTGCGCGGGACAGGACAACAAATTTCTGTGCCCTAACTAGGGTAATCCTGCTTCATTTCACGAAGGATTTGAGGTTGTAGATAAGAAATACATATGGGAAAGTAGAAATATGAAATAACAAAAGAAAATTAAATCGGAATTGGAACTAAATTAGAATAAGAAGTCAAAACCAGGATGTGGGGAATGGAAGAGGAGATTAGATGCAGAAACATAAAATTCTCCATAAATTTAAGAGCTAGGCTCAAGAACTAGCTCTGAACTTCCTGGCCAAGATGAAGGGTATATTGTTATAAGATACCTTTCATTAATATACCCTTGAGGAAAAAACAAGAAAATAATGTATACAAGTGAAAAAAAAAAACGAAGACTACTTTGACCAGAATGTACCAGAATGCTTGCTTCCTGGATTGATACAGGAGAGAAACCTTGGTGTCTGTGTCAATCTCTGCATTCATAACTAGTTTAATCTAAGAGGCAGACTGCGAATATGAAGTTCTTCCTAAAGGAACACACAATACAACTCAAAGACGAGCCATGCCACATGGTACTTTATGAAGCCAGCTTTCATGTCACTTTATGAAGACCTGAAAACCAGTCCTCCAGCTGCTCCTGGCCTCTCAGATCTTGTCAGCAGGAGGTAGACAGAGTCCCACCCTCACTTGTTCCTTTGCTCCTTATACTTTGGCTGCGTCCTTACCTCTTCTGAACCTCCAGGAAGAAAGAGTCGGTCCTCTTCATCTGCAGTTCGTATATGGCCCGGAGAATGTGCAGAGGGGCATTGAGGGCATCGTGAGCCATCTGGAGGCCACGAGGAAGAAACAGAAGAGAGAAAATTTGAAGTGCCTCAACACATTACTGATAACCTGAACTCAAAAGTGATAAAAGAATTATTTTCTATAGTTACTACAAGTTATAATCTAAGAACATCACATCACTTAATTTAAGAACATCACACTTCATGCATGTAAGATTATAAGCTCCAAAATATGGATTATAAAATCTGCATTACTATTATAAATTCAAAGGAAAACCTCCTAGTTCTGAAGTCCATGTTTTTGGTAGTTTACTTTTATTTGTGCCATAGTTATCTGTGATTGTGCATTTGTTAAAGATTATATAGACGAGGGGGTACAGCATGTTACTTTAAAAAAGGAAGAACAAAAAAGCAAATAAAGACGATAATTAGAAAAAAAAATTATACCAACAAAATGTAATGCTAGTAGTCAATAATTACTCGCCAAATGGTATTTATTCACTGCTAGCTTTCCTGCAGTAGCTGCCTTGTCCTCAAGTATGAAAACTGGCACGTAAATCTAAGTACTAGACTTTCTTTTGATGTTTTTAAAAAGCTGTATTTGCTTTTCTTACATCCACCCTATAGTCTCTGTTTACTCTTCACATAGTTAGAGCCTTTGAAGTCTAAGCCTCTGCCCATTTTCACATCATTTTGAGGAAGAGTGGATTATCCAGGGAAAGTAAGGATGTACTTGAGAAATTATGAGGATGGGCCTGACATTACATGCCAAACTTTACATATAAGTATTTGCACATGTAGTTTATGGGAGAAACAATCTAAAGTTTTGGGTCCACAACTCCCAAACATTAAGAACTACTGTTGAAAGGGCTTTTCCCTCCTTCCAGGTCAGTTCTGTACAATATAGACCTAGCTTCCCAGAAGTGCATTCACAGGACATCAGCCTGAAGCATTTCCACGTGGAGGCTAAAACTCAGTCCAAGCCAAAGAGAATCCATTCCTGAGTCCCTTCTTCACGCCACACCATGACCTAGGAACATACCAAGAAACATATTCTGGTGGGCTCATCCAGGCTCTCAAGAGGGTCTAGCTTTTTCTGCTCCTGGTCACCAGGGCTGCTGACTGACCGTTCCACCTCCTCCTCCTGATCCCCTCGTTCATCCAGCTCCAGCTCTCCATGCTCAGCCAAAGTGTTGATCTCCTTTTTTGAGGAGTACAGCATGATGGACAAAATCTAGATAGAACAAAAATCAGGCAGGGCAGGAATCTGAGTGTTTAGTGTGTGAGAAGACCTTTAGCCCTCAAAGGGTAGAAAATATTTGACTTGACTCTTTAAAAGACATAAGAATTTACAGAAAGAGTGTAAAATTAGGACTTCCTCGTGGTACAGTGGATAGGAATCTGCCTGCCAATGCAGGGGACAAAGGTTCGATTCCTGGTCCGGGAAGATCCCACATACTGCGGAGCAACTAAGCCTGTGTACCACAACTACAGAGCCTGTGCACCTATAACCTGTGCTCTGCAAAGAGAGAAGCTGAAGAAATGAGAAGCCTGTGCACCCAACAGAGTAGCCCCCTCTTAGCACAACTAGAGAAAGCCTGAGCACAGCCACAAACACCCACCACATCCAAAAAAAGTAATTAATTAGTAGATATGGAAGCATGTTCAATCATACTCATAACCAAAGACATGCTAACTAAAACTTCAAGAGACCTTTCTGTTTATTAACTTTGCCACTGACAGCATAAGTTGGTATCATCATCCTTTTAGAACGCATTTTGATGAAACGTAAAGACCTATACCAGAGAAGGCAACGGCACCCCACTCCAGTACTCTTGCCTGGAAAATCCCATGGACGGAGGAGCCTGGTGGGCTGCAGTCCATGGGGTCGCTAAGAGTTGGACACGACTAAGCGACTTCACTTTCACTTTTCACTTTCATGCTGGAGAAGGAAATGTTGGAGAAGGAAATGGCAACCCACTCCAGTGTCCTTGCCTTGAAAATCCCAGGGACGGGGAAGCCTGGTGGGCAGCCGTCTATGGGGTCGCACAGAGTCGGACACGACTGAAGCTACTTAGCAGCAGCAGCAGCAGCAAAGACCTATACAAATGTTCATAACCTTTGATTCCACAACTCATCTTTTAGGAATAATGTAAAATGTGTAAAAAGTTATACTCCTTTAGGAATAATGTAAAATGTATAAAAAGTTATACTCCTAAGGAAACAGTCAAAGAAGCATTTATTAATGGCAAAGACTGAAGTCCAACTTTACGGATCATATGCAGCCGTTAAAAATGGTGGTTATGAAAACTACCCAGCAACTTAGAAAAACGGCCATCACAAGACTTCAATTTATTTCAGTAACATGCCCCACTATACAATCCAAATCTATGTATGCAATACACACACAGAAGGAAAAAAATCAGAAAAGGGAAATACATGAAATACTAATAGTAGATGTGCCTGAGGGGGTGAAATTTGGAGTTTTTCTTTCTTTCTACTTTTCAAATTTTCTGCACATAAAGAAATGTAAATTTTTGAATGTAAAAAATTTTAATTACAATTTTTTCCTATTTTAATTTAGAATTTTTTCTATTTTTGCTCTATTTCCTAAACAGCAAGAGCGCAAAAGCTCACCAGGTAATCTGTGAATATGTTTCACCATATTTTCCTAAAATCTAATCATATCCTCTTGTGACAACTGAGAGCTGCTTCCTGGACTTCAGGCCTCTGTGTGACAGAATAGTCGACCGAGCACCCCCCATACGGCAGCAGCCTTCCCTGCCCTGAAGCTGGGGCACTTGGCACAGAAACACCCAAGGGAACCACAGTAATTCCACTAAGAAAAATCTAAGGCTTATGGAGAAAAGCAATAAAATGAATATTATCAACTGAAATCCTACATAAAGTAAACATAAGTGGAGGACAAATTTAGAAACTGATTTTAGCTCAAAGGAACTTTAAGGGGAAATAATAATTCAAGGGCAGATTTATTACCATGATATAATGGTCAACCGTGTGTTTCCACAAATTACTTCTCTTCCAATATTCTTTGGACAAACATCAAATTCATTTTCCCTGACAGGGGAGGACAGGTGTCATAATCTCTATTTCCAAAAGGGGAGACAAATATAAGACACTGTTTTAACAACTGCGCCGGATGAGAGTGCGCAGGGCAGAACCAGCTGTGACTGACTGGCTGTTCTAACTCCCAGGCCTGTAAATCTGCAGCAGGAAGCAGTAGCAGGAGTCACCCTCGTCCCTTACTTCCAGGTCCCGGAGGAGCCACGTTTTACTGAAGCCAGTCCCTTTGCTGCACTTTTTCACCAGCAGCTTCAGCAAATCAGTCTGCAGGAAGGTAGCGTGCGTCTCTTCAAAACCATGAACCTGCCAAACAGAAAAAGAATGATTTGCAGTTGCCTCAGAGTGAACAAAGTCAAGGGTCACTCAGGGAGAAGCAGGCCCCTATCAGAGCCCAGTCTCAGCTCTTGGCCCAAGCCCACCTTCTGGTGAAGATTCCAGAGTCCGTAGGAAAGATGAAACTCTGAACCTGAGTCATAACCTGTCTGTCCACTCTCTAATTCATTCACTTGACAAGTATTTCTGAAGCCTCGTACATTGTACGTGCTGAGTCCTATGCTAAGAACAGGGGGTTTATGTCCCTCTCCTGCTCTCTGCCTCCCCAAAGTTTCCCACTGTCCTGCAGACTGAAGTCTGAGTGCCTATTCATGGCTGACAAGGCCCGTGCAGGCTCCCTGCCTGCCTCTGTGTCTCCTCTCCTCCTTAGCACTGTCCTGAAGCCCTGAGGTATTCCTTCTGTTCCCTGAAAACCAGGCCTGCTCCTGCACCTGGAGTTTGCTCTCTCCCAGCATGCAAGACTGCCCAGACTCCTTCTCTACCACCTCAGATTTCACCTCTTCAGGAAGGCTCTTTCTGACTCCTGTGGTTTTCCTTGCAGGCTCCCTGGTGTCTCCCTCATAGTTAAGGCTGAAAGCTCCATGACAGCAGGGACCTTCTTTCTAGTTCAACACTATGTAATCAGTTCCATCTGGCAGCTGGTGCTCAACAAATATTTACAGAATCAAGGGTCCAAAGGCATAAATGGTCTCTGCCCTCAGGGAGTTTATTTTCCCAAACCTACTATAATGCAAAACCACTAAAACAAAGTAGATTGTGATAAATGCCATGAAATCAACAAACGGCAGATGTGTGGTCTCAAGCCTAAAACTATAAATTCTAAGGGCTGGGCCAGAGCTGAAATGCCACCTAGACCAGTCTTCCTGTGGTGCCTGAGTCCTTTCATGTCCTCCTTGCCAGTGCTGCCCAACTCAGGGAACTCATAAGCCTTCCAGAGGAAATCCTTCTTCTTGGCTAGTTCTGTTGGGAAGGTTATCCTTAAAGTGATCCCTCCCTCCCAATGCCCCTCAAGTAGTAGAAGAATCATGTTCCCCACAAGTCAAGGCTTCTCATCTCCATGTCAGTTACTGCCCAGCTCTTCAACTTGTCTGCCTTCTCTCACCCCAAATGCCAAACCTACTGCTTACAGATCCCATAAGATGTTAGTCCCCTTTATTCTCCCTATGATGAACCAGAAAGAATTGTGGATCAGCAGGAAGTGAGAAACTGTTGTCAATTTTTTCTTCTTATCTTCCAAGGTTATGTGCCCATAAGGTAGTAGTGCCTGGTTCCATGAGGCAGGACTGAAAAATTACAGAGAACCAACTACTGGGAAAATTCTGTTTCTTCCTTAATGCTATCCTTGTGCAAGGCCCCAATCATTTCTAAAAATAATCAAGATCCTATGATTAACTATTCATTGAAATCGGATGATACTTCCTTCTAGTTAATACCCTGCAGGTGTTAGATCACAGCCAGACTGATTAGCAAATGGAAGAAACTCAACATTACCTTTAGGGTTTTATATAATCCTTTGAGGGCCAGGGACAGGACCCAAGTTGCTTCCACTGCCTCGGGACAATGGCTGTCCATGCTGGTTTGCAGAAGGTGACTGGCAATAAAGGCAAAGTGCTGAGAGTATTGGCTCAGCTGGGCCTGCGAGTCACTGCCTTCCTGTCCTCCTCCTTTCTGGACCAGTTGGTAGTCCTTCACTGAAGGATTAAGAGAAAAATCTTAAAGGTAGGCAGAGAAAAGAGACACATTTTGTTTATTAATATTTTGGCTATAAAGTTTACAGGATCCTAGTTCTCTGACCAGGGATCGAACCCAAGTCCACGGTAGGGAAAGCCCCAAGTCCCAACCACTGGGCCGCCAGGGAATTCCCCAAGAGACACCTTTTGAAGAGTTATAGAGAATGATGGCTGACTTCACAGCAGAAACTATGAAAACCACAAGAAAATGGATCAATATCTTTAAAATATGCTAAAAAAAAACCTCTCAGCCCACAATTTTTTACCCAGCAAAATTGTCTCTCAAAGATGAAGTCAAATCACTGATTTAGACTTCCACCTTAAGAAACCAGAAAAAGAAAAAAAAAAGAGCAAATTAAACTAAAAGGAGAAAGAACTAAGTAAATTAATAATGAAAAGATAGAAATTAATGGAACAGCAATCAGAAATAACAGAGAAACATCAAAGAAACCAAAAGCCAGTCCTTGGAAAATATCAAATAAATTGATAAATCTCTGGCTAGGCAGTCTATGAAATGAAAAAGAAAAGATGCAAATTACCAAAATCAGGAATGAGGGAAGGCAGCTGATACCCCATGCGAGGTTCAGAGAAACTAAAGATCTACATCTTATAAGACCTAGATTTGTTTCCTAAGTGAATGGAGAGATACACCATGCTCCTGAATCAAAAGACTCAGTATTGTTAAGACATCATTTCTCCCCAAATGAATCTACAGATTCAATGTTATGTTGATCAAAACCCTAGCAGGTTCTTTAATAGAAACTGATAAGCTGATTCCAAAATTTAAACAAAAAGACAAAGGAACTAGACTAGCCAAAACAATTCTGAAGAAGAATAACAAAGTTGGAGGACCTGATTTTTCTCTCAACACTCAAGAGAAATCTATAACACTCAAGGGCTTTCTTTCCTGGTGGCTCAGTGGTAAAGAACCTGCCTGCCAATGCAGGAGACTCAGATTCGATCCCTGGGTCAGGAAGATCTCCTGGAGAAGGAAATGGCAAACTACTCTAGTATTCTTGCCTGGGAAATCCTGTGGACAGAAGGAGCCTAGTGGACTACAGTCCATGGGGTCACAAAAGAATCAGACTAAACAACAACAGTCAAGACAATGTGGCATTCAAGTAAGGACAAATATACAATATATAGATTAACGGAACATAATAAAATCCATAAACAAACACCAAGATATATGGGTCAACTAATTTTCACAAAGTTATCAAAGTGATTCAATGGAGAAAGAATAGTCTGCTCAACAAATGGTCCTAGAACTGTGAGATTCACATGTAAAAAAATAAAATAAACCTTGACATTGACATCAAACTGTATACAAAAATAGCATAGACAGTGCCTAATACTGAAGCTAAATTATAAAGCAGATTATTTTAAGAGCAGACATGGGCACATAATAATAAGACACTCCAGATCATTTGGGATTTGGCAATTTAAATCAAAAGGGCACTTTATGATATACCTTCACTGTCCTATTGATGAAGCAAAGTGGAAAGTGACATGTATGCAAATACAAATTATATGAAGTTACTTTAATTCCTGTAGCCACCATATGTTTAAATTATCCACTAGAAAACAAATGATACTGGCAAATGGAAAAAGTAGATGTTCAGAACCTAAACATCTGGCCAATCCTGAAACAAAGAGTCATATATATAAAGTAACAACATAGAAAGAGCCTTCAAAGTGATCCCAATTCAACCACATCATTTCATAGATGAGAAAAAAGAAGTTACATGTCACTTCAATTGTGTCCAAAACTCTTTGCAACCCTACATGGACTGTAGACCACCAGGCTCCTCTGTCCATGGGTTTCTCCAGGTAAGAATACTGAAGTGGGTTGTCATGCCCTCCTCCAGGAAAAAGAAATTCAGACAGCTATAATTTGTTTTTTTAAAAATTCATATGCAGGGGCAAGAACAAAGATATTTTAACTGATTTTAGCGTACACAGAAAATTTGCTCTGATTCTTAGATAAAATAATTATGCTTGGGACCTGTTTTCCTCTTCCGGGTTTTGACATCGACAATCACAGCCCTGTTCTTCTCAGTAAAGTGCTTCAAGATGATCACATTATGTGGTTCATTGGCATTATCCATATATACACAGCGAGTCCCCACACAGAGGACCTAAACAACGACAGAGAAAGAAAAGGCAACTCAGCAGTGCATAGAACACAGTCTCTTTTGCTTGTGCCACTGACTTCAACAGGTAGTCAGGGTCAGGATTCTTCCCATCTGTAAGTCCAGGCCTGACACAGGCCTGGCACAGAACTTGTTTAAGTGCCTACTGAATGAAGCCATGCTTTCACAGCCTTCATTGTTCCAACTAGTTGAAAATTAGAAATGAGATCAAGCTGAAGGCCAAAGGGAAGAACAATCATGCTTTGAAGTTCTCTGTAACTTATTAATAGGGTATTCAGTTCAGTTGCTCAGTCGTGTCCAACTCTTTGCGACCCCATGAATCGCAGCATGCCAGGCCTCCCTGTCCATCACAAACTCCCTGAGTTTACTCAAATGCACGCCCATCGAGTTGGTGATGCCATCCAGCCATCTCATCCTCTGTGGTCCCCTTCTCCTTCTGCCCCCAATCCCTCCCAGCATCACGGTCTTTTCCAATGAGTCAACTAGTTACCTATTATTCAAAGCCAACTACTGGCTAATAAAATGAGTCAATTGGCTAAACTGTTAAAAATGTAAGTTGAATAAACCATCCTCAAATCTTGAGAATATACCAGTACTGTAAAAGCAAATTATGTAAGGAAAAAAAACTCCCAAGGATATATGCTATAGGGACTTTGATATGCCTGATGAAGACAGAAAGAGGAGACGAGGCCTTCAGAGAGGTGTACCTGGGGGAAGCCGACCAGCACCAGCAGCGTGAAGATGTTGGTGTGCTTCAGCTGGAAAGGCAGCTGCTTGATGCAGTGGTCTGTGAAGGTGGCAACGACGTCTCGCCACAGAGGGGCGCTGTTGAGTGACCGCAGGATCTCCGCCATAGAACATGCCCAGTCCAAGCCCACGCGGCTGGAAGGCAAGAGCGCCATCAGGTGGTGGTGCACAGGCCCCAAATTCAACATAGCAGCTCACCACACTCCAAGGCAGCACCATAAACATGTCAATGAGCCATTCACTGGTTAGTAGTTTAAAAACTACTAGAATGATGCTTTTCAAAAATGATAAGTGGGGGGGAATCATCAAGATTTGTTACTTATATACTCAGTCTATAGTTAAGGTTTTAAAAATCTCTATAAATGGTCACACACAAATGTACACTTATGCACACTCACATTCATGCACAGAAAAGAAGCTTGGAAGGAAATATATTTTAAAAAGCACCAGGGAGTTTCCTGGTGGCCTAGTGGTTAGAATTCTGGGCTTTCACTACTGTGGCCTGGGTTCAACCCCTGATCAGGGAACTGAGATCTGCAAGGAGTGGTGAGGGGCAGGGATGGGTAGGGGGAATAAAATAGCACCAGACACACTGACAAGGTGCAAGGCATTGGTTTTATAATGAAAATAGATCTATTTTCTTCAACCTCAAAGCCTGTACCTATTACTCTCAGGAAAAAACAAACCAGAATATATATCACTAGAGAGGCTGAGTCAGCAGACAGAACCCAGGTAGCAACAGCTGTTCTAATGTGGGTTTTAAGTACAGCTTTAATATCAGTTGATAATGTTGCTAATAAAACTAGTTCTATTCTCACCAAAGATCCCTAGACAACACAGGGGCAAAAATAGCACCAAAGCACGCTGAAATTAATCAACAGCCAGATAAATGACCTAAAGAAATGAACACCAAGGTGGGATAGAGTGGGGGTGGCTACCTGTCCAGACACACAGCCCCCAGGCTAAAGAGCAGGTGGGTGGTCTTCCAGCCGTCTGGCACGACTGAACTGTCCCCAGCTGCAAACAAGTTGTGTTTGGCCGAGAGGACCTTGGTCACAGCAGCATCTACCTCTGCTGGTAAAAGGCGGATGATTAACTGGCCGAGGAGACCCAGGGTGAGGTGGTAGGTTTCGTTCAGGTGGCCTGCATTTGAGATCACGACCTGGAACATGAGCGGGAGCACATGCTCCAGGTCTATCAGGGGGACTGTGGGATCCTGTTGAGAGAGGAGAAAAATCTGTTCAATAAGACATCTAGGTAACCATACCAACTAAACACTCCATTGTCTTCATGTATTATTTATAACTGGCCTGGTGCCAGGGGAATTATGCAGTGTCTTTCACAAATGGTTTAGGTACAACTGACTGTAAAATAAACATTCTCAGGCATCATCTTACAATCTTACTTCCAATTCATATTCTTACCCCAGGGATATACAGATGATTGCAATTAACATTTCAGTATATGGCTTTCCAAAAATTTTTCCTGTGCATAACACTACCCTCTCATGCACTCTTTCTCTCTTTTTATTTATTTTTTCTCTCTCTTTTTTTTAAATGCCATTTTGTCTCTTACCGAGTTTAAGGGAGGTAACATGGCTGCTAGTAACCCCAAAATCCTCTTCTGGGAACACTCTGCAAACACCTGCTCAGGGCTTGGAATAACTGCCTTTTCCTCAATGGGCTTCTGAGAGGACGCTTCTGAATTTTCAGCATCTGAGTTATAAAACAGCAAGCTATCAGATTTTGCCAGGTTCCATGCATGTATGAAGAGGCAGGTAAATCACTGTACTGCCTTGTGCCACTACAGCATCAAGTCGAGACTTTAAAAACCTATTACTGAACACGTCTTACTCAAGGAAGCCTGTCCCGATCACCATTTTAATGTCGAGCCTGCCCTCCCATCTCCCCGAACCCCTCTGCCCTCTCCAGTCCCTGCTCTTTTGTGCTCATGGCATCTAATTACCTTTTAACACAGCATATCATTTTTTTTACTGGTTGGTCATTGTTTGACTTCCCTTCTAGAATTCCCCCCCCAGTAATGTATCACAAACACTTAGAAATGTTTCTGGAGCACAGCAGCAACTCAATAAATCCTTGATGGCTAAAGCAACCGTACGTAACCAGGATGCTGATCCTCAGATCGGATCAGACCAGAGCAGGTTTTGATGATCTGGACTGACATGGAGTGTCAGACTGCTTCCTGAACTTAGAATCATGATCTGCAGAGATGAGCATCAGCCCCTTCTGGGACAGGGCAGGACGCTGGGTGCTCAGCCCTGCCTCTGTCATAGAACGGGCACCAGGGAAGGACCCTGCCTCCCCAAGTTGCCCTGAGGAGGCTGACATTTGCTGCCGTCTCTCGGTCCACGGCACCTCCATCTCCAGGCTCTTCAATTGTCCTGCAGTACAGCTCTGACCTCGCCACCATCCCCAGCAGGCAGCCCAGGGCCTCCACTGCAGGGTGCATGCACCTCTCCACTTCCCCATTTCAGGGCTCCACTCCCTCCCCTTCCTCCCTACACACCTGCCCCACAGACTTCTCCATGGATTCCTTTGGGGATTTCCTCTCTGGGGCTTTGCTCCTCTTGTCCTTTCTGCCCTGAGTGTTCCTCCCCCCATCAAATCCCGGCACTTCTGAGGTCACCTACAGGCCTTCTTTACAAGGGCCTTATATGGACACAACCTGTTCAAGTCGGATCCCCATCACTGCTACCACCCACTCAGGCCTCTCTTCTGGACAGAAGCACATCTCACCTCAAATTACAGTTACACGCACCCCTGTCTTAAACCCTCCCAGGCTGCAGGCCTCATGAGGGCAGGAGCTATGTGTCCATTTGTCTGACCTGGTCCCTGCTTCATCCCCAGAGTCTAGCACAGTGCTTGGCACACAGAAGGCACTCAGTAAATCAGGGAATAAACAAGATAGGAAATTAGATAAACAAGATGAAAGAAGGATGATTTTTGAAGTGGTATCAGTACTATCTGAGGCAGAACTGAGAAACTATGCACCCTTGGGTGCTAACCAGTTATAAATTGTGTGCAAGAGATAACTCAGAGATGGGTATGTGTGCATTTTAAGATGAAAGAGATCAAGGTAATTGTCAAAGAGTTTTTACCTGGAAGCCCTGTAGGTGTGCAGGCATCTGCAGGTGAGTCTGAAATTTGAGTCGGGCAGGAAGGATCCTTCCTTAATGATACACCTTCATTGGCCTTACTTCTCTGCTTGCTATCTAAAGGTCTGACTTCCTTAGGAGCATCTCTCTTCCCCTAAAAACAAATTGGAGAGTGAGTAAACTTTTATGTGAAAGAAATCTTAATTTTTTTACATTCAGACAATTTAAAAAATCACTAGCCAAGGACTTCCCTCGTAGTCCAGTGGTTAAGAATCTGCCTTCCAGGGGCTTCCCTGGCAGCGCAGTGGTTAAGACTCCACACTCCCACACTCCCAGGGCAGGAGGCGTGGATTTGATCCTTGGTCAGAGAAGCAGGATTCCATTCCCATGCAGCACAGCCAAAGGAAAAAAAAAAAGGATCTGCATTCCAAGGCAGGCAATGCAGAAACTGCCATCCGCCACATAGAAGACTAAGAGAAAGAGCCAGGGGCAGGGTACCCTTCGTGCACACAGCTACTGATGGTAAGACGACCCAAAAGGTATGGATCCCTCAGGGATAAAAAGAATGCCCTGGGGGTTCCTTAGAAAAAGGCTGATTCCAGTCCCCAGGCAGGGAAAGCCTAAGATAAGCCTGAAACCTCTTTTAGTATCAAAAATTAAAGAAGTGCTCAAGGAATAATCAAGACATGGCAAAGGACACAAAAGCCAGCTGGAAGGAGCTTCCACTAGCCAAACATGGGACATCAAAATCAATAATAAAAACTAAGATTTTAATCCACTAAATAAAAAAATTCAAGTCCTTTTTGATAAAAATAAGTAAATAAGTAGATACACAAGGAGTGCCGTGCTGACTGGTGGCACATTATACGATGCTGGGGCTCACAAGAAGATATGATTATTCTCAGGCTCAAAGGTGAAGACAAGACTGCTGATTTACCCCGACTTTGCTGATAATGCTTTCCCTGTCCCACCACAATCTGTGGATGGGAACAATGCTGCCTGGAGAAGGGGTTCTGTGGTCACAGCAGGCTTGAAGGTTATTACGTCGCCTGTCCTTGTGCTGGCTTTCTGGCTGAACGAAGCTAATGGGATCTTCAAGCTTTTGCCATCTCTGCTTTTGTCCTCCTCTAAAAGACGACAGGATCCCAGGGAGCAATAAACACCAATAGGGATCCTTTATGACAGAGACAGGGGACAGAAACAGCAGCAGCTCCTGAGTCAAAGCCGGGGCGCTGACAGCACCCACTCCGGCTCTGAAGGCAGCATCACGGAACCTTTGCTTGCTCTTGCACAAAACGATCTTCAGTGTCACTGTCAGAGGTTCCATCTGGATCCAGGAAGGCTTTTCTTCTACTTCAACAAGCACAGGTAAACTCTTATAAACTACCTGGTAAGTACTAAGCACTTAGTATCACCTATTTGTTGACTGAATAAAAAATAGTTTCACGTGTACAGTGTTCACCACGGGCCAGGAAGGAACCAACCTCTTTAGGTGTGTAATCTTACTCAATCCTTATAAAAACCACAGGAGGCGGGGAACAGGAGTAGTTCCTGATAGAACCTACCTACTGTTAGAACCTGATAGAACCTACTGATAGAACCTACCATGAACACTGTTTTAAACACTTTATGTATTTATTTATTTTTGGCTGCGCTGGGTCTTAGCTGCGGTACTCGGGGTCTTTGTTTTGGCATGCGGGCCTCTCTCAAGTTGTGGCGCCGGGGCTCCAGAGCGCATGGATTCTATAGTTGCAGTGTGAGGGCTTCTCTCCAGTTGTAGCTGCCCCATGGCACGTGGGACCCTAGTTACCCAGCCAGGGATTGAATCCGTGTCCCCTGCATTGGCAGGTGGATTCTTAACCACTGGACCACCAGAAACTCCCTTGAGGACTTGAGACATTAATTCAGTGTGTGTGATGCATGTAAATCCTCACAACAACCCTAAGGAATAGCTACTATTCTCCCTTCATTTTACTGAAGAGAAAACTGAAGAGACGTGGTGATGTGCCCAAAGTCAGACAGAACAGGGACCCATACCCCAGCAAACTGGGTCACAAACCTGGACCCTTCACACTGCTGCTCTGCTCCCTCACGTGACAGCTCTGGGCTCACCTCTTGACTGCACAGGAAAGACTGTACTTACACTGCGGTGCCCAGCAGGGCCTGCGTGGGCCGGCTCCGCGGCAGCCTGCACAGCTTTCTTCCCTGGCTGCTCCTCTGACGTCTGGGTGGGCGCAGTGACTGGCAGGGCCTGGTTTTCTGGAGGAGAGCCACCATCTGGCAATACACCAAGCAGAGCTAGAGCTTTAAGACCTAAACGTGGGAAGCAAAAAAGAGGTTGGTTAAAAGTTTTATAAGACAGTTATTCCCTGCAAATGCCATAAATCACCTTACTACTATATGGAAAGAGACGGCTGAGCTTCTCCGCAAGCTGGACCAGAGTACTCAATCTAAACCCCCGTCCCGATCCCACACATCTACTCAGCTCCTGACTTCAGACACTGAAGTCTCGACAGTGGGGACAACCTGTGCTTTGTTAACAGCAGAGGACAAAAGATACAGGAGGACTGCCTGTTTAGAAAATCAGACGTGAAGCTTTTATGAGCCCCACACAGTTAGGGTTTAAGTCCTCCCTGGCAAACAGTTAACAAGACAGATCTGAAGCACCAGTGTTACCCACCGCTACTTCATCCAAGTCTGATTCCCTAATGTTTACTAGAGTGAGGAGTTGGTCTGTTATTCTGAAAGGAAATTTATAATGCCAATGTTTCTCTCAAATGCATCTGGAGATTTAAAATTAAGTTCCAGGGGACCTCCTTGGTGGTCCAGTGGTTAAGACTCTGCGTTGCCAACAAAGGGGGGTGAAGGCTCAATCCCTGGTCAGGGAACTAGATTCCACATCCCGTGGGCCATGGCCGAAAGATAAAAATAAGAGTAACAATAAAAATAATTTTTTAAAATAAATAAAGAAATAAATAAATAAAATTAAGTTCCACTCCACGGTGAGCACCTCTTGTGGAAAACTCGATTTTTGACACCTTCACACTGAGCACTGCATTTCACTTCTGCTGAGGCTATTCCTTCATGAGCAATTTAGGGCTGGTTTGGTTTCTGAGCCTGAGGAACACTTACCTTTTCCCTGGTGAGCCTGCATCAGACAGTCCCCGACGAGCTGCAGGCACCGGCTCCGCAGGGTGGCAGCGCTGCTGCGGACCTGTGGGTCCAGCTTTTCGCCATCCATGTCCTCGGCGCTGGCCAGGTGGGCGCTATAGAGAGCCAGGGCGGCGAAGAGCAGCCAGGAGTAGTTGTGGATGTAGGGCTGGATGAGCCTCTGCCGGTCACTGATCCGGATGGTCACCATTGGATGGGCAGTGATACTGTGGGTAGGCAAGTGGCTGCAAAGGCAAGATACTTTTAAGGCCTGAAGGCCCTTGTGAGTGTCCAAAAAGGAGAATGGGACCTCAGGGGACCACATGCATGGTCACAGGTGGGCATCAGTAACCTCTAAGGCTGTTACTGAAAATTTCAAGATAGGTATTGGCCCTTTCTTTAGAAAAATGAACGAACACAAACACTACACAATCCATTTCGGGATTTCACAACCCTTAGAAGACTGTCCATGGAAACCAGTGAAGTAAGACTTTATTTTTGTGAAGCTTCACAGGGTGCGCTTATAGCATTTTGCTAATGTGAGGAAATGCCCATAATTTTTTGAGATGGATATGAAGTATGTAGGAAAGAAATGACTGAAGGTCTGGAATTTGCTTTAAAATACCTTAACAAAGCAGAAGGAAAAAAAAAAAAGAATCGAAGCATAGCAAAATCTTCCTTATTGCTGAGTCTGGGTAAAAGGGACTTGAAGATTCATTGTACTATTCTTTTTACTTGTGGGTATGTTTTTAATTTTTTATAATGTAAGGTTTTTTTAAAAAAGAGCAAACAAGTACATGAAAAGAAGTTTGCTGGGCTGGAGGTCATGTGAGACATACCCATAGGAATATTTCTTGGCTGCATAGCATCCATAGCACAGGTCAAAGTCATCGCATACATTGCAGTGCATCCTCCGGCCTATGATCAAACCCTGGCAGTGGTCACATGTGAACTCCATGTTGACCATTTCGTGGTCATCTCCATGGCCTTCAGGCTTCACCCCACCTGGGGGAAGAACAGCAGCGTGAGGTGGACTGGGCAAAGGGCTCTGAGAAGGGCTGGTTTCCAAACCCAAACCAAACCCAGAAGCAGAGTTGCTCCCAACAGATCGCTCAGGATGTCAGGGACCACAGGCCTCTTTCAGAAACCGGTGCATTCCGCCCAGTGGTTCTCAGCATATGAACAATACTCTTGGCACAGAAACTTCTTAGCAGTGGTACCATGGATTGACCTCCCTTTTTCAGTGCAATGCAGAGCCCAATCAAATAGATCACCAATTCCCATTACGACCTCCATTTGGCAGCACAAGTCCTCATGCCAATTTGTAAGCCATCTTCCATGAACCCTCCCCAGACACATCTAAGCATCTATTGGTGTATTCTTGTTAACAGGCACTGAGAAGTTATCAGGTATTTGCTTTTTCATTCCAGAATCATAGATGAAAAGAGACTCCATAACCCCAAACCCACTGAGTGAGAAAGAATGTGAGTCACGAAAGAGACTGACAGCTCTGGTCGCCTTCTCACACTGAGTCCAGTGGGTCTCCGAGCCCCATCACATACTCTGCTGAATGTTCCTCCCCTCTGACCCACTTCTGTTCCCACGGCCAGAAAGCTAGGCCAGGCACGAAACCCCCTGTCACTACTGTGATTTCCTACAGGAAGCTCTTACATGGACAGAACCAGCTTCCTCTAGCATAGCTCTGGTCATGTTAATACCCTGGTGGCAAAACTTCCCCTTCTGTTTGTACACTCATTCAATTCCTGAGACTGGCATCTCTGGATCCCATAACCTGGGCCCAAGCTGTCTCAATCCATCACTCAGCTGTGGACACTGGCAAGTCTGTCAAAACACACTACAGAAGCTCACTCCTCCGGCTGTGGACTCGCTCAGTCTTAGGATGATGCAATCTCCACTGTTAACTTTCTTTAAAGCCCAATTCACATCCCTAGGGGCTTCCCTCATAGCTCAGTTGGTAAAGAATTCGCCTGCAATACAGGAGACCCTGGTTCGATTCCTGGGTTGGGAAGATTCGCTGGAGAAGTGATAGGCTACCCACTCCAGTACTCTTGGGCTTCCTTATAGCTCAGCTGGTAAAGAATCCACCTGCAACATTGGAGACCTGGGTTCAATCCCTGGGTTGGGAAGATTCCCCTGGAGAAGGGAAAGGCTACCCACTCCAGTATTCTGGCCTGGAGAATTCCATCAACTGTATAGTCCATGGGGTTGCAAAGAGTCGGACATGACTGAGTGACTTTCACTTTCACATCCCACTTCCTCCACCAGCTTCCCTTCAACAGCAGCCCGCCCTCCTCCTGCACTCTCCCAGAATAATGTACACTGCTCATCTGTAACTCAGCAGGGACACTCCTATCCTGGCATACACCTTGTGTGAGCAGGTCCTGTCTCCTGCCACAGCTGTAAATGCTTCTGGGACAGGGGTTGTATATTATACAGCCAGGTGATATGCACACTAACAGCACTCAGCCGCTTACTACTGTCAACTTGCTTTGCCTCAGCACCTGCCAGTTGAGAGGATTCAAGAATTTCTGAAGTTTGCTTGTGTGTATTTTACTTCTTGTAAACAGCCTGATTCAGAGGGCAAAATCATTTCCTGAAAACTCAACTGGATGGACATTCACTGGTGCTGAGTGTTTATCAAGTGTCTACACCCAGTGACGAGGAAGGTGGAAGCTTGTCAGGTAACAGAGCTCTGGAGTTTGTCACTCAGCTGGGGAAGTGAGGTCATATTTGCCGACAAGACAGAGAACACTGCTGGGCAGTGTTGTCACTGTACAGTGGAAGGTTAAAAAATGACAAGATCATAGAAGATAGAAACGCTTCTTCCTTGTGGTGATGGCACACTCAGGCCGTGAACTTTACCTAGGAAGCAAGTCTTGCAGAGATCCATGTCGCTGCACTGCAGACAACGGTAGCGATGCCAGGGGGCGATCTCATCACACCCATCACAGGAGATGTCCACATTTAACAGGTCACAGTAGCGAGCAATAAACATGTGCATCTGTAAGGTGAAATAAAACACAATCAACCAACGGACTTCTAATGTGGCTACTATTCATTCATCAATCCATCCTTCATCAGCTACTTAAAACACTGCAGGCATTGTACTAGGTGCTAGGATTGGAAGACTAAGGAGCTCAGTGTCTAGCTGGGAATTCCTTTAAAGAAACATGACAGCATACAGTATGATGTATGGGCAGCCAAATTCAGGAGGCTCAGAGAGCACGTGGAGGTTTCTCAAAAAGAGTTAATTACTCAGCTGAGACCTGAGGGGCAAATAGGCATCAGCTGGGTGGAGATGCAGGTGATGAGCATGTGGGATAAAAGCGATAGCAAGTTCTATGGGAGACCACAAAAGGATCAAGCCGGGGGCTTGTGCACTTGGAAATAATTCCGAATGTAGAGCACACCATGGAGCAGGGCCGACTGGATACAGTTAGGAAGGTTAAACTGCAAGAGGCTGGGATGGAAGAGCAGCATGATCAGATGTGAGCATTCTGACAGCTCCCCTGGTGACTGAGTGGGAATGGGTCAGAGTGGGCAAGACTGGAGCCACGGAGACTGACCCTGACGGCGGCTGTCAGAGCAGCCCCCGACTGCTGACAAGGGCTGGGCTGGGCAGAAAGCGAGACAGTGAAAGGCGGGCAGATCTGAGCAGTATTAGGAGGTACCGGTGAGGAGCCTTGGGGGCTGACTGGTTATGGGGGCCAGCGAAAGTGAAGGGTCAAGAACAGCATCCAGATTTCTGGCTTGGGTACTTGGCTGGACAAGGGTTGGGTTCAGATACAGGAAACACTGCAAGAGAAGCATTGTTTGCTGGCATTTTAGGAGAAAAAACTTCTGGGGAAAGACTAAGGGCCCCATGTCATAAGCAAACAGTTTTACCGAAGGGTCCCTACAGGATAGTTTATCTTTACGGCCTGGAAATAAGGGACATAAATCACTGAGTCAGCATATAGCAGCAGAACACAGCAAATATGCCAAGCCACCTTAGGACTAGAGAATGGCTCCCAATAAGGTATTAACATATAAGAGAGAGAAATCACAAAGGCCAAGTCGGTGTGCTCGATCCAAGCACCGCAGAAAAGCTACATGAGTGAGGTAAGTGGCACACAGTAGGCACACAAGCTAAGAAAATGAATGCATCTGAGGCAGCAGACACCTGGTGTAGTGTGGTAGTGACAGATAAACCCCCAGTGTGGAGACGGATGTGTTAGGTTGGCTGAGCCTGATGACATGTGGGAACCAGGTAACTGATTCTGTGCACATATGGCTGCTTCCACGCTCACCAGGCAACCTTCTGACTGAAATGTGCCTTCCTGTGTTGCTTGCCTACAGGAAAAGTATGTACCAAGGACACCATAGTTCAGGGCCTTTAGGAATTCTGTTTTTCACTGTAAATTAATAAACTGGCACCTAATTATTTTACTTCGGCCTCATGAGCCAATTTCCTGTGAATCTAGTTCTAGGGGAGGGAGCCACTGCCTCCTGAGTGTGGTCAAGCCAGGATTTAGGACCCTAGGGTTAAAAGACCAGGCTCAGTGACAGCCACTCACTAGGGTACTGACTACCCCCTGGAGCCCTCTCAGGAGAGGGCCTACTGGCATGCCCCGATGCAGGCTTTCGTCTCCAAACTCCTAGCAAATCACTTCAGATTACCCTCATTGAGAGGTCTTACTTTCCTCTGCTTCTCTTGATCTTCCTGGGCTATTTTTTCATACCAGGCCTCAAACATGCCATCCTGACACTCATCCATCCATTCTGAATTCTGCTTGGCATCAGCAAGCTCATCTTCTTCACTCCATTGGCTGAAAAAAGGACATAAACAGAGAAAAGCATGCCTCTGCCAGTAATCAAGGCAAGTGCAGGTTAGCAGACTCTGTCCTACTGGTCTAGTACCCGAGGTGCTTAGAGACTTCTGAGAGCAAGAAGGCAATCTGGTTTTCAAAGCCCCAGGGTTTGCCAAATGTTTGATAGATACATACCAATAAAAAGGGTGGGGGAGGCCCTTCCAGAGCCTACTACAGTGGGTGAGGAATTGGAGCTTGAAAGGTTGTACCTACATGGCAAAAGCCCATTCAACAACCATTTGTGGTGAACCTACCATGTGCCAGGCACCAAAAAACGGGTGTGAACTGGACATGCTCAGCACACCCGTGGCAGCAGCACGAGAAGGGGGTTGGGAGACCCCAGGGCCTCGGCTCTCTCGCTGGCCGCTGTTAAGACCTGGACATGGCACTCGGCCCTGGTCCTCAGTTTCCTCAAGTTTAACAAATAATCTCAGGGATTCCTCTTAGAGGCAAAAGTATAGATTTCCATAATTTCAGTCAATAGCTTGTTTCAGCAACTGGAATTTTAAATACAAAAGTATTTACTCGACAGCAAACGCAAAGCATCTACCAACTGACACAGACACATTCGTTTGTTGACATGTTCCAATTAACTGATTTCAGGGCTACTCACTCTGAGCTTTGGGCCAGGGGCTGTGGGAACTGGTGGGGAAGGTGCAGTCCCTACTCTCAAGGACTGGCTCATGTAGCTGCAGGTGAAGCTTGAAACAAGGAGCAGACTGATAGCTTAAAGATGATCCCCCAACCCCTTCCTCCCGTTGCGGGTCCCCTCCCTCTGCCAAGAGGGCTCTCTGACAGCAGGGCAATGGCCGAGGTTTGGTAAATGAGGGGATCACTTATAATTTATCTCCTTTTTCCTACTTCTGAGAGAGGGAATATATCCCTTCTGAGAGAGGGAAAATAGGTGTTGATGCAGATCGTTCATTTCCTCCTGATTCTCTCCTCTTGCTCTTCTTTCCCCTTTCTTCTCTTTCTTTTCTACAGACATGTGTGATTAATGAGTACATGGACTTGAGTAGGGTGGAAAGACGTTCATTAGATGTGGAAAGGAGGAACTTCCCTGGCAGTCCAGTGGTTAAGAATTCGCCTTCCAATGCAGGGGATGCAGGTTGGATCCCTGGTTGCAGAACTAAGATCCCACAAGTCACAGGGCAACTAAGCCCACAAGCTGAAACCAGAGAAGCCTGTGCGCCATAATGACAGGTCCTGCCTGTTTCACCGGAGATCCCGTGTGCGGCAACTAAGACCCGATACGTCAAATAAATATTTTAAAAAATAATAATAATATAAAAGAATAAGTGGATAGAAAAAAAAAAACCTTTGTTACTATTTTTTCCCCTGATACCTTAAGTCCTTACAATGTACAAGAGGTTATAGTGGCTGGAAACCACACACACAGAACAAAAAAATACAGAAAAGGATTCTTCAATTCAACAAGTTCTATGAGGATCTCCACAAACAAGGAAGATCCTCATGCTGAGTTCACAGCACCACTGCTACCAACTTTTATACACCACCATGCCCCAGACACCATGCCGAACACTTGAGAACTCATTCGTTCTTCACAGCAATCCTATAAGGTAGATACTGTTATTACCTCCAGTTCTAAAGATGAGGAAACTGAGGACAAAGGAGTTAAAAGCTGTCTGAGGTCATCCAGTGAGGGTGAGGCAAAGACAGGAAACTCCTCAGACAGCCTAGCTCCAGGCCTGAGCTCTGAACCCCTACCCCTGTGCTACTGCTCCGATCCCTGCGCTTCACGGGCTCCTGGAGGAACGGCGGAGTACAGAGCGAGCCCTTACCTGATCGCACTGTCATGGGCACTTATGTTTTCCTGTGACAGTTTCATGAGGAGATCTGGTAACTGAATGCCAACAAAGAAGGTGAGATCACTGGGTTCCCAGCCCATGTCCAAAAGGTGCAGCAGGGCCGTCTGGATGCAGGACAGGGCAGGCAGCAAGGACCTGAAGAGGCCGTGAAGGTGAGAGTTACCAAAGCTGCCCGTCACCCATGAGGATGACAGAAACAGTGCGCGTCAGACACCTGGTATGTCTGTCAGTGGAAAGCGGAGGGAATCCCAGACTGCTGGTTTGGGTTCCCTACGATATCTTTTCAAGTTTCTCAGATTCCATATAAACCCTCTTCAAAGAACATCTTAAGCAAAAGAGTTCTGAAAGCATCAAGTAGCAAGGTTTCCACCCTGCCAGGACTACCACAGGGGACATTTTATGGGAAAAGACTGAACAACACAACTCAGCTCTGATCAACAGCAAGATCAGGGCCAGCCCCAATGAGCCTGGGTCATGCTGCTCAGATGTAGAGAAGAACCACTTGATTTAAGGCTTATGTCTACACCACTTACTATGGAGGAGACTGGGGAATGGCTTTTAAGTTTTTAAAACTGAAATAACAGGTTACAGATTCTTAGATGAACCAAGACCCATCTGCTTTAAAAAACTGTATATACCATAGAGAAAAAAGGCTGGGAGAAAATAATACTGATAAGTTAACATTAGCAACTAGCTCTAGATGGCAAGATTAGGGGTTATTTTTATTGTACTCTTTGTGCTTTTCTGTATTTTTAACATTAGACATGCATTTCTTTAAAAGTCAGAAAAAAAGGGAAAAGATTTTTCTCTAGAAATCATATTAAACTCTCTCATACCTGTCATTTTTGCTATTGTATCCTTTGACTGCTTTGACCAAAAACAAAACAAACTGATAGTAAGTGTCTCTAATTTCTTTGTGTAGATCTGCACCACAGCCTTCCAGGTGTCCAAAATAACTATAAACAGAAGACATGACCAGTCACTTAATGGCCAAAACATTTACTTAATAATCATTATTCCTTACATGAAAAGAGCGAAGAAGAAGCAAGCTAACAAAGTGGTGGAGAAACTTAAGTAAATAAAACAACTGCAGAAAGTAAGCAGACAAAACAGCAACGACTCATCTGCTTGTGTCAAGAAGGCCACCCACCAGGAGTATGGAGATGACTATTACTAATCTTTCCTTATTAATATAAAAACCACCCTTCCCACCACTACCAGAGTGCCTGGTACTATGTGAAGTATTCTTCACAAATTTAATCCTCTCCTCTTATCTCCATTTTCTTGACTTATTTACTTGGGTGTGAAAGAAGCAGTTCAGGACTTTCCCGGTGACTCAGTGGTAAAGAATCTGCCTGCCAAAGCAGGAGACGTTGGTTCGATCCCTTGTACTTTGGACTTACTTGGTAAACTCTTTCTGGCAGGTGAGGAGTTCCAACAGGAAAAGGATGTAAGGCGGGTGGAAGCAGTGAGGCTGCCCAAGGGACTCGGTACAACACTGGATGATCCTCAGCACCTCGAGGATGCTCCAGGCTTGGGCCTTCCTCAAGGAGAGAACCTTTACAACACTGGAGACAGAACTCAAGTCAGGAACACCCAGAAAACTCGCAAGCTGGGGCAGAAAGAAAACAGACCCCCGCCCAGAGTTCTGAGGCCATATTAGTAAAAAGGAAATACTATTGTGAGGTATCATGTTTGCTACTTTTAGTCATTACTCAGCAACATTACAAATCACCTCACTGTTTGGAAGCCCAATGACTCAGGTTAAACAATTAATTAATTAAAAAGGAACTCTGCCTCTGTGGTAAACAGGACTAACTTCAGATAGGAAATTAAAACATGCAACACTTCCAGAGGTGTAGATTCACTGACAAGTAATGCTGTCAGAAAACATCAAATCCAAAACTTCTCCCAGGGTTAAAATAAGACAGATTTATTTTGGCAGCTACCAAATGTTTCTTTTTTTAATCCAAATAGTACCTTACTGAGATAAAATTTACATATAGCATAATGTACAAATCTCAAGTGAAAAAAATACCTCTTTTTTTTTAAAAAAAAAGCTTTTTTCTTAAAGATTCTGAGGCAAATCTTGATCTGTCTTTCAAGTAGCATTTGCTCATTTTTATGAATAACATGAACTTCGAGTCTTTGATGAGACTGGGTACCTGCAGGTGAAAAGAGGTGCTCACCTCTCGTGGGAGAGTGACTGATCTTTGATGAAGTCCATGAGGTCCTTCAGCACTGGGTACTTCTCTTTCACCGTGGGTGCCGGTCTGGCCTCCTCCATTGAGCGGAAGGAGAGCAGCCGGAGTCGCCCCCGGGTGAAGGGAGGCCGCCGGGTGGGAGTGGAAGGTGATGAGGGCTCCTCTGCTGGGACAGAGGACACTTCCAAGGCAGGTGGGCCTCCGCTGGGGGGCAGCGTGGGCTGCACGTCTGGGCCGGGGCTCTGGTCTCCCGCAGTCGGGGGCGCTGCTTCAGTGGGCGACGCCAAGGCTTGGAAGTGCTCTTCCAGCACAGAGCTTGTCCTCCGGCGCTTGTCCAGTGGCTGCAGGTGATCTGTGTCATCCACGGCCACCGATCTGTCACAGCTTTCTTTTGAACCTCCACCCGTGGGCAAAAATTTCAACAGTAGAAGACTCTTCTGATAACATTCTTTTGCTGAATGTGAAAAAAGCAAGAAGGAGAGCGAAAAAAAAACTCCAAATGAAACTTGTTGCCTACTTTGGAATTGAAAATAATCTACTTAAAGTCTACAATTTAGGACAGGAAATACCTCCAATAATACAGGGATGTACACGTCTATTGACAGAAGGGAATCATATTTTCTCTCATTATACACATCAGAAGCTAACACTATAAGCACACTTTAAGTTTTATTGTGCATATTTTCACACACATTAATCTAATATCGAGAGACTAGTATAAGGAGTCCTCCATGTACCCCTCACCCAGATTTAACAGCTATCAATCCAAGGACAGTCTTTCCCAATACCACCCCCTCCACCTGCCACAACCCCCTGGATTATTTCCATGCAGATCCCAGGCATCACATTATTTCCTCTGCAAAATCTTCAGTGTATTTCACTAAAAAGAGTTTTAAGTAATAACATTACCAAGAAACACACACTTTCTGGAAAACATAATGAGCTGTAGCTCAAAAAGCACTTGGTGCCTAGGAGAGGTATTTTTTAAAAAGGCTCCATTTGGATCATGTTAATGAACAACTGGGCTTCCCTGGTGGCTCACATGGTAAGGAACCTGCCTGCAATGAAGGAGCCCCCGGTTCGAGCCCTGGGTTGGGAAGAGCCCCTGGAGAAGAGAATGGTGACCCACTCCAGTATTCTCGCCTGGAGAATTCCATGGACAGAGGAGAATGGTGGGCTACAGTCCATGGGGTCTCAAAGAGTTGGACACAACTGAGCAACTAACACACACACACAATGAACAATTAACAACTGGCACTTCCCTATTTGTGACATGTTCTTGGAAAAGACCTTTAGTGCCTGTGTTACCTTCTCTAGGTAAACGCTGCTTCAACTAAACTAACCCAAAAGATGGGTCCCTGGTTTCCTACTAAATCAGAGATGACAGCTGGAGCAGGTACTCACCCAGGCTCTCGGGGTTCACCTCAGCAGCTTCCGTCCCCCGCGGTTCTTCTGCCTCGCTCCCCAGGTTCATCAGGGACTTCTGCTTCATCTCTAACTGGGGGAGGGTTTGAGCCACATGGTTACGTTGTCCAGACAGGGCAGAAAGAGCAGCCACAGCAAACTATTAACACTTCAAAAGCACACAGTGTTGAGATTCCAGAGAACTTTATAGCCCTATGGTGAGGACACAGGACTGAACTGTTTTCATTTGTCCTAGAAATAATCCAGAATTTGAAGCTGCTTAAAGGTCTATCTGCAAAACTACCTCCTTTTCAACTATGTGTTATATGGGAGGGATTTGTAACCATGACCCTATTCTTTAAAAAATTCTAGAATGCTGGAGATGGAGGGGCCCTTACCTAAAACTGACCTACTAATAAAGAAGTGAGGTCTTGGTTAGGACTAGCCTTTAGGACACTGTGTTTCCACTGTAAGTGGCATGGGTTTGATCCCTGGTTGGGGAACTAAGATCCTGCAAGCTGTGTGGTGTGGCCAAAAATCACACATCCAGTTTGCAGCAGAGGTTGAACTAAAACTTGATCTCTATCCTGCTCTGAAGGTGAGACTGCCTCTAAGTGATGCTAAGACTGCCGGGCGGAGAATGGTGCTCCTAGTACCAGCACAGGCAATGGTCACAGTGTGGGCCACGGTGCTGACAGCCCAGACAGAAGACCAATGATGTATGGAGACCAGGGTCTTAAATGAGAAGGCTGGCATCTTGTCCAGTCATTTGCAGTCTGTCCTATGCTGAACCAGGAGCATAGTCTACAATATGCTTTGTCCCAACTGCCAAACCCTTTTCCCTTCAGCTGTCTGTGGGAGCTGACTTTATCAGACACACTTTCTTTAACTGCAGGAGAAGGGGGCGACACAGGATGAGATGGCTGGATGGTATCACTGACTCAATGGACAGGAGTTTGAGCAAAATCCGTGAGACAGTCAAGGACAGGGAAGCCTAGCGTGCTGCAGTCCATGGGATCGCAAAGCTGGACATGACTGAACGACTGAACAACTGCCTTGGTTTCTCTGTCAGTACATTGTCAGTACACTGATTCTCCTCCCACCATCCTGATGATGATATTTTTAAGTTTCCTTTAAGAGATCCTGTTCATTCGGGTCTCCACCTATCTATCTAGTCTACATTGAGCACCAACTATGTTATCATCGGGGACTTTGTCCAAGGCTGTATGTTCCTAGAAAAACGCAAATTTTTTTAAAAAAACCTATTACCAATGATTTGAAGTTATTCTTATCTCTGCCTTGACATGTATATTATCTCACATTTATTAAATTCTCCAGCTAGGTATCTTCGATAACCTAGGTGTCCTCATATTTAACATGTCCCAAACTGAACTTAGCTCCCTACTCCCAGATCCAAGACCATTCTTCCTACTCTGGTTAATACTTTCCCCACTCACCAGGTCACCCCCACCGGGAACACGGAACACGGGAACAGTCCTAAATTCCATCTGCCTTTTCATCATACCCGTCAATCACACAGTCTAATTATCTTACCTCCCAAGTAGCAGAAGCCATCCTCATTTAATTATCACAACTAGTCTCCTGCAATCAAGCTTTTTCTTTTCTTTTTTTAATTTCTTGGCCTCATAGCATGTGGGACCCTAGTTCCCCAACCCCAACCAGGGATTGAACCCATGCCCCTTGCAATGGAAGCACAGAGTCTAACCTGCTGGACCACCAGGGAAGTCCCCTCTTGCTTTCGATCTCATTATCCATCCTCTACTCATTTTAAGATTGCTTTCTCAATTACTATACAATATTTAAGATGGTTGTAAATATATATATATATATATATATAAATAATACTAACATATACCTACTCATCTCCACACCTAAGAAATAAAAAGAATTCTCTTTTACTTGCTGTTTATCATTTCCATGCATTTGTGTAATTTTACTATGTATTTATGTACATGACAGGGAGATCTGGTTTAAGTTTTATTTGAGGAATACCATACCTATGCCTTCTACAACTTGCTATGTTTTGCTCATCATCACACTTGTGAGCACCATCCATTGCTAATAAAGGCAGCTCTATTTCATTTACTTTCACTGTAATATAATATTAATGTAATATCTCCTATGAATGAATGTCTTGCTCTTCCAAGTTTATTGCTGTCACAAAGAATGCTGCAGAATTACTTTTCCAAAATGCAGAAAGCCCTCTCCTTTGAGAAAGGCCTCCTCTCTGCCTAAAACCATCATTGGTTGTCCAGAATCTAACGCAACGCTTTTTCTCCTAGTCTACCAGGTTAGGTTCCACCAAGCAGCCTTTGGGTTACAGAAGAAGGCAAGTAAGGGGGGCTCAACTGACTCCTGTGTACTCTGACAATCTAATATTCACCAAGTTATGATTTCAAGGGTCCTAAATTATTTTTTATCCTTTATCCATTTGCATCACTGAACTTTAGTTCTGAAAAGCATTCCTAAAGTTATATTCTTGAGAAGACAGCTACTTACCTTAATTCAAAGATCTGGTAGAAAAACTCAAAATATATAAAAATCACAAAAGAACATCTTACCATCCATATTCGAATCCCATCAGCCAAGGAATACACCTGTGCAAACTCCTCACTCAAGGCTGTCTTGCCCCCGCTGTTTACTGGGGAAAGGAGAGGTTACATTCAGTTAACACAATTCACTACTGCAACATTAAGCCCAAAGTCACTTCCCAGTCTCTGCACAGGAAACCTCTTCCCCTGACACTTGCACATCATGTGTGCTAAGAGAGGCCTGGGGGTAGAAAACCATCAGTGAACTACAAACACCTGTAATGGGTTCTCTGTTACTTCAAACTAACTTTTTTTCAAATGAAAAGCATCTGAAATGGATATACTATTAAGGGTAAAATATAAATATATTAAGGTAAAATATAAAATATAAAAAATAGTAAAAGCAAAATAAAAATTATTAAAAGTGAGTAAGAAATAATTATTAACATGAAAAAAATTCATGATTCATGGTGTATATTAAGTGAAAAAGGTTGGTTATGAAACAGTATATACAAAATTAAATTATTTAAAAAGAGTATACAGGACTTCCCTGGTGGTGCAGTGGATAAGAATCTGTCTGCTAACTCAGGGGACATGGGTTTGATCCCCGGTCTGGAAAGATTCCACATGGTGTGGAGCAACTAAGCCTGAGCCCATGCTCCAGAGCCTGTAAGCCACAACTATTGAGCCCATGTGCTGCAACTACTGAAGCCCGTGAGCCCTAGAACCTGTGACTCCACAAAAAGAAAAGCCACCGCAATGAGAAACCCTTGCACCACAACTAAGAGTAGTCCCTGACTGCCACAACTAGAGAAAGCCTGCACGAAGCAGTGAAGATCCAGCGCAGACAAATAGAATAAAATAAATAAATAATTTCAAAAATAAAAAATACAAAGCATATATAGTAAAAACATGGTATGTACATATATGTATATATATAACTAAATAAAAAGCCAGGAAGATACAAAGAAAAATGACCATAGAAAAATGTTCTTAAAGTGGTGAAATTACAGTTGATAATTACTTTAAGCTTTTTTGTACTTTATAGGTTTCTACATGAATAGGTATTATTTTTATAATTAGAAAAAAAACGTTTTTAAGGTTTCTTTTGTGTAATAAATCCTATGAGGCCTGTCGCTTCTTTTCATCTTAAAAGCAAAGGAGGGACTTCCCTGGTGGTCCAGTGGCTAAGACTCCACGCTCCCAATGCAGGGAGCCCAGGTTCAATCCCTGGTCAGGGAACTAGATTCCACATGCCGCAACTAAGAGTTTGCACGTTGTAACTGAAGATCCTGCCTGCTGCAACTAAGATCTGGCGCAGCCAAATAGGTAAATATTAAAACAAATAAATAGCAAAGGATACTATACGAGAACAGGGTGATACTCTCTGTTGACCCAATGTTGATGCAATGAATTTTCTGAATACCTAGAATGTGCCAGGCTCTGCATCGGGTACTGGGAATGTGATGCTGAGAAAAACAAAGATGGCCCCTGCCCTCAAACAGCTTACAGTCTAGTTGAAAATTTCTAACCCAAAGGGTGACAAATTTTTAGACAAAGATAAGCAAGTTAGTGAGACAAGGACCACTCTCAATGTAGATCAGTCTTGAAGAATCCACAAATAGCCCCTTAGAGGCAGGGAAGGAAAGGACTGGGACCAATTGTGCCTCCTTCAAAGCAACAGTGGTAGGTATTCTAGAAACAATTTGTACACAGTGAAATAGTTCTTGTTCCCACACTTGATTGTGTGTATCTCAACAGCAGATAGCTATGAACATGATTGGAAAAAGAGCTGGAGGACCTCTCCCCCAGCCAGAAACCTTCTGTATCTCAGCTTTGTACTCACAAGGCTTTTATCCTTCCACTGACAGCCTGCACAGGTAACAAAGATTATCAAGTTCTCTTGCTACAATTTGACTATGAAAACATACACTGAATTTTTTTTTTCCCTCAAAACCATGATGATGTCAGTTCACCCCCATCCAATAGCAGAGATAACACTCTTCCATGTGACAGCTGTTTCCTTAAGTCACTCATGCTTCAGTGTAATTTTATTTATTTGAGCAGCTTCTTAAAGGAAATATTAAGGCTTGAACGAGTAATTGAGATGTTTTAGACCTCAGGAAATAAACTCTGCAATGTGAGACACAAAGAACTAAGCAATAAAGGTAGCAGTGCTAATAATATCCTTAGTAGTAATAATAATAATTAGAACAATAATCAATTATCTACTCTAAGGAAGGAAGCATTTGTTTCTGCTAATTTCATTGGCACCATGGAAAGAACAGACATCCTGCCAAAGTGCTTGGGACAGCCATACCCTGTCTTTACACTGGGTCTGAAATGGTTTTTCCCCTGAAAGACTATGAGTAGGGAGAGGCCCTCCCTCTTTGTGGGTCCCGTTAAGGCTCTAGTCTGCACATTCTGCAAATACACAGAGATGGTATCCCTAAGAGACGTGAGGAAAAGAAATGGCAACGAGCAGGCTACTGACAAAGGAAGCTGAGCAGGGATTATGCTACCAAGAAGCTGCAAGTCTAAAGATAAGAGTTAATACCTGCATTTTCCTCTTGGTTAGTAGCACGTTCAATTATCAAAACATCTTTGGTTTTGACTGGAATTTCTTAACATGTTAGAGCTTATCAACTCTAAACTTTATAGATAAGGATACGCGGGTGCACAAAGGTTATCTGATTAATCTGAAGCTGCACAACTTCTGGTTTGTGAGCTGGAACTACAACCCAAGTTAAGTTTTCTTTCCATTAAACTTCTCAGCAGTCTTCCATGAGAATTCCAGATAAAGACCAATTACCTGTTGATGAGGAAACCCAAGGCTACTTGCTATATATATTGCAATCTGCTGACTATAAATTGGTCACGAATCTCTTGATTGGCACAGCAGGAGTGACAAGATGAAGTCTATAGTTGTAGAAGGATGTTTATGTTCCAAACTATTTTAAAACTTTCACTTAAGAAAAAGCTTTCTTAAAACTTAGCAATTGGCCTTCAGATCAAAAATATTCCCTGTAGTATAAGTTACCATATTTTTGCAGCTTCTCATATAAGTCTGGAGTGCGATACACCAGAGCAGCAAAGGTGGCGTTCACAGCTTGATCAATAGTGGAACCAGCAACTATATCTGTCTTTGGGGCCTGTTTTCTACATGCCTGTATGAATCCTTTGAAAAGTTCTGAATATGGCCCACAGAAGTTCTGGGCAGGATCTGACTGTGCAAAGTCAAGAAGAAATTGATGGCAGGGATCATCAGGGATGTTCTTAACCTGGGAACAACAAAAACAAGAAAAACCATCCTGTTTAACATATTCATTAAAAAAAATTAAGTTTACTGAACAACTACTAGGCCAAAGCAGAAGTATAAAACACAGTGCATACTCTGAGGAAGTTTCAGTCTATTTGGGGGGGGGATCAGACAGACACATGGGTTATTTAAAAAAAAAAAAGGTAAACATAAATAAAACGTTAAAAGCATTTAAACTACCACTACCATAAAGCATAAAGATTATTGAGTGCCAAATGCCTAGAAGGGACACCAATGCTGAGAATTCACAGGAGAGAGCTCCTGGCAGGTTACAGTAATTAAGAAAAGCCTTCTGGAGGGGATGGGTTTTGGTCTGAACCCTGAAGACTGGGCAGGTTTGGCCCTAAGGAACACAACCATTAGCAGAAGTTAAGAGCCAGTGGGGAGACTGACCTGGCCTGAAGTCTCAGCTGGGGAGTGGTGGGAACTAGAGTCAGATAGGTAAGGTGAAAGGAGACTGTAGAGAGCCTTGACTGTCACACTGAGGAGTTTAGACTTCACCCTGTGGGCAATGGGGAGCCATTAATGGTGCTTGGCAGTGGAATGACAAGATAATGCAGTGATTTAAAAAGAAAAAAAACAAACTTGGTAGGTACCAATGTAACAATGCAAGTGCGAGATGAGGGCCTGGATAAAGATGGAGACAGAGAAAACGGAAAGAGATCTCAAGGAAGAATCCACAGGGCTTGCAGTTGACTGGAAGGAAAGGGGAGAACAAGGTGGGGATAAAGGTGATGCTAGGTTACAATGGCTTATGCCTGGGAGAACAATAATGACAGTAACAGGAGCAAACAGTCCGGGGAGACATCCTGGTTTTACACGTCTGAGTTAAAGGGAGTCAGAACACTGAAATGAAAGTACTAACAGGAAGATAGGCATATGTGACTGGAGCCTGGGAGAAGAACCAGGGCTGGAAACTGATTACTTAGGTTTTTTTCACACAGATGTGACGACAGAAGCGAGGAGACAGGATAATGTCTTGGTGGGTTTCAGGAAAGCAGAGAAAGCCTGAATGAAGCCCACTTTTTATAGAAGAAGGAAGAAGACAGGTCAATAAAGGAGGCAGGGGGAGTGGAGACATGTAAGAGAAGACAGTGGACTGCCATGGAATACAAGAAGAAAGGGTCTGAAGGAGCAGAGAAGTTAAGGAAGAGTCCCTGGATCCAGCCACTAATGACTGAAGAACTGGGGTGGGGGAAAGTGGGAATAAGGGAGAGAAGTGGTAGAACTGAGAGAGGGGGACAGAGAGATGAAAAGATTTAGTGGGCAAACTTGTTTAGTTTATAATATTATAAGCCTAAATAATGTGCTACTGTCCTGTGGAGAACAAGTAAGCATAGCATACACCATCTGTTCTTAAGTGTGACTCAGCAGGCACAGGAAATAAACTCAACTCATTTAAACAAGGCCATCAAGAGAGATTTACTGAGCACCTACTATATTACCACTGCAGAGTCTGTCAGTTGATACTTTTGAACACCCGTTACACTGGCCCCTGTGAGGACCCCAAATGAACAAGGGATAGTTTCTGCCCTCGAGGAGCTAACAGCTTCGTGCGGGGTGATAAGATACATACACAAATGCTTATAATTTAAAGTGATAAACATTAGTAAACATTTCTCATTCCAAATACAAAGATAAGTGAAAAGTAAATACCTCCTTATTATCCTGGGGTGGGTGAGTGGGCCAGCTTGCTTCTAATCCCAACTCTGGATGTATTTGGTGCCTGAAGACAGGTTTCCACAAGGGGGAGTTTAGGACTAATGCCATTTTTGCCTGAGGTACTGCCATGTTACTGCCTAACTCTGCAAAGAGAAGAGGAAGGCTTATGAGAGTTCTATTTTTCTCTTAATATACTGAGAAACTTTGAACTGATGAAGGAAAGGCTTAAAAAAAAAAAAAACCTGGGCATTAAGACTTGCAGGGAATTTATCCACATTTAGCAGAACCTAATTGTGATCCTTCATAAACACATACCCTGGTGAACCGAAACCATTAGGCAGTCCCGAAAAGCTGCCATTCTGTATGACAGGTTCAGGTACAGGTCTCTCTGAAATAACTAAGCCATGAAGCAAACTGGAAACAGAATGTGAACCATCTCTTGGGTATAACAGGAGACCATAATTTGTAAACTTAAGCTTGTAAAAGGGCTTCCCTGATAGCTCAGTTGGTAAAGAATCCGCCTGCAATGCAGGAGATCCCGGTTCGATTCCTGGGTCAGGAAGATCCACTGGAGAAGGGATAGGCTACCCACTCCAGTATTCTTGGGCTTCCCCTGTGGCTCAGCCGGTAAAGAACCTGCCTGCAATGCAGGAGACCTGGGTTCAGAAGATCCCCGGGAGAAGGTAAAGGCTCCCCACTCTAGTATTCTGGCCTGGAGAATTCCATGGACTGTATAGTCCATGGGGTCGCAAAGAGTTGGACAGGACTGAGCAACTGAACTGAACTGAAAAGGAATAAGAGTAATAGAAAAATACCCACCATATACGCATTTATGAATAAACAAATAAAAAAAGACAAGGTAGAAATAGATTAAAATGTTAATAATAGCCATGTCTGGGTATTAGGATTAAAAATGGCTTTTCCCCTTAGCCTTTCTCCATTATGTAATTTTCTCTACGATCTTTTACTTTAAAAAGGAGAAAAACTCAGGAAATTATACAGGAAAAAAATTACACTAGATAGCTTCATTCTATTTGTTTCATTCATTCTTGGATGAATTTAACACATAAATTGAAGAAATCACTTTAAGGTAAAATCCATGTTCACATATTCACACATATTCACATAAATAGTCACATAATCAGAGAATATACAATTAACTTATTCTGAATTTCTGCCTTCTTGTTGGAGGGTATCAAAACTTGACAAAAAAACTGACAGTGCTGCAAAACCAGCCCCTCCCTGACTCGTCCTCCACAGACAGGGAAACCACTGTGGCCCTGGTGCTGTGCCCCAGTGCCTGAGTCAAGCAACCTGATGAAGCTGGAGTCAAGGGGACATTTTACTTTGGTTGGGTTTCAAGGAGACTGAGAGGGAATTTTATCAGTCCCCTTGCTGTGCCATCATGTGGAGACAACTTACAGGACAGGGGTACCACTTTGCTCTTAGTGTAGCTGTGGCAAGGAGGGAAGGGACAGTTCCAGGACTTACGGTGCACAGACTTGAGCGCCATGCACTGGGAAGCGAGGCGTCCCATCAGCCGGGACACCAGGAGCTGTAAATCCAGCCCCCAAGACACAGCGACATCAGGCAGGCCGTAGGCAGTGACGGTGAATTTGTAGCCCCACTCATTGTTGCTGCTGTCGGAATGGAAGAGAAACTGCAGCCGGGGACCAGCCTTAAAGGTCACTTTCTAGAGATAAACAAAGAAGTCATGGGGTCAAACCACATAGAGAAAGCAGCATTTCAGTAAGAAGCATGTTCTTCTTGACTCAAAAAAGTCTAAATTTAAACCTGGCCTATAATTCTCACCATCATGTCTTATCACCCCCTCCGAAAGTACTAACAGAGAAATGAACAACGGAGTGGTGAAACAGAAAATTCACCACTGCACCTCATGAAGAGGCAAAGCTGAAAACTGCTGGTCAGTTTCCTAAATCTCAGATGCCCATCTGCCCACCACTTACTCAGCGAGAGACCATCTTGCCTGCTCCTCTGCTCCCAACCAAGACCGCTGACAGTGAAGCAACACTTTACTTCCCAGCCCCAGAGACCATGTGGCCCTAACTATGAGGGAATCCTGGCTTTCACCACCATGGTTGGGGCCTTCCTGGACCGATCGGCCCTTCTTACTAAGGATAACAATTCACCATGTACTCTGGACAATGTGATATAGACCAGGACAATGTGATATAGCATGGTTGTACCCCCCCAAAAATTAATTACAAAACAGGTGCTGAACTCTGATATAAACACTTCCTTTTACAAAAGCGTGACATAAGTACTTCCCTTCAAAGACCGTTATCTCTATTATCCCCTGAGGCTGATAAAAGGAGAACCGTTGCAGAAACAGGCCACATATGATTCTCTGGAAACACCACTCACCTTGGGCCACTTGTCAGTGCCAACTTTTGTGTCATACCGTGTTTTCCCACCTCTGGCGTCGGTAAATTCTAGATAATCATACCTGTGAAAGCACAACTTCTATCACTTTCCTTCTCTCATTTTTGATCCATTATTGCTTGGGGAAAAAAGAACAGATGAGCTGTACCTTTTTTCAGTTTCACATCTCTCATCAAATTCCACCTCGAAATAGGTTGCCCCTGGGCTGACAAAGACAGACACCTCATGGCAGTTATTTTCATAGTTGTGGGCAGACTCCTTGGTCCACGTATGCAACACCACAGGGCGTTCCTGCTGCCACGTCTCAACGTCCAGCTAAGCAGACAAACGAGCCAAGAGAGGAGGATTTTTGTCACTCTACATCCATCCACACACAGGAAGCTGTGCCCGGCATCAGCACCCCTGATGGCAGCCTTTGACACCCCCACACAAGTCACCACATGGGCTAAAACTCCACCTGACGTTCTCATCTGTACATATCGACCAAGATTCATTATACATTTATTCAGCAGAGCAGACATGGAGTTTCTACTGCACTACAGTAACTCCGATTAGCTTTTACTTTTTAATTATGACTATCTGTGAGAACTATTTCTTACAAACAAGTACTAGTGTGAATTTCCAGTGGTTTTAAGACTTGACACCCCTATTTGGCAAACCTGAGCCTATCCTGTCTTCTCCCTCCTTTTTTCAGTCTTTGCTTTTTTTTCTTTAAAATAGGCCTTTAAATATATGCCCTTTGAATTCCCCAGAGTTGTGAGATCCAAATAAGACACTGAAAAAACTTTGAGTCCTGTCAAGTGGAGAAGGGAGAAAATGCTTTTAAATAACAAACCCTCTAATTTGCCTTTCAACAACAGATTTTCCCTTCTTGATTTCAATCTGGTTAATCATTTATATGGTTTTTATATAACATCATGTGCCACACAATGATGAAATTAATCTATGTACAGCTTCTTCAGTGTCTCCTGTCTAATGCTGACCACGTCAAATCAACCCAGACTGGAGTTTATCCTTGTAGGCAAAACCAACACTGGTAAAGTTGATTAACACTGAAAAAATACTGATAAGACAGAGGGAGCTCCTCCAGAGGCAACTTATTTGTGTAGACCTGTACTGAGTGATCTGTCTCGTGACGCATGGGCACGGTGCTCCTGAGAGGGGCTACAAGGCGCGTTCAAAGCCAGCTTGAGGTACCTTGTTCACCCCTCCATCGGCGTCACTGCAGAGCTCTTTCAGCAGCTCTGTCAGGGCACTGAACTCTCTCAAGAGTGTGCAGTGTGAAATGTCCAGCGTGCAAAAGTCCAGCAGAAAGATCACCTGCAGGAAGATGAACGAAGCACTCAGCGTCCGCCTCGGAGTCAGCCAGGGATGCAGATGACCAACCCCGCCTCCCGTCTCTTACAAACGGCTGCCACTCTGTCTTACCAGCTGGCGAGCTGCCATCGAAAACACCGAGTTACATAATTTTTCTACTATGGCTTTCCCGCTATATTGTGACAAAAGGGATTCCAAAATTACTCTCATGCGTGCCAGAAACTGCCCCACATCTGCCAAAACATAAGGAGAAGAGTTAATAGTTTCTATGGTAGAAACATCACTTGCTTGGTGACCATCAAGGACAGAGCTGGAGAAGGTCACAGGAGCTGTGGAGGGACTTCATCAGAAAGACTGTGAGACCATCAGTGAAAGTCGCTTAGTCGTGTCTGACTCTTTGCAACCCCATGGACTATATAGTCCATGGAATTCTCTAGGCCAGAATACTGCAGTGAGTAGCCTCTTCCTTCTCCAGGAGATCTTCCCAACCCAGGGATCGAACCCAAGCCTCCTGCATTGCAAGCAGATTCTTTACCAACTGAGCCACAAGGGAAGTCCATGAGACCATCAAGTGTCCTACAAGTGTTTTCCTCTGGGAGGGAAAACCACTGCGAACCTCAGTAGAATTTTACTCTTAAAAGTGAGGGACTTTTTTTTTGTCTTTGCTACTTTTCAATGGGGTGGAGGTATGATTTTTATAAATGAAAGTACATGGCTGATTAAGCCAGTTATTGATCTGCCTTTCTCTTTGTTTACAAAGGGCCTGTCTCCAGGTACACCATTTGACAGGCCAAACTTGAAGAGCCAGGAGGCAATACTGTAAGCATTTTTGACACAGCTCCAAGATCAGGTTTGATGGAACTGATTTTTCCACATACAAATTCTCAGAACTTGCTGGGTTTCCAATGATTTTCTGGGGATTTATGGGACATGAATCTGAAAATTTTCAGCATCAGCAAGGATCACAGAAGTGCTCACATGTACCTTAGATTTTGAAAGTTCGAGACTTCCTTTTTTGGATAACTTGATTAAAAGAGGGAGGACACACTTGACTGAAGAGGATGGTACCAACTCAGAGTGCTGTGTGACTGCAGAGGCGATGTTTGGGCTGTGAAATGACGCAGCCCTTCAATAAACACACTTGGGCACACTACCACATTCAGAAAGGAAACTCAGAGCAAAAAGACATGCTAAAGAATTCAATTTTAAGGAAAAAAGAAAAAAAAAAACAACACAAGCCGAAGACAGATCTGATCTGTAATAATGAAACGAAAAGGACATACACTCTACAATATGCATGAAGTAGTGAGATGAGAGCACACACAGAGCCAAACCCAAACTCCTATCTGTTTTCATGGGTCCTGTATTGACACTTACATCTGTCAGTGAGGTCGGCGGCGAGATCCTTGGCTCCGGGGTCCGAGCTCTTCAGCTGCAGGTAGCACCAGGCGAGCAGGCTGCCCTGGACAGACCAGAACAGGGAGGAGAGCACAGAGCCCGCCTCCCTCTGAGCGCCGTCGACCATCAACAGCTCACACTGCACGGGGGGGGGGGGGGGGGACAAACGGAGAGTGTCTGCAGCACGCAGCCTGCACGCGCTGAGAGCGCGGCTGTCAGAAGTGTCTGCAGCACAGCCACTCGCAGAACGCAGCCTGGACGCGCTGAGAGCGCGGCTGTCAGAAGTGAGGAGGCTCTAGGCAAGTGGGGAATAGTTATGAGAGAGCTTTCAACCCCAAAGTGACCGAGAAAGATGGCAGCGTGGAAACTCCTCTCTTGCCCTCTGGCTTCTCGGACCCTTTACAGACGATTCTGACTCTGTGTGCCACCCCGCTTCTGCCCCTTACGGACCCCACACCCTAGTTATCTCACCTCTCTCTCTGTTTCTGTCTCTCCTCCTCTCTCTCATCTTCAAAAATTCCTTTTTTCTCTGGCTCCTTCCTCTGAGCCTTCAATCAAATCTCTCACATTTTAGGATACATTGCTATATTTAAAACAGATAACCAACAAGGACCTACTATATAGCATATGGAACTTTGCTCAGTATTATGAGAGGGGAGTTTAGGAGAGAATGGATGCATGCATATGTGTGGCTGAGTCCTTTTGCTGTTCATGTGAAACTATTCCCAGGTGGTGCTAGTGGTAAAGAAACCGCCTGCCAATGCAGGACACATATGAGACATGGGTTCAATCTCTGGGTCAGGAAGAACCCCCAGAGAAGAAAATGGCAACCCACTCCAGTATTCTTGCCTGGAGAATCCCATGGACAGAGGAGCCTGGTGGGTTCCGGTCTATAGGGTCACAAAGAGTCGGACATGACTAAAGTGACTCAGCGCACATGAAACTATTACAGCATTGTCAACCAGCTATACACCAATCCAAACTAAAAAATTAAAAAAAAAAAACACACCCATTTTACAAAACAATTCTTTATCCCTGTATGGCTCTCTAACCATCACCTTTATTCTCCAGTTTCTCCAGAGAATCACCTAAACTCTAGAGATACATTCTTGTATCTACAAAGCACAAAATATGTTATTTCCATGTAAATGCCCCAAACTGGAAACCACCTAACCATCCCTCCAAAATAAGGTGGATAAATAAATTATAGCAGATGCGTAAGGGGAATATTGTGAACTAGTGAAGGGTGGGGGAGGAGGGTGAACTGTAGCACATACATCAACATGGATGAATCTCAAAAATGCTGAGTGAAAAAAAACTTGTCCCAGAAGACTGTACACCATACGATTCCATTAAAGCCCAAACCAGGCAGAACAAGCCTGCTAATAAGTAGGGATAACCAGAAACAAAAACAAGGGTATGATGAATATAAACTTTAAAATGGTGGTTCCCTCTGGTGAGGAAGGAAGGTGACCCATGGAAGGGAACAGCGGGTGAGAACGGACTTCAAAAATACTGGGAACATTCTGGTTCTTAAAGTAGCCGCTTCTTTATAAATTGTCCATCAACATACATCTTTTTTGTACATGTATTCCATTTGAAAGAGTTGCTCACACCTGCTGTCCTTGCCTTTCCCCTCCCTGTCAATCTTCCCTTTTGGGCCCCACCACTTGCTTATTGGCCCTCAAAGGCACTGGTCACTGCCTAGAGACAGCCTCCTCATTTGACCTAAGTCCTGAGGGCTCCGCTGACTACTGTCCTTCAACTCTCTCCTCGCTCTGCTTCTATCTCTCCTGAATTTCTTCCTGCCAGGCCTTTGTACTCTCCTGGCCACCCTATCTACATAGATGCCTACCGGTGACGAGAGGACACCGACATTCATGGCTCCAACTAGCACTGGGTGGTTAATGATGGCAAATCTCCACTCCCAGCACTGACTCAGCTTGAGTGTTCAACCAGACATGGTCACGGGAAGTCCTGCCTGACCAGAAACCCAACAGGCTCAAAGTCTAGCCATGATCACTCTCCTCTTCAAATACTGGCTCCTCCCCATCTTGTCACTGGTTACACATGCTGTTCTAGAGGGAACACCCCCTCTCTCTGCCTGGTCAGACGCTATCCGTGGGCTCATGAGGAGCTCTAGTACCACCTCCTCCAAAAAGCCTTTCTCAAGCTTTTCCCCTTCATGTTAAAAAAGAAAAAAAATGAAAAAAGTATTTTAAAAATCATTAGCACAGAAAAGAGACCTTCCTTTCAGATTTGATCAGTCTGCAAATCTGCAAAGTAATCATACATTTTTTAAAAAGTTACACGTGATTTCCCACAAAATTCACACCACAGATACATGACTCTGTGCTGGGCTCACTGACTGACACCATGTGGAATTTAGTAAATACCCTCCTCTTCTTCAAAGGGAGTCTTCATGGGCACGTTCGGGCGCTTACTGCTGGCCGACCACGGCCAGGCAGGGGAGCGCCCCCTCACCTGCCTTGGAGCAAAGGCAGACAGGGAACCTCTGTGCTCACAGGCATGGAATTACAGTCACGCCATAAACGAGGGCTAAAGGGGAAGGAGCCATGACTCCAAGGAAATGGAGCGGTATCGGTTACCTCTCGAGCGGCGACAGACAGCAGGGTGTTCATGACCGCCAGCACTTCGCTGATGTCCATGTTGGCCAGGTCGCCTTTCTCAGGTAACAGCAGAAGGCCGCCAGGATCCTTATCACTGGAAGGACATAAAACAGTCATGACACCTCATGTCAGGAAGGGGATTTTCATGCTTTCTATCTCAAAAGAGAACCCAGCAAGTTTTCAGTGTCAGTTCTATGGCATGTGAGGGGTTTGAGTCAGAAAAGGGTCAGGTTCCCAGTGGGGTCTGTGCCACTGTCCATCCACAAGTCCTTATGTAAGCACAGGCCCATAAATCTTCGAGTCCTTAGAAAAGATGCCAGGGAATAAATATGATGAATAAATCACCTTGGTCACCAATAGGAAATACACCTAATTTCACGACTGCTGACTTGACAATCCAGGCTGAATATTTCCTGCATCTTCAAAGGTTCTTCACATGAGCCCCAGGTCCTTTCATCATTCTTGATACTTGATTCTGAAGACATCTTACAGAGTTCTCTAAGCCTAGTGTCCATACAAGGCACAGTCTACCTGCTCACAGCTCAGGCTTTAATCCCCTCCCTTCTTCAAGACTTTATACCTCCAATAAGGCAACCTACAGGCCCATAAGCTTCTCTGGTAGTCAAAGCAGGTAGCACATCACTGCTACATCACTCCACATTACTGCTCCCAGCACACTTTTTGCTGAACTACCATTCTGTGCCTCTGCAGTTGGGCTTTCACATATTTGGGTTTTTAGCCCAAACTCCTGTGGCTTCTATTTTTGTCTTCAAAAATTATGTAGAAACTGAAGTGTTCAAGGAGACTCCCAATGAGCTCCACTCTAAATGGTCTTACAGTGACTGGGACTTGGAGCAAGCTTTTGACAAGACTATCGTTCTACCACTATTTTTAGTCATGTCAAAGGCCAGTGATAACTCACTCTAGAAACCTGGCTGAGTGAGGGAAGTACCTGGTTACTCCAGAAGCACCTGAAAGGAAGAGAGAGCTCAGGAAAACAACGTTGCGACGATCGGAAGTATCGGACAATTGAGAATTATAAACTTACCTAAAATATGTGCAGAGAGAGCGGAAAGTGAGCTGCATGGACTGTTTGTGTTCCTGCTCGGTGACATTCTTCTAGAAAACAAGAAACTGCACATTCAGGAAATCTACTCCATGGAAGTTCCAGAGCCCTTGAGCAGAACGAAGTACCATGGCCCACTGTTCCCAAACATGACAAACGCTGTGGTTGGCAGACCACCTCATGGGCTGGACTGAGACCTGGCCTAGTGCTAAGAGGGAGCAGAACTCCCTGCCTAAATAAAAGAGGGCAGGCAGGCTTACTTCTCTTCACTGCTGAAGCTGACATATTAAAGCTTTCCTGCAAGAAAGTCTGATGCAAATGTTTAGGAAGGTGACTTCCAAAAGATGTATACTTTTATCACTGGGCATGCCATCCTGAGAAGAGGGGGCAGAGATGGAGAACATTTTTTATGAGCTTCCTATTTTTTTTAAAACAGGATCTAAGCTTTCTCTGTGTAAGTCCAAACAGCCAATGGTGACAGTTACAGAAATCAAACCCCCTGATGAGGCTATGGGTTACTTTGCAGGTGTTTTTTCTCTTCTTAATTCAATAAAAGTATTGAACATCTACTGCTAGCAAGGAACAAGGGACGATTTCCAGAGAATTTAAGACCCAAGGCCCTGCCTGGCACGAGAGGGTGGGAGAGAGAAGATATGGTCACAAAGGACAGCAGTTTAATTCATCTGCATGAGAAGAGGGAAAAAATACAGCCCTCAAGATAGATGGACAAAGGAAAAGTTAATGAGCTGCTCTACTAACAGACAACAATGTCATTCAAAAGGTCACACGTTCTCTTTCTATTTTTCTGTGTGGGACACAAGCTAGCAAAAAAAAAAAAAGTTTGCTCAGCTGCCTGGTAAACACTACCAGCAAACAAGTGGGACAGAGACTTTCCCACAATCCAATGGGTCATGTCAGCTGATGCTGTCAGAGGTTATACTCACAAAGTGAAAACTGATTCAAAGGGAACCCTCATCCATTATGGAAAACAGTAACAGTTTTTGAAAGTTCTCAAAAAATTAAAAACAGAACTACCACATGATCCAGTAATTCCACTCCTGGTTATTTATCCAGAGAAAACAGAAACACTAATGAGAAAAGATATATGCATCCCAATATTCACTGCTGCATTAGTCATAAAAACTGAGATATGTAAGCAACCTAAGTGCCCATCAATGATCAGATAAAGAAGGTGTGGAATATATATACATATACGTATGTATGAATATTAGCCATAAAATCCTGCATTTGTGACAACATGGATGGACCCAGAGGGTTATTATGCTAAGTGAAATGAGTCATACAAAGAAAGACAAATATTGTACAATTTCACACATATGTGGAATCTAAAAAAAAACACAAAAAACAAATGAACAAAATAATGAAACAGAAACAAAGTTATAGAAACAAAAAACAAACCAGTGGTTCCCAGAGCTGAGAGGGGTGGAAGGAGGAAAGAAATAGATGATAGAGATTAAGACTACAGACTTCTAGCTACAGATTAGTCACAGGTATGAAAAGCAGTGTGGGGAATACAGTCAATAACTAAATAATATTCTCATATGGTGACAAGTCATAGCGTGGTGATCATTTTGAAATGTATAGAGATACTGAATAACTATGTTATATAATAGGAAATAATATAGTGTTGTAGGTCAATTATACTTCAAAAACAAAGAGACTCATAGAAAAAGAGGTTGGAGGCAGGGATGGGGGGAATTGAATAAAGGTAGTCAAATGGTATGAACTTCCAGTTATGACATAGATAAGTACTGGGGTGTAGAGTACAACATGACCACTGTGATCGACGCTGTTGTACGTTACATATGAAAGTGGACTAGAGAGTAAATCCTAGGAGTTCTCATCACACGGAGAAAAAGTTCTTTCTATTTCCTTGATCTTATATCTATATGAGATGACAGATGTTAATTAAACTTATTGCGATAATTATTTCATGACTTATGTGAGTCAAATCTTTATGCTGTATACCTTAGACTTACACAATGCTGTATGTCAATTATATTTCAGTAAAACTGGAAAAAAAAAAAAACCCTGAATCCTCAAGCTGATATGCACGTTTTGTAGACAGCTGAAAACAACAAAAAATCCTCCCTCCTCTCTGAAACCTTCCTCAACCACTTAACAGACTTCTCCTCTAAAATGCCTATTGCAACTTGGGGTCAGTTCTTCCTTGTGGCAGTGTCCCCAGCTGTACTGCAGTCATTTGGCAACAGGGACCACATTTTATGTTTCTTTTACTCCCTTTTTTGTTTCTGCAGGGCTTTATGCACCTGACGGGGCACTTCTATTCCATGTGCTAAGTAGAAATGCCTTTTTAAAACGCTGCATCTCGTCTTCTTCATCAACTCTTCTCAGTAATTCTATTTAGTTGCTTGTTTAAACAGACTAATAATGATTGTATGTTTTATTCTTTGCTATTTTTAAAATTTCTTTTCCTTGTCCTACAGCAGTGGCTAGGCCTTCTAATACTATATCAAGAGAAGCAGTGACAGTAAGCACCCTTGGCTTATACCTCATTTTGAAAGGGATGAGTCAGTAATCCAAAGGCCACTACATTGATTTTTGTAGGTTTTAGATACATGCCCTCCACCAGATTAGGGGAGTTTGTAAGGGTTTTGTTGTTTTAGTCATCATCAGAATTAAATTTTATTAAAGTATCTTCTGTAGTTGTCAATATGATTTTTTTCCTCTCCGATTTCACTGACTGATTTTCTATTGTTAAACCATCCTTTCATTCCTAGGATAACTCCAACTCAATCATGATTTTGGGTGAGAGGATGCAGCTGAGGATTAAAACTTAGCTGTATTTTCTTTATAGATATAAACTGAAATACTAACAAATAAGTCAGGGATTTACTTTGATATAATGGTGTACAGAGAAGTATGCGAGGTATATAATAGGTGAAACAAGTTTAGCTTGAGTTTGTAATTACTGAATCTAGGTGATGAGTACATTTGAGGGGTTGGAAGGACTGATGTGTATTATTCAGTCTAGTTCTCTATTTAGATTTTCCCATAATAAAAAGTTAAAATGTTAAAAAGAACACTTGGTTGTAGGCATGTCATAAGGATGAAGGAGACTAAACCCTCCCCTTGTGATCCAACAGGTTGTGAAATGGAGGTTGGGATTATCTGTCATCCCCATCTTGGGTACAGTACTATGTCCTTAGATACCTGTATCCCACACAAAACTTTGCATACAGCAAGTATTAAATACACCTTTGGGAAACGGAAACTGAGAGGACATCAGAGAAAACAAAAACTACCAGGTTTCATGCCAAGATAGGTCAAGAGTGGGATCTGCACTTTTAACATAAATAATTACCATCATGGTGAAGAGATGATTCCGCCGGGTCTGTCGGTCAGGAAAGAAGATGGCAGCCCCATTGAGAAGGGTGTTCCTGACTTCTTGTTTCAGTATTTCCATGGGCACAGAGTCTCCATCCAACCTATCCACCACTGATAAAAATGAACAATCAGCTTTAATATAGCTCATCTATTCACTTACAATATATATATTTGCTTTAATCCATAAACGCACTATCAGAAAAAAGAAATACCTTTGCACAAGCTAGGCAGTGTAAAGGAATTATTTTTTGGTTTGTTTACATTTAACCAAAAAAAGACTCTATGTTCCAGTTTTTCTTTCATTATTCCTCTGTTCTTTTGAGACACAGCTTGGCAAAGTATTAAAAATAACTTCAGATGATTGCATGTCTTACTCTCAATCCATCATTACCATCTCCTCCCTTCAATCCGTCAGCCTTAGCCCTGTGTCTAAGCCGAAGGAAAGACTGAATGTTGTTTTTATTCAGTCACTAAGTCATGTCTGACTCTTTACGACCCCATGGACTGTAGCATGCCAGACTCCTCTGTCCTCCACTATCTCCTGGAGTTTGCTCAAATTCATGTCCATTGAGTCTATGACACTATCTAACCATCTCATTCTCCACTGGAGAAGGAAATGGCAACAACTCCAGTATTCTTGCCTGGAGAACCCCATGAACAGTATGAAAAGGCAAAAAGACTGGACAGTGTGATAATAATTACTATCAGTATGACAGAACTGTATGTCAGAAACCAGGAGGAAGGCATTGAGGAGGACTAAATCCTGAACTCCAAATAATGATTCAAAGAAGATCGAGGAAACTCATTTTCCAAAGACATAAACCTTTTACTGGGTTTGCATGGTCAAAGAAGCCCTGGTTCTCTATAGCGAGAGGCCCCGCAGACCACCAGAATAGGGTCACAGTGAAGAGGAACCCCAATCCTACCACTGCACAGGTGTGCGTAGAGCTCCTTGGCAGCCTCCACCGGCCTAGGGCGCGGGCTTGGAGCCTTGGCGTCCTCAGCAGCGGCCGGAGCGTCTCCTTGCAGCACGGAGAAGCAGCTCTGGAGGAGCTGCAGAAGCAGAGTTTGGGCACAGACGCACTCTTCCCTGGGGCTACAGAAAGACAAAGACCTTGAGAGAGCAAAAGGGCCAGTTGTTTTTCCCTTGCGGTCCCACAGCTGTCAACGAAGGACTCTCCCCACTAGGCATCAGGCTCAGTAAAAGTGCCAACTGAGCAGAAGAAAGGTGGAAAGGAAAGAACAGTGTACGTGGTATGGCGTCTGAAGACGCAGACCTTGTCTGACTCTGCCTACTCTGTTGCAAGGAAATGCATTTCTGACTCCGTTTCATCAGCAGTAAAAATGAAGACGTTATAATACTTGACCTGGCTATCACTACAAGGTAATATAAAGGGCAAAATGCTTGCAAAAACACTGCTCAAATAAAGCATTTTACAGAAAGGTAAGATATTATTTTCAACAATAACCAAATATTTCAAATCAGAACAAGATAAACTAGTAGGAAAAAAAATCCTGGGGGGGGGGGAACCCAACTGTTCATTTAGAATAGCAAAACTCAGAGTTTTCAGTTGTGCTTATATGACTATCATCTTTACCATCTGAACCACCAGGGAAGCCCCACGTGACTATCAGCTTGTAACAGATTCCGACTTACTTTTGCTTTAATTTACTATAAAAATTCCAGAAGATCTGCAAGTCAAGACCCGCGAAGTCCAGAAAAGATTTATATTTTAAGCCACTTTCCTTCTGCTGTACCTAAAAAATAATAAAGACCAGAAAAAATAAAACTGAAAAATTCATTTGGAGAAATATTCTAACAGCTCATTTACTTCTCATTATTAAGGGATAAGGTAGCTCCTCCTATGTGTAAAATCCCAACGTAACTGAAGTGACCCTTAAATGACAATCTGTGGATAACTATTTTTGGGTGAAACTATAAAATATGTGTGTGTGTGTACACATGCATGTGAGTGTACATATACATGTAACACACACACACACCCCTGTGAAAGCTCCCTGACTTCACAGATACGACACCTGGGACAGGAGGGAGTCTTTACGTGGTGATGACTACTGTCCAGGATCGTACTGCGGCTTGTTTTGATCCTTCCCTGAACACAGCCTAAAAGATCAATCCTGCTGTAAACGCTCTTGCTACATCTATGCATCTCTCTCCCACCTGCTGTTTTCTGCTGTGATAGGAGAGCTCCAAAGACCAAACAATGCACATACAAACTGAGTTACCAGTCTCTGAATGTGCCATGAAGCAGAATGAAGGTGAAGAGTAGGCACTGTTGCATCCCACACACGAGAGGGCTCTATGTGATTCCTGAGACATAAGTCATGTTCTCTATGGTGACGACTGCACAAATCTTTGAGTGGGTTGTCACTGTGTTTGTATTAGCGACTGTAAAAGTCAGTATCGAAAACAAAATGTTCACAGCAGCATTACTGACAACAGCCAAGATGTGGAACCAACCTAACTGTCCGTCAACAGATGAACAGATCAAGAAGATATGGCATATATACACACACACACACACAATGGAATATTAATCAGCCATAAATAGAATGAAATTCTGCCATTTGTAACAACATGGATGGACCTGGAGTATATTACACTAGTGAAGTAAGACAGAGAAAGACAAATACTGTAAACTTTCACTTATACGTGGAATCTAAAAAATGAAACAAACAAATAATAAAACAGAAACAGATTCACAAATACATAGAACAGAACTAGTTACCAGTGAGAAGAGGAGTGAGAGGAAGGGCAAAATAGGTGAAGGGAATATATGGAATTTAGAAAGATGGTAATGATAACCCTATATGCAAAACAGAAAAAGAGACTCAGATATATAGAACAGACTTGTGGACTCTGGGAGAAGGCGAGGGTGGGATGTTTCAAGAGAACAGCATTGAAACATGTATATTATCTAGGGTGAAACAGATCACCAGCCCAGGTTGGGTGCATGAGACAAGTGCTCGGGCCTGGTGCACTGGGAAGACCCAGAGGGATCGGGTGGAGAGGGAGGTGGGAGGGGGGACCGGGATGGGGAATACATATAAATCCATGGCTAATTCATTTCAATGTATGACAAAAAACACTGCAATGATGTAAAGTAATTAGCCTCCAACTAATAAAAATAAATGGGAAAAAAAAATTTAAAAAAAAATAGGTGAAGGGGATTAAGAGGTACAAACTATCAGGTATAACATCAATTTTAAGTTATAAAAATATAATGTACAGCAAGGAATATAGTCAATATTTTATAGTAACTTTGCATGAAGTGTAATCTATAAAAATATCAAATTACTATGTTGTACACCTAAAGCTAATACTACAAGTCAACTACATTTCAACTTTTTAAAAATCCTGTTATTATTTTCAGAGTTAAAATAAAGAGACAGAACTCACCTACACTTCAGGAGTACTTCTAGGACTTATAGAAGACATAAATCCCATAAATGTGCTTTGGCTCCCCAGTGACCCCTGGCAATCCCAGCTGGGCATCTTTAAGATCTCTGTGCAAGTCTATTCCAGGAAACCTCAAGATGGTGATCACAGGCCACTCCGTCTTCCACTTACTGATGCCATCAATGCCCCACACTGTGCTCCCCTTAAGTTCCCAACATCATCACAGCAGTGATGCCTGCCATCCTCATTCAAACTGCATGGCCTCAGCAGGGCCAGGTTTTATGGGATGGTATTCCTTCCCCCAAACTCATCATTTACTTTCCCCAAGGGAACAAGGTTTAACAACTGAGGAAACACTACCAGGTCATGGGCAAGCTGCTGGATGAACTGAAGGGTCTTGAGGAGCAGTGTGGCCCCACAGACACTCTCCTCCGTGCCCCTTCTGCAGTGAGCACAGACGATGCTCTGTTCCGCTCCTGCTCTCGCAGGCCGGAGGTACCCACTGATGCTCAAGCCTTGCACTCCCAAGCGCTCTGCCGACTCCTGGCGAGTGCAGAGGAACTTCACCATCAAATACTGGAAAGAACAAGAGAGACATGATGAGAAGGACTCAGAAGCTCCAGGTACTGATGAAAGGGAGGTGAAGGTTACTCTGGGCAGGTCTCCCTGTGACTTTCATGATTAATGAGGCCCCACAACGCCTAGCACGGGGGACACAAAGTAAAAGTCTAAAATCAACAGCAAACAGGAAAGAGTACAAATGCTGGAGTCAGGTTCTGGGAAAGATCACAATAAGAGAATGGCATTACCCCCTCTTCAAGGCAAAAACAGAGTAAGACAGGATAAATAAGGGAAAGATGTCTGCTCTGTGGCGCAGTCACTTGGGTCTCTTGTTTGAAGCTTTCTCTTTTTTAAATGAGGGCCATTTTTAAAGTCTTTATTGAACTGTTATAATACTGCTTCTGTTTTTGTTTTTTTCTTAGCCAAGAGGCATGCGGCATCTTAGCTCCCCAACCAGGGATTGAACCTGCAAACCCTGCATTGGCAGGTGAAATCTTAACCACTGGACCGCCAGGGAAGTCCCAGCACAGTTGTTTTGAAACAGAAAACAGCTATATAGTGAAAACAGTCAATGACTGCCCTAAGAAGACCATCTCAAAACCCTCCAGTTACACGTAACCTATGTGCTGGGAGCCCAGGACACAGCCTTGTCTTCGCAGAGCTAAAGTCATTTTCAAAGCCCAACGTCTATGCACACTCTCTGTAGTGAAAGCTCCTTTGTTGAGATCTTCCAGAATCCATTACTCAGTTGCATAAATATTTACTGAGCAGCTACTATGTATATATCCTAAAGATAATTCTTATTTCTTTTATTTGAGCTTCTTACTAAGATTTACAATGGCGGTTACAAAAAATTAAGTCGTCAGATAATCACTGTTTCTTTCACAGCTACAGTAAGACATCTCTCTTGCACTTATGCCTGTGGACTTAACTGTTCCCTAAGCCTGAGATGCCCTTCTCCACACCTCTAAGCCTGGCTAAAGAAGGCAGCTTAATCAACTTTCAACACTTGGCATCACACCAACTTTCCTGGGAAGCCTTCCCTGGTGAATTCCAGACTGGGTAAATATTTTCCTCTGGGCTACAACACCCTGTATGTCTCTTTACCAGCCCAATCACAGTGTTTCATATGTCCATGACTCCCACTAGACTCTGAATTCCTTGAGGGTCACAATCATGTCTGATTCACCTCCAGGGTACCAGTGCTGGCATAGGTCTGGCACACAATGACCACTCAATAAACACTTATAAGACTAAAGGAGGGGATGGGACTTCCTGGTAGTCCAGTGGCTAAGACTCTGTGCTCCCAATGCAGGGGGTGCAGGTTCGATCCTTAGTCAGGGAACTAGATCCTACATGCCACAACTCAAAGATCCTGCACGCTGCAACTAAGACCTGGCCCAGCCAAATGAATAAATATCTAAAGGAAAAAAAAAAAAACAGACAAAAGGAGGGGAGGAGTGAGGTGACACGTGAAGGCCACAACTCACTGATGCTTACTTTGGCAACTCTGCACTGCTGCAACTTGACATCTGCTTCATCCCACTCTTCTTCCAGCTCAAACCAGCCAATGGGATCATCTTCGCCAAGGATATCAGACGAGCAACCGATCCTGTAAACACAAGGTACTCCTAAAAACATTCTCCTATTTTTCAACTTCTCAAGAGTCTAACAAATAAGGCACCACTTACACAGCATTTGGGCTTCCCTTGTAGCTCAGCTGGTAAAGAATCTGCCTGCAGTGCAGGAGACCTGGGTTTGATCCCTGGGTTGGGAAGATCCCCTGGAGAAGGGAAAGGCTACCCACTCCAGTATTCTGGCCTGGAGAATTCCATGGATTATATAGTCCATGGGGTCACAAAGAGTTGGACACGACTGAGCGACTTTCACTTCACTTTCACTTTACATGGCATTTAACTTGTTTAGATGGCCTGTCTGTTAACAACTGAGGTTGGGGTGCGCCACTTGGTGCCTGAGTATACAAGGGAAGTGGTGGTAACTTCCTCCCCACTTCTCAGCCTCCTATCTGAACGATTAGGCCCAAATATGACCCGAGAATTCAGGAGAAAGTTTGCTTCTCTGGATAACTGGATTATCTGAAGAATCAGACCTGAAGTTAAGGTATCTAAGATGAGCTACTCAGGAATAAAGTCCAATGCAACAGCTGGTATGTGTTTCTGGAAAGAGTCAAAGGAGAGGCAGGTTCAGTTTTCTTTCCCCAGGACTGGCTAAAATATCCACGGACTGGCCTGAGGTTTATACTTGCAACAGCTGAAGGGTAAAAGCTGGGGAGCTTTCAGATCCTGGAGCTCCAAAAAAGGAAAACTTCAGCCTTCACAGGCCTCAGGATTTTTTCTTATTCCTTAAGAAGTCCTTACAGGAAAGCATTTCAACCCAAAAGCTGAAGAAGCACAACTGTGTGCCATTTCTTTTAAAAAACTGGATACATGAATGGTACTTCCTTTTTAGGAATTAAATAAATGAGAAGGAGAAAATGGCAGTCTTTTCAAGTAACATTCCTAAAACTTTATTTAGTCTGTGCTACAGCTAACAAGCTAGCCAACACATGCGTAATTCTGTATGGATTAAGATAAGCAAACACAGGCATTTACAACAACAGCAAGGAAAAAAACAAAGGACTCAGAAGTTCTATAACAGACAGAGAAAAAACATTCTCTTCTGACCATAAGTCATTCTAAACATGAAACATTCATGGCATAGTTAAGCCTAAAACCAGTGGTATTCCATCTAAGCCCAAAATCGTGTCAATGACTCTTATCAGTATTGAGTGTTTGAGGACTTTTTAATTCACTTTGGGAGTCATCAAGGTATAAAGAGCTGGCAGGGTGTCAGAGAAGGGGAGAAGCAACCTTGCTTACTATATCAATTCATAGGCAGGGTGGAAAACACAGAGCTGAATATGTATAGTCCTTAAGTATGTATAGCAACCCCAAAGCTGGTCCCAGAGGATACTGACTAACTGACATCTGACAAGAGGGCAGGGAAATAAAAAGGGCAAGAAGACAGACACATGTCTTGTTAACATTTTGATCTCCAAACTGGAGAGGGACCGATAGTATGTAGGCCAAGTAAATGAGGATTTCACAGTAGCTCAGGCTGGAACCAGGAGCTAAAATCAGCAAGGGACTAGTGAATAAACGTGTATTTAGGTTAAAAAAAAAAAAATCCTATATAAGATGTGGAAGATCCTGTTTAACAGCAGGTTTAGCGAAGAAGACCTATATTAATATGTGCCAGGAGTGGGACACAGCTACTTAAAAACAGTGTAATCTCTGATCATTATTTTAAAAGAAAGCATTTTTTAAAAAGCATGTATGCATGATGGGAGAGAGATGTTTCATTTAGAGGGCTGGAATTAAGACCACTGAGTTGAGATTACAGCTATAAGATTTCAATCGAATGAGTCCTCATCACTGAGATGCAGCGAGTGCTCCATCACTAAGGATATTCCAGGGAGGCTGAATAAGCATTTGTCAGAGATGCCACCACAGGAAGCCCAGAGGAGAGAGGAAGTTTGTCTAGAACCTTGCTATTTCACGTGTGATCCATGGACAGGGAACACCAGAGTTGCCTGGGAGCTTGTTAGAAATGAAGGTCTCAGGCCCCATGCAGAACCACTGAATCAGAATCCACATTTGACACAATTCTCAGTGGTTTTTAAGTCCATGAAAGCCCAGTAGAGTACTGTGTGTTAGTCACTCAGTCGTGTCCGACTCTTTACAACCCCATGGACTTTAGCCTACCAGGCTCCTCTGTTCATGGAATCCTCCAGGCAAGTACAGTACTGGGTGATAGGAAAATCTCCAGCACCCCATTACCTATGAAATACAGGAGCAAAAAGAGCAAATCTCGGGCTCAGCTCTGTGAGTTTCACTTGCTACTAGTGATAAGGGAGGCAACACTGACCAGGAGGTCACCGATGCCCTCTGCAGCTAAGTCCAGCAGATTTAGCTTACTGCATCTAGACTGATCTTACTAATTCCTGGGTAACATCTAAGAGGGCTTCCCACTCCCTGCCTCTCTGACCACGACTTTCCCTTGGCTTTCCTGCTGCTTCTCTGGCCACTTTCATCAGCCCCCGTTTCTCTGCTGCCCCTGAAATACTGGTGCCTCTCAGCATACTGACCTCTCTGCGCTCTTCCCAGCGCACATGCTCAAGAATGATCTCTTCGAATTCATTTTAAACCATCGCTGAAATGTTTCTGCTCTCTGTGCCCTCAAGACAAAGTCTCTTCCAGACTCCTGACCTGCTTATCCAACTAGCTGTGGGACATCTCAGAGGTCTCCTACAGCCTCAAAGCCAACAGGGCCAAAACTGAGCTCATCATCTTCCCACAAACCTGTCCTTCCAGAAGTATGTTCTATCTCAGAAAAAGGCACTACCAGTGTCCCTCCTGCCAAGTCAAAACCCAGGACTCACTGATCCCTACGCTTTCTCCCCTCTCCTGCTCTACATTTAGTCACTCATCAGGTCCTGCTGTTTCCCTAGCAGGCTACAGTCCATGGGGTCCCAGAGAGTCAGACACAACTGAGAGACTAACATACACACAAAAAGTCCTGCTGGTTCTACGTTCTAGCATGTCTGCAGTCGGTCCACATCTCTCCACTGCTCCTGTCGCAGCTCTAGGTGACATCACCCGTACTCTCGCCTCCAAGGTGACAGCAACAGCCTCACCCACTGCATCCTGCCTCCCTGTTCACTCTCCTCCAGCCCCTGCCTCACACAGAAGGCTCCAGAGTAGTACTTCCAAGCCACACATGCAATCTCCTTGTTCTTCTAGAAGCTTCTGGATAGCAATCCCCAACTCCCTTTTCCTGCCCCCACTGCTTTCAGGATAAAAGTCTCAACTCTGAAACAGAGATAAAAGGATGACCTGACCCTTTTCTCTCTCCAGCTTCACCTCACCCCACTCTCTGCCTCACCACACACCTCAGCAATGTGTGGCTCGGCCTTGAGTAGGTCAGACTCCACCTTTGAGTTCTCAACTCTACTCTGTTCTTTGCTCAGGACAGTCTTCTCCCACCACTTCAAGGCGTTAATTAACTTTAACTCCTCCATATTCAACACTTCCTCCAGGAAGCCTTCCCTGATCAGGTCAGGTGCTCTGCCCTGTGCTCCTAGAACACCTGATCCCTCCCACCTATCTCGGTTGGACAGCACAGTGACTCTCTAGGCTTTACCATCTGTCTCCTTAGCTCCACAGCAGGCTCTGTAGAGTAGAGACTGTGCCAACTTGCTCATTAGGGTATCTTTGGTGCCTAGCAGCAGGCCGAGCACATCACAGGTACTTAACAATTATTTTCAATAAAAGCACAAAAACAGGAGGAAGGAAGCTGGGGCCGGGGTACATTTCCCAGGGGCTAGAGAAGACTAAAGACCTCAGGCTGCCCACAATTCACATGGATATCATTACCTAGCCATTTTGAAGATCTATATACCTGGTCATGAAAGGGACCAAGTAAAAGTCTATGACCAAACTAAAATACATGTCTTCACACATGCTACCAGAAAGCAATGAATGTTCCTGGCTACTAAAGATGGGTTAGTAGCAACTTTTCTTCTATAAAGAAAATATATGTCACCAGTAAGAGAATGTATATTATCTTATTAACTAGAAAGATTTTTATTCTGTTCCTTACCTGCTTTTTACAAATTGCCTAAACTCTGGAAGCTTCCATTTGTCATATTTTTCAAATCTTTTGAAGTGTTCTTCCGCATGAAATTTATCAGAAGATGAATTGTAAGCAAACACCAAGCCACACTGGGCACCAATGCCACCACGTCGAACCTGGAAACAGAGATCTAAATAAAGAACATTGAAGGGGCCAGAGTTTTGTGGCCATTCTGTTCCCAAATAATGTGGTCAAATTCAAAGCACTTAATGCAAAAAATGAAACCAACAAAGAGAGATTTCAAATACATTAAATCCTGGAAAAGTAAGAAAGATGCTTCCCAAGAAAGAATTCCTCACCATTTTTGATCCTTACACTCACACCATTCACAGACTTAAACTCTATTCATCTTTGTGCCCCTGTGTCTGCTACAGGCCTGACACAGAAAAATCACTAAAATCAATGAAAAGTCAGTGACATGGACTTCTTCAATGCAACCCTATTTTTAAAACTAGCAGTAACATTTCTGAAAGAAGGCAGCAGAAGAATTACCATAATTCTGATCTGAGTAACTTGGAAGGCAGATTCAGTTCCTGTAGAAAAAATAGTACTTGCTCTGGTTTTTCCAGTCTCTGTAAGAAAACCTACAAAAAAGAAAAATTAACATTAGGATGACTGATACATCTGTAATAACCCTAAGAACTAAGACCAACAAAACCAAGGCATATCCTTTAAGGCAGAGGCATCTAGCCCATCTGGTCCTCTCATAAAAATCAGAAAAAGAATTCCTTTCTGGGCAGATGCAACCCCACTGATCAACCACCAGGTAGCATAATGGGCCAGGTATAACTTCGTCAGAGCACTATCTTTTCAACTATACAGGCAGCCCTGCTCTGAGGCAACAATAAAGAAATAAAAAGTTGATAAAGATTGTGACTTTAATTCAAAGAGACAAAAGACTGAACAGTTAATCATCTTTCTGAACCATTCCTAAAACCACAACTGATGTTTGGCTGGGCTGTTAGAGGCAAGCAGACTTAAAGGCTGAGAGAGGAATTAGTTTCTCAAATACTGTCAGGAAAGATTGTGAAAGTCTTCAAAATGGACAAGAAAAGAATGTGTGTGTTTGTATGTGTCCTTAGTCATGTCTGACTCTTTACGATCCCATGAACTGTAGCCCACCAGGATCCTCTGTCCATGGGATTCTCCTGGCAAGAATACTGGAATGGATTGCCATTTCCTCCTCCAGGGGATCTTCCTCACCCAGAGATTGAACCCACATTCAATCTGCATTGGGAGGCAGATCCTTTACCACTGAGCCACCTGGGAAGCCTCCCCAAAGTGTTTACTTAGCCCACTCTTTTGAGTTCTCTCCACCTCTCATTGTCTCTGAGCTACTTGATAATTCTCTAAATTGTACAATATGACAGTAATACAAATGATTCTTGTCCACAGAAATAAAAAGTGTGTCTATAGGAACACACCTGATTATTCCTTATGAAGACTGACTAATTCTGCAGCTATCTGTAGAATCATATTAACATTCTTATTGGTCTCCGTGTATTAACGAGTTCTCCCCTGACCTGCCTGTATAACATCCTAGTGGTCCCCTCCCTAATGTATAACGTGAACATTCAAGTACTTTTAAGTTGTTACAGGTGACTGATACCTAGCAGATGGCAACACTGCAGTAAAGAAATCACACAAACGGTTCAGGAACCACTGACGCCAACTGAAGCACACCGGCAGTGAAGACTGCACGTCCTGAAAGTTTCAAAGAACACAGTGTGGTTCCACAGGGCCTCCAGTGGCCGTTTCTGCTCACTAAAACCCCACAGGTTCATCACTCACCGTCCCTCGTCCATGGCTCAGCAAGCAGGTTTTCAGGTCCTGACTTCTCTTCTTTTCCCTTGACATCACAGGCCTGAAGAGTCAATTGGAGAGGTTTCCCTGATCAAAGAAAAGAGAGAAAGCGAGAGAGCCTGAAGCTAGCACTATGAAAAAATGGAAACTAGAATGCTCATCAGTGGAAACAGAGAGCCTGTGGCCATCCAGATTGCTAACTAAAAACTGACCCATTTAAAAGCTAACATAGGAAGTAATATCAGATAAAAGGTGATACCACCCTGTTCTGCTCTCCTGAAAGAAACAAAAGAATAAGTAATTCCAAAAAGAATCACTCTAGAATAACAACCAGTCAGAAACAAAGCATATTGTAAGACATAGATTAATAACACAGACTAATGTAGCTGTGTGTTGAGCAGGAGAGAGGAATTCCTAAGACACTGTTTAGGAGTCAATAATGATTTTATTGTAACTGCATTTAAATATATAAATAATGGAAAAACAAATATCATATATTAATGCCTATTTATGGAATCTAGAAAAATAATACTGATGAACCTATCTGCAGCGCAGAAACAGAGACTCAGACACAGAGAACGGACTTGCGGACACAGTGGGGGAAGGAGAGGGTGGGACAAACTGGGAGAGTAGCTCTGACATATATCCACTACCATGTGTAAAGCAGACAGCTAGTGGGAGCCTGCGGTATAGCGTGGGGGCTCAGCCTGGTGCTCTGTGACGACCTAGAGGGGTGGGATGGTAGGGGTGTGGTGGTAGGGGTGAGGTGGTAGGGGTGGGGTTGTAGGGGTGGGGTGGTAGGGGTGGGATGGTAGGGGTGCGGTGGGGTGGGGTGGCGGAGTGGGGAGGCTTAAGAGGGAGGGGCTGTATCCTTACTTATGACTGATTCATGTTATTGTATGGCAGAAAGCCACACAACAATGTAAAGCAATTATCCTCCAACTAAAAATAAATTAAAATAAAACATACATAAATAATGTCTTGGGGTTTGGGGTCTTGTTTCTTAAAATTATCTCCAGGCAAATTTTGGAAGTTTTCAAAATTACACAGATCAACTTTTACTATAATGATCTAAAAACGTTTTCTTTTGTTTTAGTAATATAATGAAAACTCTATAACCCTATTAACCTATAAACCAAACCAGAACTAGAACATTATCAATAATGAACAGCCCCCTAGGCGTTCCTCCCCTGTTTGGGCTCTCTGCCCAAATGACAGCTAAACTGAATCGAAAACTTTTCTGGAGAATATTTTTCCAGATAGATCCCTCCCATCCAGCCATGGGTCTCAACTTTTCCAAAAAAAATGATCTTCCCAAAATTGGGGAGGGGGTAACTGGATTTACATGATATCTATTGTCTGACTTAAAAAATTAAAAGTAAACTATTAGGAAATATTAAGGCAAAGGTACAAATATCATCTTTGGAGAAGGAAATGGGAACCCACTCCAGTATTCTTGCCTGGGAAATCACGGACAGAGGAGCCTGGCAGGATACAGTGTGTGGGGTTGGAAAGAGTCGGACACAACTGAGCAACTGAACAACAACAACAAATACCGCAAGGAACGATCACAGTACTCTGACGGGATGGGATTCAACGCTGTACTCTGTGGACAGAAGCTTTAGCCCTAGAGGCCAGGATGGCACATGTCAAGTGCAGTCATCTGGGAGCAGTTGTACAGACTCCGTGTGTTCAGAAGGATTAAGAAAGAAGCTCCAACCTGGATCAGTGGAAAAGTGATAAGATGGATTGCCATTGGGCCCAGGAGGGAAAGTGGAGGCTGGCATATATGTCTGCCCATATATGTCATTCCAACCAGCTATCAGCTATCACGAGGATGCAGAGGGATGCATTCCAAGACAAGGATCCTTCACTCCGGGTCTGGCATTCAAATGGCCACCAAGCCTCAGTCATTAGGTCAGTGAATCCTGGTAGTGCAGTGCAGTGAACACTCAAGTTTCTTTTCTGCTAATGCATCCAGAAATGAACCAACATCTCCCTCCTTCCTATCAACCCTAGTCAAAGAAGACATGTTCCTCCAGAAACCACGGTATAACTACAAAGACCCAGCCCACAAACTACTACCCAACAAGATAAGAAGATGCCAGAAGGTCCCCCGCTGGTGATGGTTTTATGCATCTCTGTGCACCTTGCCAAGGTCACTTACCGTATTTAAGGAGCAGGTTCTGCCTGACCAATGCCATGGATGAGATGAGAGATGAGGCATCATAGTGTGTGTCCAGGTGATCAGTGACAGTACACAGAGAGCTCAGCACTTTGGCAACACTTCCTCTTGCTAGTGCAAAGGCCAGAAGAGTCAGCTCCACCTCTGGAGTAGAACGGCAGCTACAAGCAAAGAGCAGAAAGCATTTCACTTCTTAAAACGAGAGAAAATCCAGGTAGTTCAAACTTTGTGTAACTGATCACCAAAGGCAAAATCAACCTGCCATAAGCTTCATCCATTTACCAGAAACACTTTTTCAAAATCCTTAAGATATCCTAAAGAAAAACTAAATCGGTCTGGAGGAATAGGAAATAAAACCCTCACCTCTGTAACCTTAATCTGTAAGTATAAAATAATGATATCAATTTCAAGAAGTCCAACTTTATAAACCAAAAATAAATAGGCTGTTGCAATAAGTGCCTGCTATCAAGAAGCCTTGAGTAATGACCTGGCTTGCTCAGATAGCTAAGGGCTTTTTCCTTCAAGCACCAGTAATGTATTTTAGATCTACTCCATGTCACGCTTTTCTAGTTTCTTAATCACATTACCCTGAAACTTTTAAAACTGTCTAGATGTCTCAGGGCCTGGTTTGTTCTCTAACACAGTAACGTCCTCAGGGCTCTCTGGGACAGAGCTGAGTGTCCCCACCCTAACCGACTCCTCTATCAGCTACCAGGGTGTCCTTTCCCAGGTCTATGGGCAACCAGGCTTGTTAGGCCTGCCCATGGAGGCAAGCAGGTGCTGGGCTGGGGATGTGAAGGAACAGAGAAGCTTTTGAGTTCTGGACTGTGACAGCTCTGCCCTAGCTTAATCTGAGGACTACTCCGCCCCCACCCCCAATTCCTGAGGTCAGGGGACACTGCTAGTTAATGGAGGGCATCATTATTTCACTTTCTCTTCAGTCACTAAAAAATGAAACACTGAAAAATTAAAAAAAAAAAAAAAGACTTGACAAGCACATATGCCCTCTATCTGCCACCAACACCAGTCCCCCATCTCCCCTTACCCCACTTATCGACCTTGAGTTCTTACCTAGTAATCCTTATGAGGAAGCTGTCCACTTCTTCCAGAACATTGGGAGACAGGAAAGTGGAGAAATCTGTAGATCCTGGTGAGAGGGACAGCGGAGGCATGTGCTGCAGTGCCTTCCTAGAAGTGTAAGGTGCACAATCAGAACAAACCCAGGCCAACGATAAATTTATTAATATAATTTTAGACCAAAGAAAAATACATTGTTGGAAGCTTATTTGGATTAAACCCTTACTAAGAAACAGTGTTTCTACAGAGAACCTGGTACATAATATAAATCAGCCTTTTTCCTACAGGGGTCCCAGTGCTAAACCGTTTAATGGGATTTCTTTTTTTTTTTTTTGAGAGTTCCTTTTGAGAATTTCTTGAAGAGTTAAAGAGTTTAAAAATCTCTTAAACAGTTTCTTTAAGAGTTTTCTTTTAGAATACACACGACTCTGGTATTCAGTTGGTCACTTCAGTTGAAATTTTGGAATTTGAGTTGTTTAACTCAGAAATATATGTTTTTTAAATTTCAGACTTGAGAACGGCATTCTAAATACTGTTTGTAGATAAAGAAGGCATCCACAGAGAATCCACCTAACCTGGTGTGAAGACAATATCAGGCATATAAACTTTAAATATATCCGATCTTCGACAACTTGGCATAACTCCACAACCACAAAAACAAGGTAGGAAACTCATCCTCTTCTCCTTCCTAAAAATTCAGTCCATAGTGTAGGGCTGTGCAAGACAGGCACTCGTATGTGCCTGGGTGGGGCACATGGTGGCCCAGTGAGGTACTGGAGCAGGGTACTGAGCAAAGAGACAGCCTGGTGTGGAATGCCAGCCCTAAGAGGGTGAGGAGGGTGTTCAGGCAAGGGCCGGGGAGCTGGGAGGCTGGTTATATGGAGTGGGACTCTTTAAATAAGTAAACATATCAGGGTTGATGTGAGCCAAGTTTCTCACAGTCATGGCAAGGAGCTACAAACACAGAAAGAGAGAAAATCACAATGAACATGGTAGTACTGGGTTAGAAGTATCGGTGTAAACTCAAGAGTTCTCAGTGTTACAGACAAGAAATAAATACAGGAGTCACTGTGTCTATGTATACACGTGTCTATTACGCATACACATATATTTCCCAGCTGTGTCCACTGAGAGAAGCAACACTCCGACAGCAATGGGTTTAGTTTGTTCAGTTCATAAACACAACTCTCCACTAAAAGTGACCATGACTCTTGAGAAAAAAGGCTAATTCTAGGACTATGGCAAGGAACATTCAAGGTAAGCCCGGAATATTTTGATGCAAGGAAGAGTTCCAAGATGAGGACATGTCAAAAGGACACATGAACCAGACTGTCCTGGTTCCTATTGGTCAAATCTGGGCCAATCTGAGAAGCAGTGCTGTGATGGATAACAACTCCAGGAGTAAAATAGGAATCATGAGTCACATCAAGTAAAGTCTAACGAGGAATGCGATATTACAGAGTCTCCAAGTACCTCCTCACAAAACACGAACTTACACCATTTGGAGTGTAAGCGCCGAGTCTTAACCACTGGACAGCCAGGCAAGTCCACCCTAACAGTTTTTTAAAAGAAAATTTCCAAAGGTGCTTTACATTTAAAAATAGATTCGTTTGGTGCCCTTGAAAAGATTTGACTCTTTTGTGAAAAGAGCCTTCAACCTAGAGCCAAGGTCCAAAGACCTCTAGCTGATCCATCATTGCTTGGTCATGTACCCCAGGAAAGGTCACAGTACACTTGACTGTAAAATAGGGATAATTTTTACACATACATATTGCAATGTAAGTAGGTAAAAAATGTATAGCATCTGAAGGTGTTTTATCCCATATAAACATGTAAATGCAAGCAACAGTCCCCCCAGTGGATAAGGAACAGGGATGGCATACGTGACCCAGCCCCACCCCCGCCCAAGCCCGAAGCTGAAGGCACCAACAGGAGACAGCAGGGCACCTGAGGCCCGGCTGCTGACTGAGTCTCAGAGGTCAAGGGTGCTCAGTGACGCGTCCTGCCGGCTGGAGAGTGAGCACGCCGTGACGGGCCCGGAAAGCACACTGACTTACTGAGTGTTGCGCAGCACCGTCTGGACAAACGCAGGATTTGTTTCCATGGAAGCCGTCACCAGAGACGTCAGTAGAGACCAATACCATATTGCAGAAGCATCTGAGACTGAGACCCCAGACTTCTTGACTCTCTGAAAGCCAACAGCCCTCAGACCGTGAATTCTAGTGTCACATCCATCACTAAGACAACGCTTTATGTTAATCTGGACATCTGTCAAGCGCAAACAACAAATTCAGTATTGGATTAACTTCTTCAGTTCGGCAAATGCTAGGCTTCCAACTAAAAGCAAAAGAGTAATTCACATTTCGAAAAAAATATGCTGAAGATATATTTTGATGCCAGAAATAAATGGTGTGTGCAATGGAGCACATATACAATCAATCTGTCAAAAGAGCAGTGACTAATCTGAGGAGTCAAAAGTGTCACGTGTAAAATTAAGGGTGGCTTAAATCTTTACATCACAACGCTTCAAAGGAATTTATGACTTGAAAATCAACACAAACTGTATTTTTAAAATCCTGGCTAAACACATGGTAAGAAAATGTCTAGAATTTTTCCTAAAGTTCCAAAATTTAGATTTAGTTATAAAACAGCAGCTGGCTCATAGCCGTTGTGAGAATTTCTTTTTAATAATCAAGTCCCAATAGATGACATAGGCATGACTCACTTTTAAGAGCTGTCAGAATTTCTTATTTGGGTTGGAGAGGAGGAGGTGAGAAGTTACAAAGGACACAATTTAGAGAAAAGACCACGCAGTGTAAGACAGGAAGCTGCTACTCCACAAGCTTAACTACTTCTTTGCCTAGGGGTGAGACACAAAGACTCTACCTCCCTAGGCCTCAGTTCCTCTGAGCAAAGTAAGAACACGTCTTTTGGCCCAGGAAAGCATTAGGAGAAATGAGACAAAACATGAAGCATTCCGGCTCCCTGAATGAAATAAGCCTGGAAAGAAATCACAGAATTGTGATTATTTCCAAAACCCTGTGTGTGAAGCAAGGTTATAATAGTATAAAAATGGAAACAACCGAAATGCCCAAGAAGAAAAAGCTTGTTAAAATTAAGGCACAATCTTAACAACACTAAGTAAAGGTGTGCATGAATATATGATAAGACAAGTTAAAAAGTTACAAAAGAGCATGAACGAAATATCACCACTTTTGTAAAAAGATACGTAAAGATATACATAAATATATATATGCAAACCTATTTTTAAGTTAAAAAAATATATATATGTCTGTGTGTATATTTATATACATACACAAATATAAGAAAAGGTCTGGAAGGATCCACACCAATGAATTCAGTTACAATCCCTGAGTAGTGGGATTTTGAATAATTTTTTGTTTGTGTAAATATTTATAATTTTCTAATAAGAAAAAAATTTTTTTTCATTTAAAAAGACTTTACTGCTTTTCTATAACTTTTCAAAACACTGAATAGGTGAAATAATGACCACTTTGATGTACACGATGAGAAGCAAATCAGATCTCCAAAGAAAAACAAACAGCCTTTCTACTTCAGAGGTCTTCCTGCCAAAAAACAGGACTTCCTTCCTCCCCTCCAGTCCTCTTAGTTAGAAGGGCAAGATGCCTCTTGGTTGACTCACAGAGCTGACTGATGTTGGCATTTTCCAGCAGTGTCACATAGCCAGTGACATTGCTGGGAATGTGCACGTCGCGGACTTCCTGAAGATCGCTGGCCGTCCTCCCCACAGCTACGGTCACCTGCTGCGGCATGTAGCTCTGGTCAGTGGCCGCCACGGCAATGGACAGGTGCCTGAGTACGACATCTGGCTTCATTTTTAAACTGGAAAACACAAAGAGAACGCAGAAATGACAAATGTTTATACAGGCTGAGAACTGGCAGGGCCCACAAGTCCCACTTCCAAGATCTTATAGGTGATATATACCCAAAGACTGACTCCCCTAAAAGCAACTAACTTGAAAAGCTGGCTACTAGTTTCAAAGTTCTTATGACCTTCCCAAGTTTCTAAAATTCCTTTCAGTTCAAGATCAATCTTCTAGTTCTTTATTTTTTTTTAAGGCTTAAACTTTATTTATGTATGTATGTATTTTTGGCTGTGCTGGGTCTCTGATGCTGCTCGGGCTTTTCTCTAGTTGTGGCAAGTGGGGACTACTCTCTAGCTGTGGTGTGCCTGGACTTCTCATTGCAGTGGCTTCTCTTGCTGTGGAGCTCAGGCTTTAGGGGTGCAGGTGTCAGGAGTTGTGTCACGTGGGCTCAGGAGTCCTGGCTCCCAAGTTCTAGAGCACAGGATCAATAGTTCTGGCGCACAGGCTCAGCTACTCTAAGGCATGTGGGATCTTCCCGGATCAGGCATCGAACCCATGTCTCCTGCACTGGCAGGCAGATTCCTTACCATTGAGCCACCAGGGATACCCTCTATTTCCTTTTAAGATACCATCACAGGCAGGAAAGTATAATATGAACATTCTAATAAAATTCCTTTACCCAGTATGAAGCAAGTTCTAACTGTATCCAAAGAACTGAGTAGATTTGCTCAGGTATAGATGGCTAAAGAGCTTATTTATCCTTTATGAGAAAACAGTAATTATTTCTATTTCCACCAACTGAAATCAGCCCATTTTCTGACGGGACAGGTGATAGTTTAGACAGCAGCTTCAGAATATACAGAAATATCATGGTTGACTGTCATCAGTTTCACTTCAGGATTCTTGACCACCCATTCCCTCTTTCTCTACCAAACTGGCCAACTTAGTTGCATACACTAAATGTACAGAAATGATCTTAAAATCACATCAGATATAAGAAAAGTATCCCTTGTTCCTTGTGACACTAACCTTCCTGAAAAACTAGTGAAAAATGTCTGAAATTAGTATCATAAATACTAGTCAAATGTAAATTTTCTCCCTTAAAATACCAGTAAAGAAATTATCCGTATTTATGAATATACGAACATGGTTATATAATTTCACATGATTCTTTTAACTCGATTCTTACAGCATCTTCACAGATAATCACAAGAAGAAAAAAACTAGGCATTTAAGTTAAAAAATAGTCTAAAATTTTAAAAAATGATTTTTTTAACACATTGACAGGGTAAGAGAAAGAAAGCAGGTAATTTCCTTGGACCTTCACCCAAGAATCTGGTATTATGGCACCCACCGAATCCAGTGTGAGCGGGCGCTGCCATCTGACTGCCAGTAGGATGAGGTTTCTCCATTTGTCATCTTGTCAATGTCTGCAGGGTTGGAGGATGTCTCTATATAAGCGTAGCACTTCGCAACAGACTTGAGTTTGTCCATCTCTGGGCTTCTAGTTAGATCTCCAGGGCTCTCTGTGAGAAAAACCAGATTTTATCATGACATCTTTTTCACATAGCATTTTTTAAAAAGGTCATTGAAAATATCTAACAGAAATATTCCTGGCACTTTGGCCCTAGAAAAATAAATGCTCTGTAAAATCTCCTTCTAAATTGGACAACATGTATAAAGAAGAAATTGGCCAAGGACTGTTCCATGGGTTGGTTGTAGTACAGCATAAATTACTGATATATTTGAAAAACTAACCAAGAGATGAAAATGGTGTCTTGCAGTTTTAACTTACATTTCTTTAATTATGAGTGAGACTTTTTAAGCCACTTGTTTGTAAGCCACTTGTGTTTCTGAGTATGGCTTTGTCCTATCCTCATCTACTTGTTACTGGGTCACAAGTCTTCTTGTCAATTTATACATTTTGTATATGTTATGTAATGTATATATACACACACATAATAAGTAATATTTATTGACTGTTTACTGTGAACCAGGCATTTTTCTACACATTTTCTATGTATTAATTCATTTTAGAGATGAGGAAACTAAGGCGATTACATAACTGCCCAAGGTCAGAATTAGTTAAAAAAAAAAACACTGTCACAATGTTATAAAATATACCTTTGTTCCATAAAATGTTATTTGTCTTTTGACTGTGCTTATGATATGTTTTTGCTGTACAGAACTTTAAATTTACATACAGTCTAACTTACTGATCTTTTCTTTCGTAGTTTCATGTCCCACTTAGAGAGGTTTTCCCATGTCAGGGCTTTTATAAAGTGGAACTCCTTCCTTCTAGCACTCTTACAGCTTTCTTTTTGGTTGAACTTTTGAAATTTATTTGATTAAGTGGGTTAAGATTCTAGTTTTATTTTTTTCTCCAAATGTCTAACCAGTTCCCTAACCCAATTTGTAGGCTAATTCACTTCCTGCCCTAACTTGTAATGCTAACTAATTACATCTGGTACCATGTTCCCACATGCAACTGGGTCTATTTCTAGACTGAGACTCCACGGACCCGACAATTCACATTATCAACTTTTGCTGTGGTCACCAGTGAGTCTGTAGTGGCTTCCCTCATTTATTCAACAACTATTCACCGAGCACCTACTGTGTGGCAAGCATAGTTCTGGGTCCCAAGGATAATGAAGTGAATAAGACAGACAAAAATGCAAGTAAATAAAAATGCTACAACTTCAGGTAATAAGTGCCATTTAGACTTTTAAACCTGCAAAGGGGATTGTGACCAAAGAGGGGAAATGGTGGCAGTGGGGGCATCAGTCAAGAGTAATGAGGAGAGGCCTGCCACATCTGAGCGGAGACTTGGGTGATAAGAAAGCAGCTGGGTTAAGAATAAGGCGAGGGGGAGGGGAAGGAAAGGGAGAGCAGTTCACATTCTTCTGCTACAAACTGGTCACTATATTTTCAGAAATAAAAGCAGGGAGGAGGGCTGGCTTACCCTGTCAATAAACACTCACTTGAAAGAAATGATCACCAGGCATCCTCAAGAACAGCCCCACCCCCGCGCACATACCCTTTTCTTTTTGTACCAGCTGATCCAGAGACTCCTTCAGAACAGAGGCCCTCATGGTGCTCATGTTATTGCAGTGGTCCAACATGGGGTAGGGGATGACGGTGCTGGAGAGCCGGTTGCGATGCAGGAAGCGCAGGATCATCGCCGCATGGACATCCAGGCCCTCCTTGGACTCTGAAAATATGTCTATGAAACCTAAGCAGAAAAAGTCCATTTCTTATGTTTTTGGGAACCTACCACAATAGGTTCCACATCCCCTGCCTGGCGGCCTAGAGGAATTATCTGAATCAAAAGCAGCCATTAAGAATCCTCTCTGGTAGTTTCAGCTTTAATCATTTAAAAATCTGAAGACGTTTTTAAGAAATGAACCAGTGGTGATCTCAATTTCAAAATTAATTTCACTGTAGTTTCACAGAAATTGTAGAAGACTAGAATAATGATTATTTCTTTCCATCCAAGTTTCCAATTTTTATAAGTTTAATTTATAAATTTAAATACTAACTAGAAATTTTTGAAAAAGTTTTGCATATTGAATATAGGCTAGGAATAAAGTTTATCACGTTAGAGTGTAATGGTATGACTGCTTTTATTCTAAGCTACAGAAGATAATGAAAATACAACCATTACCCTGACCACAGTTCTTGACTGCCTTTTATAGTTTTCGAGGTCCTTCCATAGACATCACCTCAGTCAGTCCCCAGAGTAAGTGGTGGCGGTGGAGGGTGGGGAGGAGAAGGCACTGGAGGGTCTGGGACCCTCCTCTTACTGAGGAAGCGAGGCTCAGGTGACACACCGGGTCAGCAGCAAGGGGCAGGACTGGAAACAGTCCCTGCACTGCTTTCAAGCGCTCCCTTCACCACTCCAGTCCTCTCTCCGCGGTGGCCCCTCTGAAGGCTCCTGCATCTGTCCTTCCCTCTGCTCACGGTCCAGACTCTGGCCTCAACACCTCCGTTCACACACCCACCCAGGTATCCTAAGGGGCTCCCCTAGCTGCATTTTCTCTGATGTTAACCTCAGTAACCTTTCAAAAACACAAAACAGACCATGTCTGAAGTGAAGTGAAAGTCGCTCAGTTGTGTCCGACTCTGCAACCCCAGGGACTATACAGTCCATGGAATTCTCCAGGCCAGAATACTGGAGTGGGTCGCCTTTCCCTTCTCCAAGAGATCTTCCCAACCCAGGCTTCGAACTCAGGTCTGCTGCATTGCAGGTGGATTCTTTACCAGCTGAGCCACAAGGGAAGAGGCAGAATCAGATGGGCTGGTTCTAGGGCACAATTTCTCCTCAGGCTCATGTTTAGCTTCAAAAATTAAAGCAGTTTCCTTCTGCTCTAATAAAATCTTTTGGTTTCATACTTAAAAGCAGTTCCTCCTGCGGACTTCTGGAATTCTGCTCTTGTTATTGTAGATTCAGCTTCAATAACAAGCTTTCAACTGAGGTGCACATGACCCAGACAGTTAAGTGAAGAGAGAATAAACACAGCAGCTTTTCCTGGAGCTCAGACATGCTTATAGATTTGGGGAGGGTTTTCTTTGTTTCTCTTTTACTTTCTAATTAAAACAGAAGTACATATATTATCATTGTATTACTGGATGAACTGTCACAAGCTGAGCACACCCAAGTGAGCAGCACCTAGAGCACGATTCCAGAAGTCCGCAGGAGAAACTGCTTTTAAGTGTGAAACAAAAGATTATATTAGAGCAGAAGGAAACTGCTTTAATTTTTGAAGCTAAACATGAGCCTGAGGAGAAACTGTGCCCTAGAAGTGGCCCATCTGATTATGCCTCTACACAAACCCAGGAGCCCCTGGTTTGATTTCCCAAGCCCCAGAAGTTTACACCATTCCTCGTATCTCCTCTTTCAGTTCCTCTTAACGGACATCCAGGGTAATACCCAGACTTCATGCGATGACGCTGCTGGTACGGCACTGATCTGCTCCCAACAGACTGATGCTTGTAATGGGAAAACTTTTATCACATGGTGAAACAAGCAATGAATCTGGTAAATGGGCTGTCTCTTTTTTAACCATTCAGCACTCATACAAAGAGATACGAAAGGAGTGTCAGCCTAGGTTAGACAGAGGGACCAGGAATGTGGGATTCCACCAGAGAGATGAGCTCAGCTCGCCAAGTTTCAGCCTAGGATTGTGATTTTTTTTTTTTTTAAGAAAAACTCTTTTAAGTTAAAATAAAAGAGAAAACATTTCAGTAGAAAGTCCTAAGTCACAACCCTGCTAGAGAAGGTCTGGCCCCCTAGTTTTTCAGCCTAACCCCACCACCCCTTAGGGCCACCCAGAGCAACAACGCGCTAAGTGTTGCTGGGTCCCGTGGTTTCCACTCCTTTCCTCTCCTCCCAAAACACCTCTTCAAGGTGTTCAAATAAAGCTCCTGAGGCTACCCATATGCTGGTAATACAGAGGTGAGGGTAATACGAAATGCCAAAAGTTAGCTATGCATAATTCAAAGTGTAATTTTTACTGCCATGAGAACAAGAGAAAAATTAACATGTACAGGCTATCTATAATGCTCTATAAAAATTACATAATTCAAGACAATCTGAAGAAGAGCAGAAGTAGGCATTCTTCATTAATATACAGAAACCCTCCTTCCCTAGCTCAATACATCCTCAGTAGGAAGCCAGAGAGGTCAATCAGAGTTACATTTATGGATCCAACAAGTCTGTTTGCCTCCCTGCTTCTGTGCTAAATATTATGACTCCAAGTGCAAAAGCAGGAAAGCTCCTGGATAAAATGAACTGAACCAAAAGGATGACATGCCAAGTTTCATCTTTTCCTTTCAAACTCAATTGCTTTCTCACTAGAAAAAAACAAGAAAAGGTAATATTATTTTGATTCTGTTTCTGAGCTCCCTAAATAAAACCATCAAAAAATATAGACAAAGTTTTTTCATAGAGACAATGCAGAGGTACTGTTTCATTTTAAGCTATTTTTATTCTCACAAATTTCAGAGCAAAGGCTTTCTAAAAATTAAAAAAACTGGGTGCCTACCAAGTGCCAAACTACTAAATGTTGAGGACTCAGCAGAAGTAAAAGAGAAGGTTCCCTGCCCTCCTGGAGCTCACAGGATAAAAGTGAAGACAGATATTTACAAACAAGTGAGTAATAATTAATTAATTAGCACAGTGATATGTTGCAAAAAAAAAAAAAAACAAATACACAATGCTAAAAAAGCCTACAACTGGGGCCAGGGAAGACTTCTCGAGAGAGTGAAACACAGAGATCCAGTAAGGAAGGTGGCCTCATGACAAAGGTTCATAAAGATGGGAGAACTGCTCAGCCACCACTCTTTGGGGAACACAAGAAATGATTACACTCAACACACATTCAGATCATGAGCTTAGTGAAGGCTATCAGAAAATCATGACTATTTCATGGTGCCCACAAGCTTGTCTAATTACAACCCATATTACAGCAACCCATATTACAACCCATATTACATTTGGGCTCTAAGAGAGCATTCTTCAGCATTCAGCCCTCAGATGAGGGCCTCACCTGGAACAAGAGAGCAGGCTTGCAACTGTCTGATGATGTGGCTCAGCTCTCCCTGAAGGTTAGCTCCACTGGAATTCTTGAGGGCCTCCAACATGTTCTCAGCATCAACCGTACCATCACCCTCAGCATCAAACTGGGCAAAGGCCTATAAGACAAGAGAGGCAAGAAAATCAGGTATGGGTTCCAAATTTTGAAAAACTGACACTTCTTAAGACCAGTGATTTTTGTTGTTGTTGTTGTGGGAAGAGTTCAGATACATCATTCAAAGAACAAATAAGTTTGGGATAGTAACTCATGATGTTCTGCAGAACATGTGTGGACAAGTATTGCTACCTGTAGGCACAACATCCAACAACATCTCATCTCTTTCAAGAGAGTAAGCCCCCTGTCCCCAGATAATTTCAGAAGAAAGCAATCACTGCAAAAATGTTCAACTGGTTATAAAGTGCCAAACACAAAGCATTGGCTTAGGGTAGCGTCTCAGGTTTAGGAGGGCTTTTTATTTTAAACTCTCTTTGGACCTGAGAGCTAACTTGGTTTATCTACTTTATAGCCCTGTATACACTAACCTTTAACGATAATCTAATTTCACGCTGCTTATGTTGGGGAACTGGGTACAGCATGGGATTTGGCTTGAATCCTGCTCTGTCACTAGTTGGCCATGTGACTTCACACAACACACTCCCTTGCCTCCATAAGCCTCAGCTCCTTTTTTTTTTTTTGGCTGTGCTGTGCAGCGTATAGGACCTTAGTTTCCAGATTAGGGATCAAACCTGTGCCCGCTGCATTGAGAGTCTTAACCACTAGACCTGGGAAGTCCTTCATCCTGTTCTTTTCTGATTAGACCCAATCAGGAAAGCTGAATTTACTTTGGAAGTCACACACTCAAAGTAAATAAGATAGAAGAGATCAGAAGAAACAGACTGTGATGAAGATGAGACTAGAAATTGCCCTGTGAGAAAAGCTTGGAATCTCCAGTGAGGAGAAAAGATGACTGGGAGTAACAGACTCCATTTCAAACATCTGATGGGCTATTATGGGAAGGAGTAGTTATAATTAAGGTCATCAGATGGAAGCTAGAGGGAAAAGCTCATCATAAAGACGGATGCATCTGTTGTTGGTGGGGTGTAAAGATGGATTAGGAGGCTCCAGACAGAATGCCCAACTCATCCCTCAAAGCTTCAGTCAGCAAAAGCTGGACACGGAGTCATCAAGAGTGTTCAAAGATGTCACAATAAACAAATGCATTTACCTCTGCTCCCCCCTGAAATTCCACTAAGACCATATTATAGAGGGATTTTTTTTTCTTAAGAGTAAGGACAAAGCAAACAGGAGATTTTTCAACAGCAACAAAATTTTGGAAGCTGGGAGGCAGATGGATTTCTGGGACTATGGATAAATTAGAATATGGACTGGGTGTTAATGAAACAGATATTAACAGGATAGTGAAGACCACTAACTGAAAAAACTAAGTTATAGAAGAGTACTAGATAGAAAATGATCTCATGTTAGTTTAAACAAAAAGCAATTATGCACTTTCCACATTGGTACCAAACATACATAGATTTATCAGGAGAGAGTCCCTTGGACAGCAAGGAGATCAAACCAGTCAATCCTAAGGGAAATCAACTCTGAATATTCATTGGAAGGACTGATGCTGAAGCTGCAGGTCCAATACTTTGGCCGCCTGATGTAAAGAGCTGACTTATTGGAAAAGATTCTGATGCTGGGATAGATTATAGTGATAAAGAGGAAATTATAAACATTAAAACATTTAAGCACACCCTAATGTGAAGAGTAGAGCCAATGGGTGTGGAGGGAGGTAGAGCAGAAGCACAGCCTCTGTCTGCCCTGAGGCCCCAGGACGTGAGTGCACAGCACCAATAACAGCTCCTTCAAGTTGTAGCGCAGTGAGGAACAGTAACACTGTATGCTTCAAAGTCTGAGGGGATTAGCACAGCGGTAACCCACTCAATGCGGAATGACAGATGGTTTGGGAAGCTCTGAATTAATATCTGAGCACTCACTAAATTTTAAGCAGTGCACAAACCATGTATTCCACATAACAGCAAGATTGCTATTAACCTCCTCATTTTAAAGTTGTACATTTTACAGAGAGGTCAGAAAACTTGCCCAAAGTCACACAGCTAGTATTTGACTCCCAAGGCTCCCGAGCTCGTGTTCTTCACAACCCCATTCTCTTTCCTTTGACCAGATAACCCCTGGGGTTCCTTGCTGTCCGAGACCAGGTGCTCAAAACCTCTCTCTTATCCATCCCTTTCCTCCATCTTCTAGCCCTTGCTCTTGGCACCTTGCACCCAGGCTTACTCAACATCAGCCTTAAAGCTGAGACTCACTCTCTCTAAATCGCAAGCAGCCCTCAAGCCCTACTCCCACCAGAATTTCTGCACTTCAAGTGCCACCTGCATCTCAAGTGCTGTCTGTTCCCAACTTCCCACACAACTCTTGCTGGTAAAAATTCTATATGAGCAAGGCTATACGAATAAGTGACATTTTTCTATTTTTAACAGACACTGTTGATCTGTCAATAGTTAAAGGATATGATCAAAAGAATTTTCAAACAAACAAAAAATAAAGACAGTTTGGGTGAGAAAAAAAGAATCAGAACAGTGCTGCCAACAGCTTCACTGAACAAATATGTAATTTCCTAACACTTGGGAAATCGTTCTTAAAAAAATGCAGAGGTTTTGAAATCTACCACTTAGCATCTAGTTTGTCTCACAGGAGCCAATTTACTTAGCACTTATTTAACACCAGCTGACAGGGAGCCACTTACGCCTGACCCGGGCTTGGCTCTGTCCACACTGGGATGTCAGGGTGGAATCCTGGCTCTCCAAAATCCCCATGGCCTAGGAGAAGACAGAGCCACAAACCAGCAGCAGCAATGTGATGGGTGTGATTGTTACAATAACAGAAGTAACAGCATAACAAGTACAAGAGCTAATACTCACTAAATTCCACAATCCTAAGGCTGGTACCACCACTTTAACTAGACAGGGAAAGAGAGGTAAGGGATTTTGCTCAAGGTCACATGGTTAGGACTGGTAAATGATGGAGCTTGGATGGGAATTCCGGTATGATTTGGGACCCCACACTGTCAACCACTGTGACCTGAGCTAACAGACATTCTGGAGGCCAGAAGCCCAGGAGTGGTAGAGGCATTTGGGGGAAATGGCCCTCAGAAAAATGGGGAGCCACTCAAATTCCTAAAGCAAGACAGTACACAATGAAGTGGTAGCCTGGAAATCAGGGAAAGGCAAAACAGAGCAGTGGCCTTTCCTCCATATTTCTCGAGGATCATGAAGCTCTCCAAAAGAAACCAATACCATCGTGTCCCCCACAGCAAAGCATGCAGAACCAGAATAACCTCCAAGTCACTCAGGACTCTCCTCTCTGCACTGCCTCATCACTATCAACAGCCAGCGCTCACTGAAGACTTCCTGTGTACTGGAGGCATGCAGGCAGGTGGCGGGGCCCTCGGAGCCTCATGCAGAGCAAGACCTCACGGTGTGCTCTAAGTGTCAAAAGACCTTTGCAGAACCGGAAATAAGAGCCTCAAGGGAAGGAGTGAAAATACGATGATACAGAAGCCATCTGAATCACACCACAGGAGACGGTCGGTCCCGATCGTCCTGACCAGGTGATGGGGCCAAGGAGGGGAATCTTGGAGAACGCACAGAAGAAAGGGCCACACACTGGACAAGGCAAGCGTCCCACAGGGTACAGAAGGAGGTGAGGTCAGACAAGGAGACAGGCCAGCCTGCAGCCTCCACCTCATTCCGAGGAAGAAGTACCTGATCCCCTGGGCAGTGAGGAACCCTTACAGGCTCTCAGCTGAGGGTAAGCCCACTTCCTCTTCATGGTACACACATGTGGCTCTCATACTCTGTCTTGAAAGGGCACAGAATTACATCTGCATGACTCTATTTGCATAGTTCTTGGGCTCAGAGCCATTCTAAATTAATCAATACTATGACATGATAATGCCAAGATGGTATTTTTCTCCAAATTTCCTCTAAGTTCCAGCAGTGACTAAGAATCTTTTAAAGTTTTCACTAAAACTATATTTAACTGCTTCCTCAATGTCAATAAATATCTTCTTGGGAATTCTCTGGCAGTCCAGTGAGAATCTGAGCTCTCACTGCCAAGGACCCAGGTTCGATCCCTGGTTGGGGAACTAAAATCCCAGAAGCCATGTGGTGCAGCCGGAAAAAAAGAAAGAAAAGAATTATCTTCCTATTAAAAGGTAATGGATTGAATATAAAATATGAAGCTGGAGAATGAGCACTGTCAAATCAAACACTGACTCTGAGCAGGGACTGTGCTAAGACAATAAATAAATGAATTTAAAAAGTCCTTCCTTCAGACTTTACAACCCTACAAATCTCACAAAGTAGGCACCAGAGCTAATATGGCAAATTAATCAAATAAGATCTGTTCATCCTAAATGCCCAACTTCAAGCCATCTGCTATCATCCTGTGCTCAGCACTTTTTTCCTGCTCTAGAGCCTATACATGATCTACTGGAAGCATATCATAGTAAGAGCACAATATCTAATCTCTGAGTAAGATTAAATAAGAATTTAATTTTAACTCCAATTCCTCTTCTGCATAGGAGTCAATTAAATACTGCTCCTTGTGAGCAAATCAAAGACTCCTTTTCCATGGACTACACCCATCAAGAGAAGAGGTGTGTTGTAACTATAAAATGATAATGTTTCAGACTTTGGTCCCCGGTATAACTTCAAGAATTTCTTTAGGACAACACCTCAAGCAAGCAAGGTCACAGGAATGTGAAGGCAAGGCAGCTGGGCAGACATGGATGGCAGCAGGAGCCAAAAGAATCAACATATACAACGTGGAAATTTTCACCATTACACTAGTAAATACTATACCCCGACGAGAACCTGCTCTAAAATTTGGTCACTGCCGGCTTCCTAGCCTTGTTCTCCTGCTGCGTTCTATGATCTAGCCATGTGAGTCAAAGATGGCGAAACTGTGACCCAATATCTGTTCTCCTCTTCCTCAGTAATTTAGCTGAATATATGGCCATGGAATAAGGGCTTTGCCAACCTCCCCTGCAGTTAAGCGTGGCCATGTGACTGGGTTTGGTCAAAGGGGCTTGTGGCCCTCTCCTTCCCTTTCCGGCTGACTGTGGACAGCGGCAGCGAAGGAGTCGTGTGGGTCACTAAGTGGGAGGTGACTGTGGAAGGTGACAGCACGAGATGGACAGAACAGTCCCCGGCAACTGTGAAACTTGCATGTATCAATCCTGGACTGCCTACTTGGACTCTTACATTAAAAGCTTCTTTATTGTTTAAAGCACTGAGGCACTGGATTATCTGTCCCTTGAAGCAGTTTGTAGCCCAAAGACATCATACCAGTCTTCCCAATTATCTATTCTGTGGTCATGGGACTTGTGCACGTGACACCCTCTGTCTGGAAACAGAGCTCACATCTTCTGCTCCTTGTCTGCTTTCAGTCTTCAAAACTGAGCTGGAAAGTTCTATCTCAGTTATGTCTTCTTTGACACCCTGGATGAGGTCAAATACTCTTGCTATTTTTTCATTATGCTTTCCCTTGAATAACTCACCACACCTACAAATTGCTGGGTTAATATGCATCTCTTTCAGTACTAAATACTCTTTTTTTTTTTTTTAATGTGGACCATTTTTTAAAGTCTTCATCGAATTTGTTAGAATATACTTCTATCTCGCACGCCTGCTCAATCACTAAGTCCAGTCTGACTCTTTGCAACCCCAAGCAAGAATACTGGAGTGGGCAGCCATAACCTTCTCCAGGGGATATTTCCAACCCAGGGATCCAACCAGAATGTCCTGCATTGGCAGGCAGATTCTCTACCACTGAGCCATCTTCTGTCTTATGTTTTGGACTTTGGGCCCCAGGTCATGTGGGATCTGAGTTCCCTGATCAGGGATTGAACCATACTCCCCTGCACTGGAAGGTGAAGTCTTAGCCACTAGACCACCAGTGAAGTCCTAAGCAGTAGATACTCTTTAAGAGTAAGTATCTTGCTTTGTCCACTGTCATTTAAGTCCTCGGCACTCAGTATATGCCCAACAAGCATTTGCTCAGTGAAAGAATAGATAAAGTCATAGCCCTTGCGTGAATTCTGGACCACACCTCGAGGACTTCTTGGCCTTACATTACAGGACTCTATTCCTGTCAGACACTCTCACAATTGTAAGCACTTTCCCTCCATTGTCTTTGGATCCTTCAAGATATCTGCATAGCTCTTTCTGACTGCTTCACTTTCTCATTATACGTCTAGGACTAGAGTGGAAAGTACTGGGAATTCCCTGGTGGTCCAGTGGTTAGGACTCTGCACTTTCACTGGGAAGGACCCAGGGTTTGATCCCTGGTCAGGGAACTAAGGTCCCACAAACACTGCAGCCAAAAATAAAAAATAAAAAAAGCAAATTCCTGGAGGTTAAAAAAAAAAAAGAAGATCTTTCACTAAGTAACATGACTGACATTTTCAAAAGCCAGATGCCTTACAGATATTCTTAAAAGAAAATTTAAGACACACACAAACTACATTGTCTGAACTCTGGGCATGTAGAGGAAAATATTTAAAAAATATTTGAAAAGCCTCTGGTTTTAAAGTGTGAACCAGTCTCTAATGGCATTAAAATACCTTGTCTGTTTGTTTCTGTACTCATCTTTCATTGACAATGAATATACTACATGGTTTACCCATTTTCACAAATTAAGTACCTTTTTGTTATAACACTGTGGACTTAATGAAAAAGGGCCTTAAGAAGCTTGTACTGTGACATAAGACAAACAAACAAAAGTCAAGAAATCTGAGTGACAGTCTCAGTTTCATCAACGACTCACAGGGTGATGTTGGATCAGACCGCTTCTTAATTCTAAAATGACGTGTCTGGTACAGATAATTCCTAAGATCCCTTCCAAGGAAAATACTTTGCTGCCATATCAATTTGCTGTTAATCACTTAACAAAGCTGATATTGGTGATTATGCCCCAAACTATATAATCACAAGTAGTCACAGGAAACCTGGTATTTAGTCAATAGTTGTAGGTTCTAGGGAGGTTTAAATGAGACTAAAATATGACCCTTCAAAGATCTAAAAACCAATGTGGGTTTTGGAAAAGCTAGTTTCTGCGAGATGAGAATGGCTTTCAGAATGTGAATTTTTCCAATATATGTTATTCTCCCACATTCGTTAGGACCCCACACTGGACTCAGAAGGTGCCCCTGCAAAAACCCACTGGCCAGTAAAACCGAATGGTTTTCATGGCCACTCCCTTGATCCCTGCACTACAATCCCCTTAGGCCATCCTGGAGGGCAGCTGATGCAGCGTCAGGCAACAGCACAAAGGTCTGTGCTACAGTAACATGCAAAGACATCTTATCCAGTACTTCTGAGCCAGAACGGCCCAGCCGAGGCTTTCCACAGCTCTAGTAAAGGTTAGAGAGATTGACAGTCGGCTCCCAGACTGAACAGGCTGGAAGCTCCCATTGTGGGTCCCGGCATACCCAAGCTCTTATTCTCAGAAGCTGCCAACCCTACCATTCCTGCCCAGCCACTCCAAAGCCACTGCCTACCTCTTCACGCCCTTAGGGCCGACCGCCCTGCCCCCACCCCACAATCGCTAGTCAGTCCTGACCTCCTCGAACCGCTCGCCCGAGAAGCCGGCGCCACGAGCCTCCAGCAGCTCCCCGAACTGCTCCAGGGTGACGGACTCTTCGCCGCGGCCCAGGCGCTCTTCCAGCCAGCGCAACAGCGCGCCGTGGTGCCTGGACACCAGAGATTCGCAGGGCGGCGTGGGCCGCAGAGCAGCCGCCGCCTCTCGCAGCCGGGCCGGCTCCAGCAGCGCCGCGGCGGGCGGCAGCGCCGGGGCCGCGGGACCCTGGCCGAGGGTCGTGCCCGAGTCCGCGGCCCAGTCCTGGTGCGGGCCCCAGCCCTCGCCCCCGGCGGCTGCCGCCTCGTCTTCACTGCTGTGACTCGGAGCGTTCCCCATGAGGTCTCCGTCTCGGGCGCCCGGCTCTGCTGCCGCCGCCGCCGCCTCCCCGCCACGACCTGTCAACCTCCGACGGCACCCGGCGGGCGGGGACCGGGAAGGGACGACGGCGGCGGCTGCGGCTTCCGGCTTCCTCGCCGACAAGCGAGGACTACTGTCGCAAAGGCGCCGTTAAGCGGATACCACCAGCTGTCGTGAGACAGCAAGCGGGGGACAGCCTGATTTCCAAGAGGGCGCTTCTGTCATTACGTCTACGTAACCTGCAGCCTCATTTGCTACCATCTTTGTTGGGGGCGGACAACCGGCAGGCCAGAATATTCTCTCGCTAGTCACTTCCTTAGTATCTCTCAGCAATCGCTAGCTATGCTGGAAAAGTACGAGGAAGGTTGGAGCCAAGGAGTGAGCTCTTCGCCAAAGACTTTCCCTTCCAGTGCCCCATTGTCCCCTTAGTAACATGCGGACCCGCGAAGGCGCGCGTCGCGCCGGTGACGTCGCGGCCGGTTCTCCGCCATCTTAGCTGTGGACCGAGAGGTGGCAGCTTCGGAGGAGCCAAGAGGGGTACGGCTGCGTAAATGCCGGGGCTCGGCGGGCGTGGGCTCTGGCTGGGCCTGGCCGTGGCTGTGGCGGCAGCGGCGGCGATGGCCGCACGGCTGATGGGCTGGTGGAGTCCTCGCGCCGACTTTCGCCTTTTCATACCCGAGGAGCTGGCCCGCTACCGCGGCCGCCCAGGGGACCCGGGCCTCTATTTGGCCTTGCTCGGCCGCGTCTACGATGTGTCCTCTGGCCGGAGGCATTACGAGCCCGGGGCCCACTATAGCGGCTTCGCAGGTATTAGCAGGGCGGTTCGCGCCTTTTCCTGCTACGACGCGGGCGGGTAGCCGCCTGCGCTTCATTCATGCACGTATTCATTTATTCGTGTGTTCATTTCCTTTTTTTCCTCCCCACATTTCGTCAGGCCAGGGTGGGGCCCGGGCTCCGCTGCATCATCCATCTGGTGTGTTTTGACTATGGGCAACTGTCACCGGCCTCTATTCTCCCTGTCTTCCCACCGCTCCTCCTGACTAGGTTGGAGAAACACATCACTTGCCTCTTGTCAGTTACTCTTTCCCGGCCTGCAGAAGCTCCCAGGACCTGCTTTGGGCCACAGTGCGTGGCTCTTAGGGCACAGAGATGAGTCGCTGCCCTCAGGGTTCCCCAGCTGATTCCAGTCATTTCTTCAATGTGTCCTAGTGAGAAGTGACTTCCTTTCCCCCATCCCAGGTTTCCCTAAAGATAGTACATTTGGTTTACTTCTAGTACAAATGCTTATATCTGTCTTAAAGAAGTTTATCAGGGGACTTGCGTGAGACCCAGGTTGGATCCCTGGTCAGGAAACTAGAAGTTTGAATGCTACCTGCAGGGAAGGTTGACAATCCCACGTGCTGCAAGTAAGATCTGGTGCAGCCAGATAAGTATAAAGTTCATCAGGTTAGAGCACAGGGAAGGAGTCTGGCCATCTTTATACTTAGAACAAAGTTGAGCATATATTAGGCCACAAAGAACATTTGTCAAATGAGACTTATTCTAACCCTATTTTACAGCTGGTGAGGATTGGAGGATGTAATTTGCCTAAAGCCCTCACAACTAAGTCCTGACTAGGACCATGCCTTTTAGAGATGTTACTTTACAAGCCTAGAGGATTGACCACCTCCCAGATTAAAAGAGAAAAAGCAAAGGAGGAGCAAGCCTAAGGCCATTGACTAAGTTGATATTAAATAAGCATTGTCCATTTGTCATTATCTCTGGGGAGTTGGGAAGTTGCCTCTGGCAGTTAAATACAAGGCAGGTCCCTGTCTCTAGGGAGAACTTGAAAAGTAGAAGCACTGACAGAGAAGGAATTATGTGCAGTTGATGATGCTGAGGTCCTCAAACAGTCCAAGAGAGGGAAAGGACTTACCCAGGGCTGCCCAGTGACTGAGAAGCAGAGATACAACTGAAATCAAGTGTTTTATTCACCTGCCAGGTGAGGACACTTTTGAGTACACTCTCCTGCCATGCCCTGATGCAGCTGTCATGGCTGTATGCACATGTGAGCAAAAACCTCTCCCTTTCTGGGGTGATTTTCCTTTTGCAATGTGCTCTCCTCTAGAGTGAGTTCCTTTGTGTCCCATGTTATTCACCATCCATTTATTAACCACCACCATTAGCTCACCTTGTCCCCAGCCCCCTACACACTCTAGTAGGGAAGTAGATACATTCCCTTATTCATTTGCTCAGTCAGTATTTTTATTAAGATACTCAGATGGTATAAACTCCACCCTTTTAGACAGTAGAATTTAGTGGTTTTTAACTTGGGAAGTTGGGCTTTCCTGGTAGCTGAGCTGGTAAAGAATTGGCCTGCAATGCAGGAGACCCCAGTTCGAGTCCTGGGTCAGCAAGATCTCTGGAGAAGGGATAGGCTACCAACTCCAGTATTCTTGGGCTTCCCTGGTGGTTCAGACAGTAAAGAATCCATCTGCAATGTGGGAGACCTGGGTTCGATCCCTGGGTTGGGAAGATTCGCTGGAGGAGGGCATGGCAACCCACTCCAGTATTCTTGCCTGGAGAATCCCATGGACAGAGGAGCCTGGTGGGCTACAGTCCATGGGGTCACAAAAGAGTCAGACAGGACTGAGCAACTAAGCCCACACAACATGGGGAGCTGCGTAAATATCACCACTGTCTTACTGGCATTTTGTCACCTCCCCAAAGAAACCCCATTTTTGTTAGGAGTCATTCTCCATCCCCTCTGACTACTTGGCCCCTGGCAATGAGTATCTACTTGCTGTCTCAAAAGATTTGCCTCTTCTGGCATTTCATGTTCATGAGTCATACTTGTGACCTTTTGTGTCCGTCTTTATTCACTTGGCATAATGTTTTCAAGGTTCATTCATGATGTATTGGCGTCTATCAGTACTGTATCCCTTTTTATGGCTAAATAATATTCTGTTGTGTAGATTTTGTTGATCTGTTCATTATTTCTTGGATATTTAGGTTTTTCCCACCTTTTGCTTATTATGAATAATGCTGTTATGAACATTATGCACCAGTTTTGTTGTGGACATGAGTTTTCAGTTTTCTTGTGTATATACCTAGGAGGGGAATTGCTGAGTATATGGTAACTCATGTTTAATTTAATTTATATGTTTTGGTTGCACTGGATCTTCATTGCCGCACGCAGGCTTTCTCTAGTTGTGGCAAGCAGGGACAACTCTTCATCGTGGTGCACGGGCTTCTCGTTGAGGAGGCTTCTCTTGTTGCACGCCACGGGCTCTAGGGCACACGGGCTGCAGGAGTTGTAGCTCCTGGGCTCTAGAGAACAGCCTCGCAGTTGTGGTGCATGGGCTTAGTTGCTTTGCGGCATGTGGTATCTTTCCAGACCAGGGATCAGAGAATGATCAATTTGTTTAAAATATCAGTCTAAGTGTTATACAGAAAATAGATGAGTGGAGGACAGAAATAAACAGGGAGACCTTCTGGGCTTTACCCTAATCACTTAGATGAGAGATGCCGGCAGCCCGGGCTCTAGTGGTAGATGGAGCCAGGTAGTCTGATACAAGAATTATTTAGGAAGAAATTATAGGACTTGGGAACTAACTGGATGTGAGGGATGAAGGAGGTGTCAAGGACTGCACTTCTGGATTGAGCAACTAGTTATGAACTGAGATAGGGAGTATTAGATTGGAGGCAGGTTTCCAGGGACTGGGGATGCCGTGTGGACATTTTGAACTTGTGATGTCTGAAAGTCCTCTAAGGAATGTTGAGCAGACAACTGGATATACACGTCTGGAGCTCAAGATACAAATTTGACACCTTTGGTATCGAGGTGCTACTTGAAACCACGAGAGTGGATGAGATCATTAAGCGGAGGGTGTAGATGGAGCAGAAGAGGTGAACAAGAATCGATCCCTGAGACTGGTAGAAAACGAGCTAGAGGGGTAGGAGGAAAACCAGGATTGTAGTGTCACGGAAGCCAAGGAACTCCGCCGTGTGAAATGTTGCTGAAAGTCAATGAAAGAATGGGGTACGTGCCAGAATGTGTCTCCAGGATCCAGGAGCATCTGTCACTAAGGAGGAGGGATTGGCTTTGCTTAGGGTTGCGGAGTGAGGGGTTGGGGAGATATTTCTCAGAAAATAGATTCTTGAGTTGGTATAGTGTTGGTGATTTACAAGTTAATCTACTGGAAACATCTCTCCTGCAGGCCGAGATGCATCCAGAGCGTTTGTGACCGGGGACTACTCTGAAGCAGGCCTTGTAGATGATGTATCCGACCTGTCATTTTCTGAGATGCTGACACTCCAAAACTGGCTTTCATTCTATGAGAAGAATTACAAATTCAAGGGTAGGTATTCCGCAGGTCATTTCCATAGATTTCATTTAGTTGTCTTGAATTTGTTGCACTGCACCGCATGTGAGGTCTTAGTTCCCTGACCAAGGATCGTACCCATGCCCCCTGCATTGGGTGCTTGGAGTCTTAGCCACCAGACCACCGGGGAAGTCCCCGGGTAAACCTTCTAGAAGTGCTTTCTGCTGCTTCTCTTGCCATATGACGGGGCTGCTAGTGAAGGCCACTTGTACTTTAGGACTTGGAGATAAAAGTCCCTGCATCTAAGAACTGATACCTTCTTGGCTCTGGCCTCCTGAAGCTGCTCTTGCTGCCATTGCTTAGACCTTACAAATTCTGACAGATTTTAAACTAAAACCAGCCCATGCAATGTGTCCATTGAAGGACTGAGCCAGAAAAGAATGACGGATGGGGGAGAGCATGAGCTTGGGGTAAGACCTACTTACTAGCTTCAGAGACTCCCCAGCTACTACGTCTTCCAGTCCCTCTCCCAGGACCATGGGGCACTGATACCTCTCTCATAGGGGTGTATGAGGATCACAAAACATTGGTAAAGTGCCAGCAAAGCTGCTGATACTGAGTGAACGCTCGATGGATGACTTATTTATGTTACATAAGATAACAATAAAATAATTCTATGTGGGGAAGAACTTAGCCACAAAAATGTCATGCAATAAGCGATACATTCGTCAAGCGTTTATAGAACACCTGCTTACCTCAAGTGCTGTGAAACACTGAAAGACGAGTGACAGGTGGTTCTACTCTCGGGGACTGATGTCTAGAAGGGGGGAAGATTTTATGTTTTCTGTCCTGGAGGTCTCTACACCCAGAACAGGGAGGCTTCTATCCAGAGTGGTGTAAGACATTGAGAGATGTTGGGGCAGGAGGTGCCACAAGTCCTTCCAGCCAGCTCCTGATAAACCAGCAGCCAGCCGGCCACCGTAGAGCCCCAGGGGCAGAGCTCTCCTGGGGACTCAAGCTCTCCTGGGGTTTCTGCAGGAGAGGCCTCTGTCCTGCCCCTTCCCACCACCGCGCTGACGTCAGCTTTCCTGCCGCCACAGGAAGGGTGATAGGAAGGTTCTACGGAGAGGATGGGCTCCCCACCCCAGAACTGACACAGGCAGAAGCCATGATGACCAAAGGCTTGGAGGCGAACAGACAGGAGCTGATAGAGAAGCAGAGGTTCCCACCGTGCAACGCTGAGTGGAGCTTCATCAGGGGTAGCCGGTTCTGGTGTTCGCAGCAGAGGTAAACGGGCTTCCCATCTGTTCCTCCCACCTCTCCCCAAGATCCAGCTACTAGGTCATCTGGTCTGAATTGTTCCCTGAGGCCATACGTTGAGAGTTAACCCAGGAGAATTTTCAAGACCCGTGTGCCCTGGGATAGTGATTCTAAAGCCAGACAGGGCTTCTGAGATACTCCCAGGCCAGTGAGGGAGTGGGGGAGCCTTTAACTGGGGTTGTCAACCAAGCAGGGAAGTGGGGCTGCCTCCTGGGAAGGCAGACATCTGGGGCCAGGGGAAGCGCAGAGAAAGGAGGACTGTGCCCTCAGAAGGGGAAGTTGGAGGAAGCCGGGGTGGGTGCGGGGGCAGAGCATGAAAGTTCAGGTGAACACTGCAGACCATCACCTTGGGAAGACACCAAGATGGGAAGTGGAATGGCTTTCACTTCTCACAAGGCCTGGCTCACTGCCTCCTCCCTCACCTCTCCAGAGACACTCAGGAGTTAGTGCTTATAAGAAGCCCTCTTTCCTTCTTTCCTTAGTGGAGGTGTGAGCAGAGACTGGATTGGCGTTCCCAGGAAGCTGTTTAAGCCAGGTGTCAAGCCCCACTGTGTGTGTGTGAGAACAACTGGCCCCCCGAGTGACCAGTTGCCGGAAAACCCTATGCACAGAAATCGTGGGGACCTGGATCACCCCAACTTGGGGGAGTACCCAGGCTGCCCACCCCTCGCCATCACATGCTCGGTCCCCCTCTAAGCTGTACCCTGTGTGTCTGTAACCCCCATGGAACCCTGCCTAGAGCCCTAACAAGCCGGAGGATGGCTCCTACGTGAACAAGAGAGCCTGGAAAGACTGGACTACACTCTGCAGACGGGACTCATGCCCCCCGCGGGCTCACCGTCTGGTGACTTAGGCCAGCGCGTGGCAGCCTGCCTGGTACTGGTCAGTCTGTTGCTGCCGCTGTCCCTTGGGTCTCCTTCTCCTCCTCTGGAGTTCGCAGACATTAATGGGCACAAATATGACCAACTCGAAACTCACTGGACCAACACACAAAAGGACTCTGCGCTCCAACAGCTTCTTTCCCAGGGACTCCTGGGCTGCCAGATCAGCCACTGGCCTGGCCCTGCTTGTAACGCCCACTCTGGTCAGGGATCAGGGGCTCTGGCACTCCTTCACCATCCAGAAACAAGCAGACACATCCAGAAAGTCCAGATGAATGAACAGTGCTAACACAGCCCTGTTCCCGTTCCCTGTGTGCTATTGTGAGCCCTTTTACAACCATTCTTATATGTAAGACCTGTGCCCGAAGGCAAACATGAATTGACAACCAAAAGCCACACTGATTTAATCTGAGCTGGACCCATATAGAGGTGAAACAAGACAGGCTGATTCTGGAAATGGAAAAGCGTTTGCCTGTGTAGATGCAGCAAATCCAGATGTCTCTGTTAGTCCTTTGTGTTTTTAATTTAAAAAAAATTTGGCTGTGCTGGGTCTTCGCTGCAGCGTGTGGGCACTGTAGTTGTGGTGCACGGGCTCAGTTCTCCGTGGCATGTGGGATCTTAGTTCTCTGTCCAGGGATCAAATTCGTGTTCCCTGCATTGAAAGGTGGATTCTTAACTGCTGGACCACCAGGGAAGCCGCAAAGCCACTATCTAAAGCAAGGATATCATTCCTTTCTTGAACACTTCAAATCAGGGACGTGCATCTGTATGTACACACGTGCTCAGTCATGACTGACTCCGTGCCTCATGGCTGTAGCCCATCAAACTCCCTTATTCATGGAATTTTCCAGGCAAGAATACTGGAGCTGGTTGCCATTTGGGATGGTGTGCTTTCAAAGGGAGAAGTCCGCATTTTGAGCCAGAGGCAGTTTCACAGCCCTAACACAGACCCTGGGCAGCACAACATCCAAGCCTGGGCAAGGTTGCAAAAGCCAGTACCAACAGCCTGGACGGTGGGTGGTGTGTCCAGGGTCATCTGTAATCTCCCACACTGGGCCAAGTTCATGCATTACCTCTTGGATTCAAGTTAGGCAGTTGGGGGCAAGGAGTGTTCCTACATTACAGATAAGGAAATGAACCTGGCATAAATCCAGGTTCAGAGTCCCCGTCTGCACCTTCACCTCAGCACCTCCCAGTCCCCTCAGCTGTTGACCCAAACATTCTCTATGCTTCTTCCTTTCTCTGTCTCCTCTCCTTCATCATTAATCTCACTTAATAGCTTTCCAGGCCCCCTGATTGGGAAACAGAGGCTGCCTCCCCTTAACCAGAGTGGCTTGCTGCCCAATGGCCGCAGCTGCTCCTGACCCCTGGACCCTGCTCCGGGCACCCTTTGCCACCCAGGATCTTCCTCACCTGCCGTTTAGGACCTCTCACCTCTTCCTGCCTCCCTCCCTCAAGTCTGCATTCAACAGCCCACTTCCCTCCCCTCATGCCAGATTCCTCTCAAATACCATATCTACCTACCTCCTGTCCCAGCAAAGATTTTATATTAATTTTGGGAGTAAAATTGCTTTATGATGTTAGTTTCTGCTGACGACAGTGAATCAGCCATATGCATACATATATCCCCTTCCTCTCGAGGGCCACCCTTCCCACCGCCCATCCCAACGAAGCTTTTGAAAACGCTGCACATGCTCGCTGTCTCTGCTGCTCAGCCCCCATTTGCTGTGTAACACAGTCGCCCGGCTTCTGCCCTCCTCTGCTCAGCAGCAGGCTCAACTCTGTGCTGGCAAAGCCATTCCACGTTCAGTGATTACCTACCTGGACCTGTCACATTTGAGGGCCTTCATGCAAGCGCCCCTTGGCTTTTTCCTCATTTCCCTTATCTCCCTCCAACGTTCCTTCTCAGCCTCCTGTCCTCCACACAACCCTTCCCTCTGGCTTCTTTCCTTCAGCTGTCGTCTAGTTTGGGCAGCCTTCCTGATCATTTCTGCAGGCACCGCAGACTCCACAGTGCTGGCATCTAATCTTCATCTTCCTCGAGATTCTTCTGGTTTCCCTGGCTGGTTCCACCATCGCCATTTTAAAGCAGCCCCGTCACACCAAGGACTCCACCCAACCAGCTTCCAGGTCCTGGCGATCCCACCCCCTTACCTGCTCCCAGCACTCCTCTGGCTGAGGCCTTCCTTTCTCAGGCGCTCTAACTGTACTCCCTCCAGCTGCAACCCCACAGCCCCCTGCCAAGTCATCTCCTCTGATCAGGGCATTATTCTCCAACTGAACCTCTTCCATGGCTCACAGATCTGTAGAGATTAGGTGCTAACTCTTCAGCAGCACAGGAGGCCCTCCTGTGGTCCGTTCTCTCTCCCACCCCCTCCCACGTGCTCAGAGCCCTCCAGCCTTCACCTTGCTGCTTTCTGCGTGCAGCACCTTCACCCAGGCCGTCCCTTCTACCCGGAATGACACCTCTTGTGCTGTTTGTCCAGCTCTGTTCCATGGTAACTCAGTCAACTGGAAGGCCTCGCCAACTGTCAACCTACCAGTGGATTTAGACGTGCTTTCCTCTAAGAAAATTAATTCTGTGTTCACTTCTAAAGTAACAACCATCACAGTGCCCTGTAACTATGAACTTCCTGCCAACCTCTCGTGTTGGACTGCAGACTGTCTTTAAAAGAGACAGGGACTGAACATTACTTGGCTGTGTAGCCCCGCGGCTACTGTACCTGGCACATGGGAAGTGTGCTATTTGCTCTGTTTGGCAGATGAGGCAAGCACAGCCTGAAGAACTTGATAAAGGCACAAAGCAATGAAGCTGAGCCTAGACCTCAAGGTTCTTGTCCTGATTCAGTGCCATGGTCCTGTATCCAGTTTGGTGTGTGTCTGCCCTCCTGGAACAGGACAAACAATAGGAGGCGGACTTGTTCCAGGTCCCACACACCCTTGAGCACAGTGTCTGAGGCATCCTGGTAACTCAGCCCCAGGTTGACAGAGGACTAGCGTCATTGCCACTGTTCTCCTGAGTTATTCAGTATTTACCAAGCGCCCGTGTCCCCTGGGGTTGGGGTTGGGAGGAGAGTGAGGCTCCGGCCCTCAGGGAGCTCACAGTGTGGCGGAGTGAAACCCTGGCTAGAGCAGCCAGAGGCCGCTCCTGGGGGAGGAACACGGGGACAGCATGGGGCCAGGTCCAGAGATGTTTAGATCTTTCCACAGACAAACTGAGAAAGAAAAGGAACAAAACGAGGCATACGAGAGTCATCCCAGCCATGTATGGACTACCCTGATTTCCACCCTCGAAAGCACTTCTACTACCTGGGCCCCCAGACTCCTTCAAACGGGCAGCAGACACGACTCCACCGGCCTGCACCAGGGAGGACCTCACTGTACACACCGCAATTCGTGCTTGCCCAGGAGGGAGGACGCATCACTTACTACGGATCACCTTCCTCAGGGCAACCCTGTGAGCCAGAAGAACCACGGTCACTTCTATTTTATAAACACGAAAACTGAGGCACAGAAATCATGCAACTTGCCTGTTTTGTACTCACTTAGTATTTATTGACCTAATATGACCAATGTTCTCCTCAAGGATGGCTGTTAGGATTACTTTGGACTATTTCACAAAAGCCCCTAACAGTGCCTATTAATTATGAGAAGCCACCAGAAAGGAGATTTATCAATCACTACATCTAGCCTGAACAAGGGGTGAGCAAAATGGAGGATGGGTAAAGGAAAGGAAAACACTAGTTCAAGAAAGTGTTGAGGGCCAGGTGAGCTACTGGATTTGCGTGACTGTATGCGGGGGCGGGGAATGGATCACAAGACTTTTAACTTGCAAACCCCTAATCTTGCCTTAGTTTTCTCTGAAACCCACAGTAATGGTCCTCCCTTCAGACCACAGTCAGCTGAAACCTCACCATGGATCTTCTCAAGTCGCTCCTAAATAACTGAGTCAGGGAATTTCCAGGGTCTGCGGGAGAGCTGCAGTGGGGTCAGGGGGCTGAGCTGGAGCAGCTGTGGTCATGGGTGTCACCGTGAGCTGAAGTCTGGGCCAAGAGCACAGTACATCCAGGCAGCTGGTGGTTATGCCCACAGCAGCTTATTTTTTCACTGCTGTCAACAATGTGTTTCTGAAAAAAGTGTTGGAAATTCTAACTTTCCTGGAGGGTAGTTGTTAAAGAAATGTATTCACATGTCAGGAGTTTCAAGACATTTTGTGTGTTTGTTTTTAATTCTTATTGGTACTTTTTGCATTAAAAGGAACTACAAATGTTATTAAGGTTTCCACTTTAAATGCACAATTTTACCTCATTTTATTTATAAGGACCTGTTACAGAAAATGCAAATATCAATATTTGAAAAATACATTCCATTACACGAACTCCAAAGAAACAATGCTGATAAGCGCCATGGTCCTACTGATGCCCTCTGACCACCACTGACCCCACACCACGCCCCACACTGACCACCACCTGGAATGGCTTGGAAACCAAAGTGATCAACCTAAACATGTGCCTGCGGTTTCGGCCCAGGCCTCCCCCGTGGCAGAGCACACAGGGATGTATGTCATGGTAACAGCCAACTCCACACATCTGCCCAAAACACGATGTCAAGTCATTAAGTTGAGCAGGCTACCAACTCAAGACTCCCTAGCTACAGAACACCAACATTGTCTGTTTTAACAGGTTAGTATATTGTTTATGCCACACAAAAAAGTAACTGTACAGGGAATGATCTTTCAAAGAAACTCTTTAAGGCATCTATGATAACTTCTGGAAATTTAGTAAGTGTTTTAGTCAAATAAGTCAGCTCTTCACTGAATTACTTCCACAAAATGAGAATGTGGCTACCAAACCCCTTTAGGAAATTGTTTGCCCTTGGCTTCCTCCTCTCCCTGGCTGGGGGTGGGACCTTTGGTGCCTCAGATTAGAAGGCGCTGGTCCTGAGGGGAGCAAGCCCGGGTCCCAGAAGAAAGCTTGTCTCACGAGCTTCCTCATAGCCTCAACCTGCGAGTTCCAGGCGGGGCTGTCGTGGAAGCATCCCGCTTACTTGCTCATGCTACTTAGTGTCACCTGGAGAGTGAGTTTGCTTTTCAGAGCTAATCATTACATAGCTCAGTAGGGTTTTCTCCTCCAGATTAAAAATAAAACCTAGATGGAGATCAAGTCTCTCCCATGTCCCAAGGCTTTTCGTCCACGTCATGATTATGGATGAGATGAGCAAAATACCATTTAATACGACAGGTGGGAGATGTGAGCCAGGAGTGGCAGTAAACCCACAGCAAGTTGAGCTCCACGCAGGGAGCCCATTTGGGGGGAGCAGTGAGGATGCTGAAAAGGGTGGTCACGAACAGCTCAGGGCTCTGAGGTAGAGGACTAGCGGTCACGTGGATCCCCACTCCTGGAGAGAGAGAGAGGCAGGTGAACTGGGCGATCTCGTCTGGCCTCAACTGAATTGGTAACGGGCTGACAACACACCAGCAATAAACTCCAGACAGAACACACATTCTAACATGTCATTCAGTGAGACACCACTAAAAAGAGAACTGGAAATTAAGAAGTCCTAAACGCAGGCACTTAAGTTTGTGGGAAGTTTCCTGTATTCGAGGATAATAGTAAGTTAGTTTTAGCCACTCTGTTTACAACGTAGCACACGGTTTGTACCTTCATCTTTAAGAAAAAAAAAAAAAAAGACTTAAGAATACACTTTCTCACAGATCTGATGAGCAAGCGGCAGTTAAAAAGCTAGCAGCGTTAACAATGTTGACTGATGCAGCAAATTATATTTCAATCAGGTCTAGTCTTCCTGCTCTACTCACAATTGGCAACTTTCTGAATGAATAAAACTGAGTTTTAAGCTACGGATTAAACTGTGACAAGAACAGCCAGGCAGTTCTAGAGTCAAGTTCGACAGCTTGGCGAACACAAAGAGGACCAACAGCATGTCAAGTCCCACCAGAGCCACCGCGAGAGGAACTCAGAGTGTGGCCTCCCACCCATCGGCATGTGTCAGGGAGAGCCTAAGACTGTGGAAAGCAGCTTCTTCTCGATCTACAAGAATGCACTCTGAAGACACAGCAGAGCTCACAAAACGTCCCCTCCAACTCGTGGAGGCTAAGTACCATCACTATCCCTGGACTCTGTGAAGGTAAACAAGCATGACAATTTCAAACATGATTTTAAGATATCTTTTTTTTAGAGTGCAATTAGAGGCAAGATTGTTACTGAGATTGGTATATTATGACAGGGGCAGGACAACCAGCCTCATCCCTCATTGAATTCCCATCCTCCTCTCTGCACCACGGACAGTCAAAGAACAGGTATAAAAGTACTGACCACCTCGATTCATACCTGAAGCATAATTACCTTACTTTCCAATGATAGAATCAAACCACCTGACTAAGGCCTACTTACTCGGGCCCTGTTCAAGCAACAGAAAATGGAAACTGAACACATGCTCCACATGGTTAAGTGTTTGCCAAGACCAGTTGTTTTTCTAGAAAAATTCGGTATGAAATAGGTCACAGACTTTGGGGGATAGGGAACTCTTGTAATTTTTTCTTTGAAATACTGTGCACAAGCTCATATTAACATAGAAAGCATATATATCTTATAAATCACAGAAATATTAAAAAAAAGTAGCACTCTGGTTTATCAGCTCATTTTACACACATATTTAGGCAACAGGATGTATAAATTCTACAGCGACATGGAGGACATACCCACTATCCAAACAAAAAAAACAGACTGCTGCAAAAAAATATTTAGTCCCTTTTACACATATATGCACACTTCATTAATGCAAACAAACAAAAAAATGTAGTGGTTACTAAATGTCTGAAAAAAACAGTATGTATGATTGAGATTGTTAATCTCTGAGTACAGCTGTACAACACATATTGTTCATCTCAGAGTGTTTTTTTTTTTTTAAGCAGTGGTGTAAGTTTCTCTCTAAATGTGCATTTTTAAAAAACTGGCCAAACCTTCAAAAGAAAAAAGTTTAACACCTCAGGGTTAATATATACGTACTAGCAGCGACTAAGGCCTGACGGGTTCCAGGGGCTTCATTCAGCACACGAGCTTTCCAAAACGGGGTCATACACGCTTGGCCAGGGCCTTTGGCTGGTGGCTCTCACAGGGCAGATCAAGAACCTACACAGAGCTGGGACCCAGGCATGAGGGCGCTCACAGAGTAACTGGGAAGGTTTTAGCAAGAAACACTCATGTCAAGGAGATGGGACCTGCTGGTCTGAGGCTGCAGATTCCCTCTCCCCTCACTTGGCCCCATGTGACTCTCTTGCTCCAAAGGACACTCTGAGGGAGTTTTCCATTTAAGACTTAGTGTGAGCTGAGGTCCAGTCAAAGCTTACTGGTAGAATCACTGATGCACAGATATGTGAGGGTATTTTTGAATATGGATTTTTAAATTGGAATCACCAGTAATGCAGCTATATAAAAAGTGCAGCACAATGAAAGTGCATTTTCTCCACCACTGCCTAGTGGCAGGTAACTGAGGACTCCAGACAGGACACGGCAAGATGAGAGAACAAGACAGCTGCTAGGAGGTGTCAAGCTGCCAGAGTGCAGCTGGACACCCCAGCAGCATGAATACTGGTAAAGCTTTCAGTTGTTAAGGCCACAATTTTTCAGCTCTCATCTTTGAACCCTGTTTAGAAAGATTTCACCTTTTTTAAAGGGGTAGTTCACTAAAAATACAGCCTAGCTTTTCCAAAAAACAAAAAAAAGAGTGAGAAACTTCAGGCCAAGAGGATCCTATTTACCTTTATGAAAACACTGTGCAGAGAAGTCCAGAGCCACTCACCCTAGAGGAAAGCCAGCTCTCGTGCAGCCAGACACTGGCTTCCTACGACCAGGCTCGGCCTGGGAAGCCCACCCAGGCAGGAGACGCCATGAATGCTCTGAGATGGACACTAAGCTACTGGGAGAGAAAATGGGTTTCAAGTGTCCTTGTACATCGCCAGCAGAATGGGGTCTACTTCCTATCACATTTACCACTTAGGCGTAAAGGCCTGGCCCGACCAATGAGACGTCCAGCGAGCTCGACCGTGGTCTGACACGCTGACAGTCATACAATCATCTGGAACGGGCTCTGTCACCCTGGTCTGTAACTGTTCCAGTCTCGCTGTGGGAAGACGACAGCCAGCGCCTGCTCTGGGTGGGCCAGGCTGGTGAGCAGAGCAGCTGCTGGGGAGGCGACTGAGGATGTGGTCTGGAACTTCCTGGGGGCTCACTAAGAGACCCCCCCCAAAGTCAGGACATCAAAGCAAATGTTGCAAACTCGCACAGGCTTGTTCAGATCAAACTTTATAATAGGAATCTCCTTGGTCGAGCATTTATGGCAAAGAAGACGTCCGCAGTGACGACTGTGGAGGCAAAGAAAAGAGGTGTGAGGGGGTTCTTGAGAGTAGATTGCGGCTGGGCACGTAAGCACTCACAGCAGCCCCCGCAGCGGACACGCAAGCCCGTGCCTGGTACTCTGCAGTCAGCTCTACCCCTTGCCGGCTCACTCACACCGAGGCCTGTATAATTGACAGTCCATGATAACAAAATTCTAGCCAGTAATTAAGTTAAAGTGATCCAGAAAAAGCCTCTTGCTTTAAGGCTTAAGACAGGCTCAGCAAGAGCCAGAGAACTCTCACACTTGGGGAAGATGATGCAAGGCCTGACCGGCTGCCTACGATGATAGACCCCAGCATTCTACAGGAAAGCCACCAGTCTGAGTGTCTGCTGGCCTCCCTAACTCTCTAGACGTGGGCAGGGTCCCATGGGCAGGTTTTTCCCAGGAGAGTACCAGGCCCTGACAGGTTCATGGTTTATCATGGGGAAAGGCAGAAGCAATCAACAGAAATCTCCTTATTCCTCTGGCGGGTGACTGGGGGTGGGTCTCACCAGTGATGTTTGCGTGTTGTGACTCCGAACTTGGCAGTGCACTCGTAGCAGTTGGAGCCATCGCACCATGGAGGCTCCTTGGACAGCATATCTGTAACACAGCACAAGACCAGTTCCTGTCAGATACTGACTGTGTCCGGCCAGACCAGGGAGTAGGGGGAGAAGGGAACTGCACCAGGAAACAAAGGAACACATCGCAGAGGGACGTGAGGGACAAGAGAGCAACAGAGAGGCATGCCTCCTTTCACTGCGCTTTGCAGATACTGTAGTCTTTTCACAAGTCGAAGGTCTGTAGTGACCCTGCATGGAGCACATCTATTGGTGCCATTTTCCCCACAGTATTTTCTTACTTCGTGGGTCTGTGTCACACTTTGGTAATTCTCACAATATTTCAAATTTTTTCATTATTATTATATTTGTTATGGTAATCTGTGATCAGTGATCTTTGATGTTACTATTTTAATTGTTTTGGCATTTTTTATCAATAAAGTATATATAAATACATTGTTTTTTAGACAGTGCTGCTGCATATGCAACAGACTACAGTATTATGTAAATGTAACTTTTATATGCACTGGGAAACCACGAAGATTCATGTTGACTTACTTCACTGCAATATTTACTTTACTGTGGTGGCTGGAAACTGACTGAGGTCTGCCTATTCTAATTGGGTCACACAGCGGGGGAAAAGTCAGTGGGGCTGAACCAAAGGCCGTTCTGAAGGATGGAGAGATTCGGCATCAGCTGAAGGATGAAGGGTGTGCAGATATGTAGCCAGGAGCGCTGGGAGGGAGACCTGCCTGGAGCCGATGGATTTCCGTTAGGATCAGGGGAAGCGGGAATCTGATAGGGGCCCCAAAGCAGGACATGCTGTGAAGAGACGGCTAACAAGGACACTCCCCACCCCTGTTCAAAGGCACTCTGTGGCATTCACAGACAAAATCTTAAACAAGGTGATGCCTGGAAAACTACCACCTCAGATTGTGCAGCAAGTCATCCTGAGATTTTAAGACCACCAGTACATCTGGGTAACAGACACTGCCAGGGTGACTGCACTGATGGAGCTGAATGCAGGCCACTCACCTAAGAGTCTAAACAGCAGCTGCTTGGTAGCGACCTGGTAGTTGAAGATGTTGATCCCTTGGTTGTTGTTCACCCCCAGGCGGGCCCCTGAGCGGACGACGGCACGGCACAGGTTGGCGTTCCCTTTCATGTACGCCAAGAGCAGCACTGGAAAACAAAACCACACGCAGGGCTACTGCCCACTCGGGCCCAGCCTGGCCCTGCCAAAGGGCCAGCAGAAGATGGCCAAGGACAGGACACAGCCCTGGCAGGACATTCGTTAGCAAAGTCCCCTTGACGCACAGAGGGCCCTGCGGCTCTGGTGAGAGCTCTGCAGAGGATCTGCAACATCTTGCAGCCGAGGGCCAGCCATGAGGCAGGGGCTCCAGACACACTCTTGCCTATTCAGAGCTTTGGCCGCAAGAGAACCGAGGAGGGAGAAGACGCTGCAGGAAATATGCACCACTGTCTCACCTGCCTTCCTCCTGAACAGAACACTCTTCACACAGTGCAACAAATTCTAAAGACTGGTGAGGTGTGCACACATGGAGAAAACCATAAACCAGTGTGGTCAGCTTGCTCCAGAAAGTTCCTCGACCCCATGGAGCCTCTCTCCTGTGCCGGCAGTGGACACCCAGGCATGGAGCCTCTCTCCTGTGCCGGCAGTGGACACCCAGGCTCTGGCCAGCCCACCCTCCTGGTCCTCCCTACGACTACAGCTACAAGCAGCTCCTTTTTGCTTACGTTTCACAAATACTTTATTTAAATTCTTTAATTCTGCAAATGATTCACAAAGATTAGCTTATTATTTCAAAGGAGGAAGCAGGCATAGAGAGGTTACAAAATATACCCGGTCACCTTGCTGGAATGTGATGGAGCTGGGTATCTGAAACCAGGTCTGTGTAACTCAGAAGCCCGGGCATGAAGCACCTGCCTGCTTGCCGGCTCCTGGACCACGCTGCTCGCTGGAGCAGGTGCTGGGCCAACAGCTCACTCCCAGGGCTGACCTCCCTGAAGCTCAGGCTTGCCACTGCCGGCTTAAAAACATGTCCATGAATCAAGGCCAAGAATTCTTCCCAAGGTCAAGAAGCAATGACCAAACATTTGGTCCCATGCTGAGGTTTGGGCAACCTCTCGGTGACAGCACTGCTGTCAAAGGCCACAGAGGCTCTGGCTGGCATGAACAGGGATACAGCAGCAGCAAAGAGTTCAGACAGCCCTGGGCTGGGAAGAGAGAGACTTGGGTTTCATCTTTGTTTCCTTACTTGAAAAATGGGAACACACTACATGTACTGCTTACCTTATATGGTTATTGTGGGTATTCAGGAAGAAAATGAATGCAAAAGTACATCAAAAGTATTATGAAAGCTACACAAATTAACACAGTGATTGTGGGTGGTGACAGTACTACCATGAGAGAGGCCTGTTTATCAACCCCCTCAATCAAGCATCAGCCCTTATCTGTAGAGAACATGCCTTCTCTGTGAATATGTACTACGGCCCATTTCCTCCTTCTGAAGCACCTGTAAGGCAACTGTATTTCCTCTCTCTCTCTCGGGATCTGAAAGCTTGGGGAGGGACCTGGGTGACTAGATACAAGGTAGATGAGGCCAACAGAAACAGGTGGGCCGGCCTGTCTGGACATGGGTATGGCTTTGGAGCACTAGGTACACTTTAGGTGTGCTTGTGCCTCAAGTCAGACACTACCAACTTCCACCTCAGGGATCTGTGATGATACTCGCAGAGCCCAGCCAAAATGCACGGGTCTGAGTGTCCTTCAATAATGACACGTGTGCCTGGGCTCCTGATTTTCTAGGAAGCAAGGGACACCAGTAAGACAGGACCGACAAGAGCCTCACTACATACCTGTGTTTCCTTCTGTATCTGGTTTATCCAAGGGATACTCGGGCATGCACTCTAAGAAGAGATCAAAGATGGCTGCAGCATTCTCCTTGCCATACTGTCCCAAAATGTGCAGTGGCGACTGGCCTCTAAGAAGACAAACTGGAAAAGTTAGGTATGTATCTGCCATAGCCATCATGCATAAAAGAAATGGGATTGTCTGAACTCTGTGATGCCGGATAAATCTAAAGGATACAATGGTCATAAAAGTTTTCTTAAAACGTATTTTCAAAAAGAAAAGTTCAGGGTACCATAGGCTGGTCAAGTGCCCTAGTGACCAGTTCTGCATTGTGCACCTGGGGCTCATATAAGATGCCCGTGACCCAGCTCGGAGGGGTGCACCAGGGGATGTGGAGTCCTGGCCTCTGCTGCAAATCACACACACTCACCGTAGATTAAAGGCTTCAGCATCCACGGTGCACTCTGTCAGAAGGACCCGGATGTTGTTGAGTCGGCCATGCATGACAGCAAGATGCAGAGCTGGGGAGGAAATCCTCTTACAGTGTGGGCCCAGACACACACACAGAGCATCTCAACTCTGCTCGGCCTCACAAACCCCCCACTGAATGGGACTCAGTCAGAGCAGCCACCATCCACTCAGAGAGCCCTCCTTTCCAGTCTTCACTGCCCCCAAGAATAAATCTACATGCAACCTCCTAAGATCTGCTTTGTGCCTCTGCAGTTATCCAAAAGTGAGATTTAATGGTTTCACAAGAAGCCATTTAGGTTTGTAGGGTCACTAGTCACATCAGGAGGCTGCCCAGGTCCCCATCAGGAGCAGGCTGCACGCCCAGCTCAGGGCATTTCCTGTCACAGCCCGGCTCCTGTAAGAGCCAATCTCCGGGATGGGGAACAGACCCAATGGTGTGTGCTGTCCTGCCACCCCAGAAGGAAGGGATTGCTTGAGGCCCTTGGCACCACACACAGGGAACGCCTGGGAATTACCGTTATTTCCATTCTCATCCACAGCAGCAAAGTCCACTCCATTCTCCAAGAGGACTGAGCAGATGGTGGGCAGGTCCTGCTGGGCAGCGAGGTGGAGGGCAGTCTGGCGGTGCTTGGTTAATTCATTCACTTTGGCACCTGCAAGAAGCTGTTGAAGTTGATTACATGAGCAGCCGCTCTACCACCATCAACCAAGGTCTGGCGTAAGGAGCCAAGCCTGCCAATCTCCTGGCCTCCAGGGTTTGCCCTCCTGGCTAAGCTGGGAGTGAACTCCTGGGGAGGCTCAGGCCCACAAAGTCTGTCCCAAGGGGAAAGTGGCGATTACCAAAATGTCCAAAAAGCCACTCCTTAGGACTCAGATAGTCTAAGACTACGGAATATAATAAAACTACACAGGACTGCAGTGATCTATACCTTCCTCACCATCCTCACGCACAGTGGACACAAGGATGTCCACTCCTTATAACAGTAAGACCAGATGGCAGAAAAGGTTTAGTTACGAAAGCTACAATATATACCAATAGTAAAATAGATGGCCACTAAAATAATAAAAATTTACAGTTTATCATGAAAGGTAAATTAGAAGATGGTAAGATAGTGTGATTCCATTTCAGGAGAGAGGGAGAGAGAGAGAAATGTGTATACACACACACACACACATGCACACACTTTGAAGGTGTTTAAAAGCATATATACCAAATTCAAGGCAGAGTTGGGAGTGAAAGGGAGATACTAACCGCTTTCTGTCCTTATCTGTTTTAAGTTTCTCCACAATAAAAATATACTATTTTTGTATTATTTTTTTTTAAAGAAAGAAAGCAACACAGAGAAGTGCAGAATCAAAGCAAGAAGGCCCTTTAAATAATACCTTATATATTCATTCATCATTCACTTTCTAACAAAGTTTCAAAGACAGCTGCTAACAAAAAAGACTACATAGTGAATAAATACCATATTATATATTTGAAAGTTGCTAAGAGAGTAGATTTAAAAATCCTCGGACTTCCCAGGTGGTCCAGTAGTTAAGAATCTGCCTTTCAATGCAGGGGTCACCAGTTTGATCCCTGGTCTGGAAAAATCCCACATGCCACAAAGCAACTAAGTCCGAGAGCCACAACTGCTAAAGCCTGTGTGCCTAGAACCTGTGTTCCACCAAAACAGAAGCCTCTGCTCATGAGAAGCCCACGCACCACAGTGAAGAGTAGCCCCCGATCAACTGCAACCAGAGAGAAGCCCACGTGCAGCAACACAGACCCAGTGCAGCCAAAAAGTAAAATTCATAAATAAATCTTGATAAAAAACCAATCCTCATCACAAAAAAACATTTTTGCAACTATGATGGTGAAAGATGTTAAGTAGATTCACGGTGATTATTTTGCAAAATATACAACTATCAAATCAATATGTTGCATAAAATATACAACGAAACACAGTATGTTGAGTTTGGTTGCTCAGTCATGACCGACTTCTTGCGACCCCATGGAGTGGAGCCCACCAGGCTCCTCTGTCCATTGGATTTTCTAGGGAAGAATACTAGAGTGGGTTGCCTTTTCCTCCTCCAGGGGATCTTCCCAACCCAGAGATTGAACCTGCTTCTTCTGTATTGCAGGCAGATTCCTTCCATTTGAGTCACCAGGAAAGTCCAATATGTTGTACATCTGAGGCTAATGTGTTGTTTGTCAATTCTGCCTCAAAATGTTAAGCAATAAAGACCAAGGACAAAGAGAGAGCACTCCCTGGAAAGCGCCGGCTGAGAGCCTGGCACAGAGCAGGTGGACAGAGACATGATCTCGTCTCCTGATGCCCCTGCCTGCCTCTGCAGGCCACAGCCTACCTTCCCTCATGGCCTCACCTCAGCATCTGCCCACTGGGCACGCAGAACATGCTGCCCACAGACACACTTACTCTCCCGAGTGTCCCGGCTGCTCCCTAAATTCCCACTGGCCTTTCCCAATAACTGGCAAAACACCTGTGACAAGAGAGTCTCCACACATCCTACAACATGCTTTGTCCACAGGTTACAAAAGTAATGTTTCAGGGACACTCACCAAGTTGCGGACAATAATCTCCGAGCCTGCCTGGACAGCAAGGTGCAAAGGGGTCAACTTGGAAGCATCCTGGACTCTGGAATTGACGTTCGCCTGGACGCTGATCAGAAACAGGACGCTTTCAATATCAGAGTTCTGAACTGCCACGTGCAGAAAATTCCGGCCCTTGTTATCCACCTAAGGCAACAAGTGGGAGCCAAAATGTTAGTGGGTGCCCCCTGAAAGAATGCCTCCCGAGCACCTGTGAGCTGCACTGACCCCTGGAGAGGCCGCACTGCAGTCCTCCCCATCCCAACCCCCTAATTACAGACCCGCTCTGCGTATTTGTCCAGAGGACCGTGTGTGCATGGCCACATCCATGTGGTCAGAAAGCCAGGGAACTAAACCAGCTGCCCTGGCATCCTTCTGCAGCAGGAGTGGACCTGGAAGGCCAAGCAAGAGATAACCTGAAAGACCGGGAAAGGAGGCCAGCAGAGCACTCGGCTGCACGGGGAAAGGCACAGATGATGCTGGCCGTGGGTGTCTCCTGCTTTGGCTAAAACAAACACCCAGCACACCAAAGCTGCAATGCCAGTCTGACCCGTGAGAAGCCAAATGAGCTTTCAGAAATTTCCAGAAAAGTCTCCTCTTTCAGTGAGCTACAGAATAATTCATGTTGGGGAAGGCTGCCAACAGTATGTCACAGACACTGTTCCACTGATGTACAACGGACAGCGGGTCATTCAAATCCAACCACAGAGGGTATGCCAAATACCAGGCTGTCCTGTCAGTGTGAGGGCTCAGGAAGAAGTAAGGGAGACACACATGCTACACACACATCCAGCCATCCACCCCCCGACACACACATACACCCAGCAATGTATCTACACTGGTTTCACACTACATGGGGAGGAAAAAGTGAAAGGACTGTCTCCACTGAAGAACATTTTACCCCATGTGAGCAAGGGTGAGGTTAACACCTACACAATCAGTCACACCGAGGCAAATGCTGAAGAAAAGGGATGCATGAAGCCTGAAATACAAAGCCAAAGTCTTCATCCATGTTAGGACTTTTGTTCAGGTCCCAAATTTCCATTTCACCTTCATAAACAGCTACTCAGAGATCTCAGCAGTATTCTAAGAGCTGGGTGGAGAGGCAAGTATCTGAGGACCGACCTCACAAACCCAGCCCAGCTCCTACCTCAGGCCAGTTGCCACAGTCTCCTCGCCCAGTCTGATGTTGCAGGTCCACAGCTTACTGTCCAGAACAAGGACAACTGAGACTGCTAAGCTGAATGGTGAAAAGTTCCTCAAGGTCAGTTTAAGCCCTTCTAAGACATTCATTACTGGGGCAAGTAAAACACCAAGAAAAAGCAAAGGGTGCCCTCAGTTCTGCAAGACGAGAATTCCAGTCACCGGGCCCCCTTCCTTGTACACGCGGCACCACTCGGTGGCTGACGTGCAGGGCAGAGCAGGCGCGTTCCATCTAGCAGTGACTGGGCACCTGAATGGCCAAAACTGAAGAAACACCTTTATACGGAAGAGACCTGTTTAGTTCAAGACTTGTGTTTAGCCTGGGTGTCGCTTGCTCACCTGCTCAGCAGCCCCGGACTCTCGTTTCAGGATGGCCTCGGCCGCCTTGTTGTTCTTGTAGGTCATGGCGCAGGCAAAGGGGGTCAGGCCCTGCCGGTCTCGCACGTTCAGGTGGATGTCGGGGTGAGAAATCAGCAGCTGAATGATGACACTGTGTTGGTTGCTGATGGCCACGTGGACAGGCGTTCTTCCTTCTGCATCCTTTGGGGACCAGGCACAGATTTCAACATCCAAGTGAAGATAAAATCCAGGAAAAATATGATACGGAAAAAGTTTTAAATCAAATTCAGTTCTGAGAATCAACACTACCACTCTGAATTTGAAATCATCTTTTCAAGAGGTGAAACAGAGGATGACTGACAGCCACTCTACCTCCATGCTCCACTAACCCAGGGACACAAACACATTTGGTTTAGAGAAGCTGCAGTCAACCTCATCTCCAAGTTAAACCACTACTCATCTGCCAGATGAGTAGAGCAGCACACACAAGCTAGAATGCTGAAAAGCATCAAGGAACATGACTCAGGGATGTTCTATTGAGCTATTGAACATTTTCTTAAATACAGTACTCCGCTTGGGACTAGAACAAATTCTCAATGGCAATCTGTAATTAATGGGGACAGGTGGCAAAGATAAGTTGATTGAACAAATCTTCTTCACTTTGTAGAAAGGACAAAGACACAGAAGAAAAAAGTTTTGACCTGGAATAATTACAATTATGAGACAGGCTGTGGGGGCTTCCTGGTGGCTCAATGGTAAAGAACTGGCCTGTAGTGCAGGAGATGCAGATTCAATCCCTGGATTCCCTGGGTCGGGAAGATCCCCTGGAGAAGGAAATGGCCACCCACTCCAGTATTCTTGACTGGAAAATTCCATGGACAGAAGAGCCTGGGAGGCTACAGTCCATGGGGTTATAAAGAGCCAGACACGACTGAGAAACTAAACAGCAACAAGACATCTGTACGACCCAGGAGACAGCCACTTCCTGTGTCTGCCCCTTTGGCCCACTCATGGAAAAGCAGGGTCCCAGGAACAGAGACTACAAGGTCCCTGGACATTAGAGGAGATTTCTCTGATTCTGGGATGACCATCCCTCTACCCGGAAAAGAGACCCTTCCTACCTGTGCATTTACATTGGCACCAAACTCCAAAAGACACTGGATTGTCTCTTCCAGCCCCCAGGAGGCTGCCAAATGCAGAGGGGTCTGCCCATCTCTGGCCTCTTCCTCTCCTTCCCCATTAGCACCAGGCTGTCTGGGACTATTCACGTCGCAGCCACTGAAAGGAAGGGGAAGTGAGAGGAAGGCATGCTGACAGGCGTGGAGCAGCAGCCTCATCCAACTCCACAGAAAGTCGGCTGCCGCCAAGGACTGTAGTCCTTGGTCTCAAATATTGCTGTGTCCTGCTCCCACAGATTCTTCAGCAACTGGTCCTGGAGGCAACTGGGTATCAGAACTCTTAAAAAAGCTTCCCAGGGGATTCGTGTGCATTTAAAGATTGAGAATGGTGGATTGAACGCTGTCCTGCACAACCTCACTCTGCACTCTCCCACACCTCCTGCACTGAGCCCGTGGAGGCTGTCATGGCTCCGGCATCGGGGTGGAGTCCGGCAGAGGCCATTCGGTCTCCTCCACACCAGCCTCTTGGTCTCACCGTGTGAACTGGTCTGAGCTGATGACAGGGGCCAATATGGTTCCCAAAGCAGGAAACTGGCTTAGTTTTTACACTCTCTGATCTCGGCACATGAACCCCTCTCCTCACCAGTCAATCAAGTCCCTGGCTGCCCGGACCTGACAGAACAATGACCCTCTCTAGCCTTCAGTATGAAGGTCAAGCCAGCTACAGACATGTCAAGATTATAGGTGGACCAAGAGAGAAGACAGCCAGTTTGAAATACTCCAAACAAGATCTGGAGGGACACCCAGGCCTCTCAGACCTGCGAATGAGAAAGCAGGCGATGGGCTCGTTGTTCTCATCGATGGCTCTGTGCAGCAGCGTCTGGAGGCAGCCGCTCGGCCCTGGGCCCCAGCACGTGGCGTCACAACCGTGCCTGACCTGCAGGGAAGCACAGGTCACTCACAAATGCTGCCCGGCAAAGCTGAACATGCTTATTACCGTCTCTCAGCCCTAAGCTACCATTACGTATATCTTTCAGGTAAGATCCAGCTGATAGTTAACTGGTAATTATTTTAATCTGTACCATTCATTCATTTTACAAACACTGATTAAAATCTGCTTTGGTGCAAGCTTGTGCACTAGGTTCTGTGGGAAGGATTTGAGAAATAAAAGAAAGATGTGTCTGATCAGCACCTTCTAAAGCTGTGCCATTGAAGGGACAGAAAACACAGACAAGTGCCTGCACACACGCACATGCACATACACATGAAGGGACAGAAAACACAGACAAGTGCCTGCACACACGCACGTGCACACACACATGAAGGGGTAGAAAACAGACAAGTGCCTGCACACACGCATGTGCACGCACACACACGAAGGGACAGAAAACACAGACAAGTGCCTGAACACACGCATGTGCACACACACACAAAGGGACAGAAGACAGACAAGTGCCTGCACACACGCACGTGCACACACACACACGAAGGGACAGAAAACACAGACAAGTGCCTGAACACACGCATGTGCACACACACACGAAGGGACAGAAGACAGACAAGTGCCTGCACACACGCACGTGCACACACACACACGAAGGGACAGAAAACACAGACAAGTGCCTGCACACACGCATGTGCACACACACACGAAGGGACAGAAGACAGACAAGTGCCTGCACACACGCACGTGCACACACACACACGAAGGGACAGAAAACACAGACAAGTGCCTGCGCACACGCATGTGCACACACACATATGAAGGGATAGAAAACAGACAAGTGCCTGCACACACACATGTGCACACACACACACGTGCACACACACACTCTTACTTATACCCCCCAGTAACATATACTCTGCAAAGAACTGGTAATCTCAAGAACAACTGGCTAAAACCCTCAGGTGCAAAATGTCTTAAAATCACATTTCAAGACCTTCAGAAAACTGAATGAGCTTTCGGGGTTACGTCCGCTTTTGGGCTCTGTCTTCTGAATAAGGCGGACACTCCTAAGTTATCACTCTGGTGACAGTTAGGGCAGCCCACAGCCAGCTAAATCACCTCAGGAGAAGACCTCGGAGGACGGGCCTCAGCTCTCCTACTTTTTCGTAGTTTTATTGATAAAGACAGCCTGAGAAAAGATGTGGGCCGTGACTATGTTGAACCCCAAGTTTCTTGAACACAACTTTCAAAAATGCTCATTCCTGACCCAATTTGCTACTTGGCAGATCTCTTGCTCGCTATGATCGCAATGGAGGTGCCAAATCCATCTCTGACACAAATCACCCCTACATGTAAGTGGAGCGGAAGCTAAGCTTGTCTCACAAGAGTGGATGCGATGTCCTCCAGGTTATTTGCCAGTGCGAGCCACAGCGGGGGGTTCCCCTGTTCATCCGGCACAGACATGTCAGCTCCTCTGGTGCATATGGCATCCACGACGAGGGGAAGCTGATTCCTGATGGCCAGCTGAAGGGCCGTCTCCCCATCCTGAGTCCTGCTTGGACACAGACACCAAACAAATGTGTGGAGCTGGGATCAAATGACAGAGGGTGCCCTTCTGGGTATCCTGGAGGCCAGAGTCCACTGTACCCCAAACATGCTTCACTTACATCCATCAATATGCTTTCAGAGAAATTCAACCTGTCAATAGCATCTGCCCCTCCTGCCTTTTAAAAAGAGCGTATCGCCATGCTATCCCGTTGCAACCAGCTGCTCAGCACACTGAACTCTTACAGCGGCTCCCATAGCCTCTGGATAAAGTGCCACCCTGACCACCCATCTGACAAAACACTTTCATCTACTCAGTCACTGTAGGTCAGCTGACACTGAAGATAATTTTGTTTAAACACAAAAATAATAAAAAGTTTTAACTGTGTATTTTTGCCCTGCAAGCCTTCCCTCCTCTGTTTTTTTTTTTTTTTCCTGCACTATGGATCTTAGTTCCCCAACCAGGGACTGAACCCAGGGCCCCTCAGTGGAACTGTGGAGTCCTAACCACTGGACTTCAAGGAAATTCCTCCTCGAGCCTTTTGATAGCCCATTTGTTGGAAAGTTCTTCATTATTAAGTGAAATCCCTACTTCAACAATTGATTTTTTTTTTTTAAGTTGGCTTTTTTTTTTTTCCCCATTTATTTTTATTAGTTGGAGGCTAATTACTTTACAACATTGCAGTGGTGTCTGTCATACATTGAAATGAATTAGCCATGGATTTACATGTGTTCCCCATCTTGGTCCCCCCTCCCACCTCCCTCTCCACCCGATCCCTCTGGGTCTTCCCAGTGCACCAGGCCCGAGCACTTGTCTCATGCACCCAACCTGGGCTGGTGATCTGTTTCACCCTAGATAATATACATGTTTCGATGCTGTTCTCTTGAAACATCCCACCCTTGCCTTCTCCCACAGAGTCCAAAAGTCTGTTCTGTACATCTGTGTCTCTTTTTCTGTTTTGCATATAGGGTTATTGTTACTATCTTTCTAAATTCCATATATATGTGTTAGTATACTGTAATGGTTTTTATCTTTCTGGCTTACTTCGCTCTGTATAATGGGCTCCAGTTTCATCCATCTCATTAGAACTGATTCAAATGAATTCTTTTTAATGGCTGAGTAATATTCCATGGTGTATATGTACCACAGCTTCCTCATCCATTCGTCTGCTGATGGGCATCTAGGTTGCTTCCATGGACAATTGATTTCTGTATTGTCCATTTTGGTGAGTTTTGTGCCATACTGTGCTGTCTCGAAAGGTTCAAATAAGACCAAAGTACACAATTCCCCCTTTGAGTTCCCCTTCTCAACACTGTACCTGCACTTTTTGAGAATTACTGTTTCTCTTCCTTTATTTAACAAGGAACAAAAACCTTCCCTACAAGTGAGGCCATGCGTTTGAACCACGTCAATTAAACATGACCTGGTGTAGTGGCGGACGCTGCTCCAGCCCACCTGACGTTTATGTCTGCCTGGTGCTCCAGGAGGAAGAGGGCGCTCTTGCTGTCCTGCCTCTGCATGGCCATGTGCAGCAAGGTCTGCCCATCCGACATGGTGTCATTGATGCAAGCCCCAGAGCCCAGCAGCTGTGCTGCGATCGTGTGCATGCCTGCAGAAGAGACAAGCCCCAATTAATGCCGGCTCAGCTTCCCCCACTTCCTCAGCCTCTTACTACAACAAACACACCCTCTCGACTTCGCAAGGCCAGCAGTTTTCCACATTACTATAGGCTTAACCCAAACTGAAAGGCTAGTCTACACAAACGATTAGCTCCAACACTTCCGCCTCCCTCCCTCGCACACCCACCCTCTGGCACACGCCTGTCTGCAGCTGCTGACACCGCCTTACCAGTCCACAATGCCAGGCCCAGCACAGTCTGGTCTCGAGAATCCTTGAGACTGAAGTCCGGAATGATTTGCAAGTTGTTGGTGGCATGAAGAGCATTAGCTACATTTTTTTAAAAGGAAACAAACACCTGATTTCACCATCCCGTGGATCACATTGGAAGTACTCAAGAGAATGCAAGCTCAGTTTCAAACTGACTGACTGATCACTTCTATACAAAGAGAACTGACAGATCTTGTTGTGGGAAGTGGAAGCCAAGACGTTTGATAATTTGGAGCAAAGCTTATGAGGAAAATGAATGGTTGTAAAGGTTAAAACACTGGATGCTCACAAAAGGAAAACAGGCTCCACTATGGAAACACACATTAATTTCTTGATTACCAAAAAGGGATCAAAACAATAAACTGGCAACATTTTTTTTTAACACATAAGCCCTATCATCTTATACCTTCCGTGTGGGCAAAGGCGACGGCAAAGCCTACCTAGCACCCCACTTCCTTCCACAAGCACAGTGCTGAAGGATGCTGGCCTTAACAAGGGTGCTGCTGCTGCTGTTTAGTCATTAAGCTGTGTCTGACGCTTTTGTGACCCCATGGACTGTAGCCCAGCGGGCTCCTCTGTCCATGGGATTTCTCAGGCAAGAATACTGGAACGGGCTGCCATTTCCTTCTCCAGGGGATATTTTCGACCCAGGGATTGAACCCTTGTCTCCTACACTGACAGGTGGTTTCTTTACCACTGAGCCACCAGGGAAGCTCCAACAAGGATGCAGGCAAGAGTAAAACAAATTTCCAGGCAGGAAGGAAAAAAAACTGGAAAATGACATTCTGAGGGAAATCAGCCTCCCACATGGTAGGGGCTTCCTCGGCCCCCCCCTTTCTGGCTCCTCTCATGGTTCACTTGCCAGGGAGACTCAGAGGTGGATAAGAAGGCTGACCGACTTGTGGAAGACCGGTGGTAGCAGAGTTCTCCGAGACAGTGCTGACGAGGCAAAGCTCTGCTCGACCTGCCCCTGAAGTATGTCCTGGGAAAACCCCCCAAAATAAGAGAGGGGAAATACAAGGCTTTAACACCTTAACCACATAGGTAAAGTGGGCAGGCCCCATCCTACAAATGTACACAGGAAAAAACTGTAGCCAGAACCAGACTATACACTTATCTGATTGGAACTCAAAGGATTTTTCAACTAAGGAAACTCACTAATAGGAGAAATATCAACTGTGTCATTAACTACTCTAAACCACTGTTCGGAGGTCATGGTGATGGGCAGTAACCCCTATCTTTTGGGGACTAGGACCCCCAAATTCCTACCTTTTTGCTCCAGGATGACAGACACCACATCTGGATGATTATAGGCGATTGCCATGTGCAGGGGTGTCTGCAGGTAGACGCTGCTGTCCGCTGAGCTGGGCAGGGACGGAGCCTCCTTTGGGGACGGCAGGGACTCCTCCGTCTGCAGGTTTGGGTTGGCCCCCTGCTGCAGCAGCTCTGCAGTGAGGTTGGCCAGGCCATGCCGACAGGCTGTGTGAAGCGGGGTTTCTCCCTGAACGGAAGCAAGTGGCCCTGGTCAGAGCACTTCAGGCTGGGAGCCCCTTTGCAAAGGGATGGAGACAGCTTGTGCGCTGTGACACAGGTCCCCAACACCAGATGCAACCCCGGGCTCATCCTGTCACCAGTTCCATGACCTCTGTCCCACGTGCTCCTCAGGTCTCCTTTTCCTCCCCAACGCTGTGCCCTCGTCCTAGATTCCTCCAATGTCCTCCCAGCACCCTCCAAACGCCCTGGATCCTCATCTTCTGCATTTCCACCCTTCACTTTGCTTTTATAATTATTTTGCTAATTATAAAAATAATACATGATTGTTATTAAAGAACTACCACAGATGACCTTCAAGCATCACTAAAGTGGTGCTGTCTGTCGATCACCACACTAAGCCCTGCTTCTCTAACCAGTTCGTATCAACTTCATCTGGAACTCTGATGAAGAAAAGACCCCCTTCTCCCACTTTTTAAAAATTAGGAACATTTTTACACACAGGGACCTGATTCAATGTTCAAAAGGTACAAGAGAATACAGTGAAAAGAAGCTTCCCCTCATGCCTAGCCCCCATTACCCAGTTATCCTCCCCTGAAGGAAGCATCATTGCCAGTTTCATGTTTCTATCAGAAACATGACAAAATAGCCACAGGGAGACATAAACACACATATATATGTGTGAATACAAATGCATGTACACATGGAGACACACGTGGGATTTTTCACCCAAATAAATGGGAACAACCATCAACACCCTGCTCTGCACCAGCTCCTACTGAAGCTACACATACTCATTAAACAAGTCGAGTCCAAGAACTTTACCTACTAGGCTTGCTGTGAAAGATAGCAAGAACCCACCTTCATTTTCCTAAAAAAGGAAATTTTCTTTTCCCAAAGGGAACCACTTTGAACTCTGAGCTGGGTAATTTCTTTGTAATTTCCTCATTTCTAGCTAATGACTTTTATTTCTGCCTCTTGATTTTCTGGGTCCTGGATTTCCGGTAGGTCCTGCCACTGTGATCTCACTGGGTGACAAGGATTTGGCTCTTTCACTCCTTCCCTCCACCAGCCCCGGGAAGCTATTCTCCCCTCTCCCCATAGAGCCTCCTCCCCAGGGCGGCCTTCTGCTCCAGTCCTTCTCTGCCACACAGCCTCCCTGGATTCTCTTAGCTACCTCCATGGCTTCTACCAGGATCTACAAGCAGGAGATTCTCAAACCCAGCTCCCCAGTCCTGTGTGTACACCCAATTTTCCCACTGCTTACAGAATACTCCCACCTGAATGTTTAAAAAGGAGTTCAACAATCACAAAATGGAATTTGCCCTCCCCACAATTCCTCCCCTGGTCAGTTCCCTCCTTTTCTCAGGTCCAACAACTCTCCAACCCTTGCCTCTGAGAGCCACAGAGGTCCCATGGACCATCATGCTGCAGTTCCCCTTGAAACCCATCCTGTTGGGTCCAAATCCAGTATGAGAGGTTGGGATAAGCCATTGCTTGTCCAGATGATTCCCTCCTGGCTGCAGCCTGGACCTCCACTCTGCCAGCCAGAGGTGAGAAGGGAGACATTGTGGGCCTACAGGAGGATATTTTTAAAGTTTGAGAAGCAGCAGAGCATGTCTGTAGCTATTAGAAATGAACAGTGGGCAAAAGGGATGATACAGCAGAGAGACAGACAGAGGCAGAGACACATGATGGCAGAAACAAAACCAAGAAACCAGTCACTGGTGCCTACAGGCCATGCCATCATTCTAGCTGGAGAGCAGGCCAGCCGTGGGTTTAGGAGCAGACAGATCAGTAGGTTTAATGGTGAGGAAAAAACAGCACTGCCCTCTCCCCTGTGCTTCCATGACACGCTGGATTGTCTTCTACACCAAGCTTACTATTTACTGCCCTGCCCAGCACTGTTGAGAGAAGTGCAACTGCATGTCCTAGGGCCTGCATCCTAACACTGACTCCGTTACTGATAAAGTACCTAACTTATGGTTAAGCCACTTAACCTTCCAGAGTCTCAAGGCACTTGACTCTGAAATGAGGGATTTACAGATGGCGTTAATGTCTCTTCAATACATGACGCTTTTAGATCCACTGTGAAAACTGAAAGGGATAATAACCTTAAGGATCCTGGCACAAAGTAGTTATAAAATGACATGATCTTAAAGATGAGCACATCCTCCCTGTCTGAAAATTATAAAGTAAAAATAACTATCATGTAGTTTTCCAAAGTCCCAGATGCTACACTAATAAGCACTTAAATTTATTTCTTTTTATCTTATATTAAAGAAATAAATTTATTTCTTTTTATCATATATTAAAGTATGATCTTTAATCATACTTTCTGAAATCAATACTAAGCTCACTTTATAGATGAGAACTGAAGCTCAGAAAGGTTAAGCAATTTGCCTGAGACCACATACAGCAGAATGGGAAGTGGGACATCTGGTAAAGCCAGAAATGTCCGACTCATTTCACCACCCTTGAACCCTGCGACATCTGCCTTAGTGTGAGACACAGACTAAATAAACATGCACACAGGAAAACCTTCAGTTCAGTCGCTCAGTCGTGTCTGACTCTTTGTGACCCCATGGACTGCAGCACGCCAGGTTTCCCTGTACATCACCAACTCGCATCCATCCATTTTGCATTTGCTAAGGAAAACCTGAAAACCTTAGCAAATGCAAAATGTTATAAAAAATTAAGATGCTAACATGGTAGGTTTGTGTCCATATCTGCTGATCTATAGTAGCCGTGAAGTCCACAGTGTATTGTTTAGGGCCTGATGTCACAAATGCTTAAGAAGTGGTTGCTGAATGAATCAACCAACCGATATTTGAGGATAAAGGCATTTGATACACACTAGTTTTTTAACAATGTCCACGTATTCTTTTTTTTTTTTTTTAACTAACATTGAAGAGACTCTAATCTGTTTTTTTCTACCTATCAGCCACTGCCATTTCCTCCACAGACCAAAGCTGCTTTGCCTGACTGCCCTGTCACACTTACCCACTTGTTCCTGTGGTTGACATGGGCACCATTGGTTGCCAGGAAAAGAGCTGCTGCCTCATTTCCTGCTTCGGCTGCCCGCTGTAGTAAGCAATTTCCTAGGAGAAAATGGGCATATTCATTCTTCCATTTGCATAAAAATTAGGTCAAGTTCACACTGCAACACACCCTGCCTTCCCCACCACCTTTCACAACTGACACGCTCACACCGGAAGTGGGTACCACTTAAGTCCACACAGGTCCTCTCTGTGTGTGGACACACAGACTAAGATGAGCCCGAGTGGGGAGCAAACACTTGGTCTGGAAGTCAGAAGACAGGCACCCCTCCCTGGATTTGCCACTAGCCACCACCCAGGACCAGAGGGAAGTTACGTCTCCTTACTGGGGTTGGTAAGAACATTTCTCAGCAGCAGTGCTACTGACATCTTGGGCCAGCTAATTCTTCGCTGTGAGGAACTGTCCTGTACACGGTGTGATATTTAGAAGTATCCCTGGCTTCTGCCCACGAGGTACCAGTAGCCCCCTCAACGTTACTGTGACAATCAAAACTGCCAACAGGTGTTGCCAAATGTTGCTTGGGCAGTGAGGGCTGGGAAGTCATCTCTGAGAACCTCTGGGGTAGATAACCATTCTGAAGACACTGAGCTGAAGTTCTATCAGAAAATGCTCCTTAAACACTTGTCTTACTCCTATAGCTTTAAATATGTTTATTCTTGGCCTAGAAATGTTTTAGTTAGCACTGCTTTCTAAATAAAAATCTTAGAAAAAAATCAATTTTTTTTTCTTCATTTCCTCTTGAAAGTGGTTTTGGTCCCAGAACACTGCTGTCTCTTTCTATTAAAATTTATGCCCTTTTTGGATAAACACAAAGTCTCATGTTCCACAGCTATGTTATTTGAAAAGTCAAATTAAATACCAGTACTAAAAACAAGGTAAAGCAATGAGACAAAATACTGCTATGTTATTACACGTATGTGAAAACTGCAACAAGGAAAAAATAATATTCCTGAACTTCTATTAAAACTCAAAGTACATAATGTAAAGTTGACGGAACCGACAAGAAAAATTAACAATCTCGCCTGCAGCACAGTGTGGCCAAAAATAAATGAATTAAATAAAATTCTATGTGACAAATAAGAAGTATGAATAAAGTATGTTACAACAGTTGTCATAAAGGAAAGCCATTGTTTTAACTGCAAACTGAACTAACAGTTTTTTTTCACAAAGCACCATTTTTACTTGAAAGAATGAAAACTAATAAGCTATGGTTATTCAAAAATGAGTATCGGGTAGACATATTCTTAAAAAATGAGCCTCTTTAAGAAAAATAACTGGCAATATCCCTACCAAATAATAAAATATGATCTTACAAGTGAAAACTGAAACTTTGGAAAACTTCTGTCTGCCACTGTAAGTTTAACAGCTCCTCAATACTGAAAGACTTTTCTAATGAGGTTACTAGTGATATTAACAAATGTGATTCTAAATAAAGGATCATTTTGAACATCTCCATAAACCAGTAAAACAAGATTTTCCAAACCACTAAGGCATGATGTTACAAAATCATGTACAGAGGAAAGATCCATTCAAAGCACATACAGACCATGGATTTTAATATAAGAGTACAAAAAGTTCATTGATATAGCTTCAGATTCCATACTGCAACTAACTTTAAAAAAATTATCCTTTGATAAATTCTGTTTGCTATAGAATCAAACAAATACATCCACAATTATCTGAAAAGGCTCTTAAAATATGCCTTGCTTTTCCCACTACTAAGTGTGTGAGGGCATATTTTTTTTAACCAAACAATGTATCTCAGAAGACTGAATATAGTTGTAAATATTAGAAACCAGGTCACTCTTCCAAATAAATTTTGTTTTGAAAGTTATTTTTCATAAAAAATGTTATACGTTAACATAAAATGGTTTGTTATTATTATTAATACATCTTTTAAAAATTTCTCAGTTTAAATTTCTAATATGGTAAATACCAAAGATATCCACTTAAACAAAAGCCCTTTGGGACATAATTTTTAAGAGGGTAAAAAGAGTTCTGAGTCCATAAAGACTGAATCTCACTGCATTAAACAAACAGAAGTGGTTCAGCTTAACAGACTTAACTTAGAGTCTGGCTAAATTTTTTGAAGCCCAAGATCAGACTTTTTACTACAGTTAAAATTAAATACAAAATAATTCTCATAACAGCATTCCTCTTAGTTTCTAAAGTTTTGGTAAAAACACTGACAAGTATTTCATGGAGTCTCAGACTTGAGCATCAGCTCTTAGGGGTCTGCTGTGCTTTACCTGTTACTGTATCAGGTGCATTGGTGTTGCTGCCACGCTGAATGAGCCTGGCTGCAAAGCTGTTTTCATCAAATGAAGTCCCGTTCACCACAGGGAGGTCTTCGAAGGGGTTTACGGACTGGTCGGAAGACACAGTGATGTACTGCACGGCAAGCCACAGAGCTGTGCTGCCCTCGTGGTCTTTCAGCTCTAAATCTAACCTGAAATGAGGAAGCAATGTGAACACCAAGTACAATTGTCTTCAGACACTTTGTACTGTCAACAGTCTCATTCTGAAGGACATTTTTTTAATCTTACTTTTACTTCTTAAAATTGATAATGCTAAAAGACGTTTGAAGAGCATTATCTTTCACTCATGATCCCACCCTCCCAAAAGCTCTTTCATTGCTCCACGGCTGCCTACGTACTGTTTACACTGCAGCAGCTGATTGAACACGTATTCATTCCTGGCCATGATGGACAAGTGTAAGGGAGTCCTGTGGGATGAAGAAGAGGTGTCAATTCTGGACATGCCCAGTTCAGGACTATTCACAGCAGGAGGTGACTAGAATCCACAGGAAACTCCACATTTCTGCCACAGTCTTTTTCCACCCTGGCAAACAATTTTCCAAAGCCATGACCAAGAATCAAAGGACGAAAATGGATTTGATTATATGTTACAATTTATTCAGTAACCAAAAATACAAGAATCAATGAAAGGAAAAGATATAAACAATACTGACTCAATGAATGTGTATATACTCATGTTTTTAAAACAGTAGTTTCTGCCATAGGTACGCCTACTTTCACCTACCTATCCTCCACTATTTTGAAATTTTTTTTCTTACCATACTTCTCTGTTAGACTCAAACACATTCTGAGTGGCAACAGGCAGGAACTGACTAAAATGGCATTTTTCACTTGTCACTGCTTTTATTTAGCCCTCATGTGCCCTGAGGAAGACGCCACCACAGAGCACAGAGACTCCCAGGCTGGCATCTATCTCAGAGCTACAGACACCACAGTTTACTGTAGCTGGGAGGAAAAAAATTAAGGACAATCACCAGAAGGAGCCAAAAAAAAAAAAAAAAAAAGGATGCAATTATCTTGAGAAAGGAGATAATTATGACTTAATATTGAGTCCATGGAGAACCATCTTATATAAGTACCTTAGACATCACACAAATCCATTTTCCTATTCCAGCGACCTCACGGTTACTTTTTGAGAGGGTTTTTTGAAGGTATAAAATATTGAGCTGTTAGGATAAAAATTGGGTCCTCTATTGTTGGTGATTCAGGTGGCTTAACTCCCCTTCAATGCCTCCCACACTACTGTTCCAAAGACAAGCAACCCTTTCTCAGATTCTAATGTATAAGGAATCCTCAGTCGAATATTTCTGGGAAGGGACAAAAGGAACATGACACAACTGTCAGTGCAGAAAGGGAAGTGCTGCGGAAGATAGCAAATTAAGCACATAGAGGTGTCTGAAGTGGCATTTACAAGAAGGTGGAACTGGGACTAACACAACAATTAAACCTCACAGAAATAAAACTGATTACTTTGCGACAGTGTACTCTTCTTCAAAGTAATCAATTAGCTCTAAAAAAATGAGGGAAGAAAGTTCCCTGGAGGAGATGGACTGGATGACCACTCTGGAGATGCCGGACACTGCTTAAAAACCCAAGGACCGCAGTTACTCAAGAGGGAAACAGCTTCCCCATGTGCCTCCGGCCTTAGTTGTCTCTCATTTGCAAAACCAATCAATGTTTGTGACTTCAATAGAATTCAGAGTGAATAATGCTGGACTAAAAATCACGAAGTCTCCACCTGCCAGTAATGTGCCACCAGAAAATAACACTCTGGGAACCGTGCTCAGGGCAGCCAACCTGCGCCCCAGCTTACCGGCCCTTGCTGTCCTGCATGTTGGGGTTCGCTCCAGCCTGCAGCAGGGCCTCTGTGAGCTGTGCCATCTCGGACATCACAGCTGCTGAGTGTTTCTTTGAATTGTACGATGCAACGAGGTGCAATGGTGTCTCCTGGGCACCCAATGTGGCAGCATTGACCAAGGCCCCATTCTTAATGAGGAAAGTGGCAGCAAAGAGATCTCCTTGAAAGGAAACAAGAAATGGTCACAAATGACAACAGCCAGGGCGAGCTATCCTGACCAGTGCTTCCTCAAAGGTAACGGTCAGTAAGTGTAGACAGAGAAGATCTCATCATTGAGATCATGGACTTAAAACATACTCGAATTCAGCCACCGATTACCTGCTGTCATCTGTCCCAACTCCTCGCTTCAGTATCACATTACAATCTTAAGTATACCAGGCTTCTATCCTTCAAATTCTTCTTCTGGTCATCAGCTCTCATAAAGGGTTCCAAAGACTCCTCCCCAATACAATTTACCTCCCTCTCTCATTCCTGATCACAGTCTGTCCCTAAGTAGTACCTGCCTGCCTCTAATCTGTTATACTTGCAATAGCTCTTACAAAGGCATTTATGAGGAGTTTTCTTTTATATCTTGCAATATCATTTCATCTTCTTCGACCACACTTCTGTGCTCTGAACTTTGAGAAGGGGGTTAGGATTTCAGGAGTGGCCAAGCTCTCAAGTCTGTTATCTGGATTCCTGTGCTCATTTGCATCCGAATAATATGAGTTTTATCTAGTCTTCTTAAACATGGAATTTCAAAATCAATTGGAATTTCTCACCCACTCTATTCCTTCTTCCAAGGGACTACCTTGCTGCTGGAGTTGTGTAAGCTCTGGCAGTGAGGATGGCTAAGCTACCACAGGCCCCACGGATTCTGGTAGGACCAGGTCTGATTTCCTTTCTTTTTTTTATAGTTTTTTAAAAAAACTTTTTGGCTGTGCTGGGTCTTCATTACTCGTGGGCTTTTCTCCAGCTGTGGTGAGCACCGCTTGACTTCTCATTGCAGTGGCGTCTCTTGTTGTGAAGCATGGGCTCTAGGGCATGCAGGCTCCGGCGGTTTCAGCACAAGGGCTGAGCAGCTGCGGCTCCCAGGCTCTAGAGCGCAGGCTCAAAGTCGTGACGTGTGGGCTCAGCTGCTCTGCAGCACACAGGATCTTTCCGGACTGGGATCAAACCCGTGTCTCCTACAACAGCAGGTGGATTCTTTACCCCGGAGCCACCAGGGAAACCCTGATTTATTTTTGTATCCATCCACTGTCTCATACGTAACAGACATAAGGTAAATGTTTGGGAGGAAAATGGATTAACAGGTTGAGGCTATAAAGTTCCACGTTAACCGAATGGCTCCAATTCCAATCAGTTATGATCTCGAGTAACCGAAGAGTTCTCTAACCAGCCAATCCTGAAATATTTTCATTCTTCTGTCCCTGATTCTTTTCTTGGGGAGGGCAGGGGAAAATACAATCTTTATCAGAATTGTGTGCAAAGGACCAAATCTTAGATTTCTTTACAAAAAAATGTCGGTGGAGCTCTGAAAGCAACAGGTAACATATATATCTGGGGACTAGGCTGGGTCACACTTTGCTGTCCATATGCATATGGACATATTGGGGTTTTCATTTGTAGTATGGACAAAGCCCACAGAGATTCAGTCTAGGAGAGAATATATAAAAACTATACATCAGCAACAGAATAAGATATCTTAGAGAAAGCCACCTACATTCTGGAAGTGGAAAGAAAATTTAGAATTATGAGGACAGAGAGCCTTAAAATGACAAGCCTGATATATAATGTACTGGAGGAGAGGTAAAATATGGTTTCATTACCTTTAAGTTTGGCATATATTCCAAACTAAACAGTTAACAGACAGTAAAGCTAAAGTAAGATGTGTCAGTGAGACACTTATAATACACTATACACACAGAAGAATAACTGGGGCAAGACTGCATATAGAAACAAGGGTACAGCATCAATGGCTGGATTCAGGTGGATGGCATAATAAATTCTTTTATATATCTTAAGCCCTTTTAAAAAGAATCATAGTTTTTAGATTAGATTTACTCTATTAATAAGAGCCAAAGTTTTTTTTTTTAAGTTTATACATATATCAAAGTGAAATCATTCAGTCGTGTCCAGCTCTTTGCGACCCCATGAACTATAGCCTACCAGGCTTCTCCATCCATGGTATTTTCCAGGCAAGAGTACCAGAGTGGGTTTCCATTTCCTGCTCCAGGGGATCTTCCTGACCCAGCGATCGAAGCTGGGTCTCCCACATTGCTGGCAGATGCTCTACCCTGAGCCACCAGAGAAGCCCTTATACATATATACATACATACAATATATGCACCCCACACAAAGAATTATTTAGGAATTATTGGAAACTGAAAATTGACACTGTTTTGCACTAACAGAAAGTCAGCCCATGGATATAAAATCAAGAGGAAATAGACAACTGACATCAAAAAAGCAGAACAAAGGAAGGGAACAGAAAATGCCCAAAGCACCATTTATAAAGTTTTTTGACAGTAAGAAAACCTCTAATAGATTTTAGAACAGTTTCCTTCAGAAAATCGTTATGAAAAAAATTGCTTGGTGCTTAACAGTTCTGGTTACTTCATCACTTCACTCCTCAACACTGCCAAGGAAATTAGGCATTACTATAATGACTTGTCCATATAAAAGTATTCCTAACAATGCAGTTAATGTTTTTAAAAAAATCCACACACAATTTTTTATTTCAATGAAGCTCTCTAACTGAAGTTTCATTCAGGAACCAGGCAGTAACTTTCATTAAATTAAATAATTAAATTTCATAAATTAAATAAATCCAGTGGCTTAAAGCAATACAAATTTATTATCTTGCAGTTTTATAGGTTGAAAGTCTGGTATAGACACACCCCATCTAAAAGTTTTCTGCTGTCAAAAACTTTATAAATAGTGCTTTGGGCATTTTCTGTTCCCTCCCTTTGTTCTGCTTTTTTGATGTCAGTTGTCTTGTTTCTGTGTAATTAAAACTAAAAGCTGCATCTCGTGCTGCTCCAATTTGTAGGATCATCTACAAACCGATACGAGCAATTAGACAGGAGCACGCTGCTTAAGAGGCCCACTGATGATGCCAATGATCAAGGAAAATAAGCACAAGAAGAATGCTTTTAAAGAGCAAGGATGTGAGACTTCCCCAGCGATTCAGTGGTTAAGACTTGGGCTTTCACTGCTGTGGACCCGGATTTGAACCCTGATCTGGGAACTAAGGTCCCACAACCTGTGTGGTATGGTCAAAAAAAAAGAGAGAACAGGGCAAGTATTCATCTTCTTGCCCAGATCCAGCTAATCAGAGGAGATAGTGTCTCTCTGGTCACATGAACATCCCCTGTAGGCTCACTCACAGACTCATTTTTTCTTTTTTATAACAATCTCCCTCTTTTACAGAAACATTCTTGACAGAAACTGACTGGTACACTTGGTTATTAGGATGATCATTGACTCCTCTGGTGAGAGATGTGCCCACAACCAGACCAAAATCTCATGTGTTAAAGAGCTTCACTTATATGATAATCAACTTAAAGTAAGGTTAACAGTCAAATTTTAAGTATATTACTCAATTCAACCATATGGGCAGGTCAACAGTCCGACAGCTCAAGCTGAAGAAGGAAAAGTGAAAAAAGATCCCTACAGAAAATGAAGTTGGTTATGGCATTTCACTCAGGGCAAGGGAAGAGCCTACCCCATGGCAGTCACTGGGTTGAGTGTGTTATTGTCTTGCAGTCTCCCAACAACCAGTAAAGCAAAATAATTCTCACTTTACAGGTGAGGAAAAGGAGACTCAGGAATGGTTATGTGATTTGTCCAAGACCACAGAATAAGTGGACAAGCCAGGATTCAGACTGTGGTACCTCAGGCTCCAACACCAGTGCTCTGTCCTCCACACCATGCCACGCTCTGCCAACTGAGCAACAGTCAAGCTTATTATGCCCACACTGCAATCCCCATGCTTGCAAACAACTAATAAATTCAGAGAGGAAGACTGAATCATCTGAAAATAAGCATCAAAAATGCATCACCAATTCTTGGCAATTCTCGTAACCAAGCAATCATCAAAATATTTAATAACTCATCAAAGATGTTTTTTCATCACATATAAGAATTTAAGTCCCTAAGAGGAAATTCTGATACATGATTCTGAGATTGTTTTTTTTAGTAACAAGTGTATCTGTTTCCAAAATAAACATCTCAGACACTGAACAGTATGGGAAAGAATAGTTCCCAATGCAGTGGAAACTTTTCCCACTAAACACACACTCAGTGCTAAGCACCCAGTGGCTTTGTGCAGTGCGGAGGGATGCTTGGGAAAAAGGCATCTGCTCTTTTTTTTTTTTTTTTAGGCATCTGCTCTTGACACTCACATACTCTAAGGATTTCCTTCTCAATGATGAACAAAATTTTCCTCTTCATCAGCCAGCACGTTTAACACTCTTAACACATGACTTAGAGGGAGATTTATATTGAAACTTTTGCCCAAAAAGGGCAAAGTCACAGCTGCAACAGGACCATATTTTAAGTAATTACACCCTACCAGCTAGGAGCAACTTGTGAATGGCAAAAGTGTGGCAGAGGTAATAATAGAATAATAATGCACAACTGGAAAGTTAAATACACATTATTAAGGTGTGGAGAAACCAGTGTGTCCTGTTTTTGATGTCCACATGTAAACAAAATGTGGCCATGGCCAAGTACTTCAGTCAAGTCATCCATCCCTCTACAAAATGAAGGCTCTGAGTCATCTGAAACCTTCCAGGCCATATTTGAACTCTACCCCTACATGGCTTCCCACTCTGTCAAAAAAAAGGACTACTGCAGGGGCTTCCCTGGCAGTCCAGTGGTTAAGACTCTGCGCTGCCAATTCAAGGGATGTGAGTTCGATCCCTGGTTGGGGAACTAAGATTCCACATGCTGTGTAGCAGGGCCAACAAAAAAAGACTACTGCAAAGTAGAGTCAGGCTGGATCCATTTGGGACTTAAGAATTAAGGCCATGGGAAAAACAAAAGACTAGTACTTTTCCCCCTTTAATTTAATAAGATGAAAATGCTTTGATTGTAATTCTGCCACTTAAATAACTTCCCACTATTAGTGACCATGTACTCAAATAGAGCTACAATTTCAAATAACTCTCCTAGAACAAAATGAAATGTTACCACTTTGCCATGCTATATGAGAAATCCAGTTTGTAAAAGTGAAAATGCTGAATCCCAAAATAGGTTTTAATATTTGTGTTCCTGGAATCTTCCTTCTCTTGCAGTAACCGATACCAGTAAAGTCTTCCTGGCACAATTTCTGAAGAAAGTAATGTACTGGATGAGCAAGTAACACATTGACTGCTTACAAGTAAAAGGTGCTTTTTTTCTCTAAGTACCATCTCTCTAACCTTCTTCTGGGGGTCCTGATGACACCCTGAAGAGCCTAACCAATAAGGCATGAGGCAAAAGCTCTTCAGTCTCTCCTGTGACCCACTGATCACAAATTCTAAGTTTGCTACCTGCCAAGTACAGACTCAAGAAGACTTTGAGAGTCTATGGAATAGCGTCAGAGCGTCTTTGAAAGTTACCTGGATAAAAGTAAAACTGCCCGCAGAGAAAAATATAAAATACATTTCTTCCTACCTCTTTGGATTCCTTTATGTAACAAGCTCCAGCCGTTCTTGTCCACCATGTCCACGTCAGCTTTGTGATTAACCAGCGTGGTGGCGATACTCTCCAGCCGTCGGGAAAGGGCTAGATCTAATGCAAGGTCTCCGTTATGATCCAACTCATTCAGTTTCCCAGGGAGCTGCAGAGAGAAATTCCTACATCAGCACACAGTCAGTAGAGAAGACAACTGACTCTCGGACCCTGACTTTTCAATATCATCTCATACAATATCAGATTTTAGTCCTATAACTTACTATAGCTTACTCTCCAAATTCAACTGAATTCACAAACTTCTCTCGGGCCTCCTCAGGGCGCATGCTTTTCCGGGAGCCCAGGACTACCAGGGATCACAGAGCAGGTGCAAACACCATGGAAGATGACACGAGAGGGACATGCAGACGATGCTGCGGGAACACAAGTGCCAGGATGGAGGGTCAGACAGCCTGATGGGACCCAGCTCACATCTTCATCAAAGACTGTGGCTTAACTACCTAATTCCTCCTGGCAGTTTAAGGTCTCCCCCTACTCTGGACACCCAGGAGAAAACACACGACACAGCCAGCTGTCTAGAGCAGCTCCATTTCCCCTAAGGCAATGCAGTGAGCAGAAGGACCGTTCCCAAATACGTCCATGTCCTAATCCCTAGAACCCATGACTATGTCGCCTCACATAATGAAAGGCCCTCTGCAGATGTGATTAAGGTTAACAACCCTGTAATGGGGAGAGGACCCTGAACCTGCAAGGAGGGCCCAATCTATCTACTCACGTGAGTCCTTAGTAAAGAAAGAGGGAAGCAGAAGAGTAGATCAGACAGACGTGACATGAGAAAGACTGGATCCGACACGTAGGCTTTCAAGAGGGAGGAAAGGGGCCATGGGTGAAGGAATGTGCTGGCCACTAGAAGCTGAGAATGGCCCTGACTCAGCTCACAGCCAGGAAAAAAATGTGGATGCTGGTCCTATAGTCACCAGAAACTGAATTCTGCCAACACCCATGCAAGCAGGCTTCCCTATAGCCACCAGAAAGGAACACAGCCTGCCAACAACTGGACTTCCAACCTATAAAACCACAAGATAATAAATTTGCATTGTTTTAAGCCACTGGGTTTGTGGTAAATTTTCAAAAAATATTTATTTATTCATTTGGCTGCTCTGTGTCTTAGTTGTGGTACACAGGATCTTCAGTCGCAACACACAGACACTTAATTTGGCATGTGGGATCTACTTCCCTGAGCAGAGATCGAACCCAGGCCCCCTGCATTGGGAGCACAGTCTTAAATCACTTGGCCACCAGGGAAATTCCGGCTTGTGGTAATTTCTTTTGTGTGTGTGTGTGTGTTTATTTATTTATTTTTGTGGTAATTTCTAACAGTGGCAAAAGAAAAACTAAAACAGGCATTAATTAGTACCTGAAAGTTAAATACTGCTGAAATGACTACCTAAAAATGTGGAAGTGTCTTTGGAAGTGGGTGATGGGCAGAGGCTGGAAGAATATTATGAAGTATGAGGGGAAAAGCTCAGGTGGCTTCGAACAAACCACTAGTAGAAACATGTACATTAAAGACCATGAATGGCTCAGAGGAAGTGAGGAGCATTACAGAGAAGAACAAGTGAAGTGCAGTTTGGGAAAAAGGCAGAGTACCTGTGAGTCCATTTCAATCAGATAAAGAAAGACCACGTCTTCTCTCTCTACTTTGATAGCTTTATGTAATGGGTACTCGGTCTTGGACTTGATCATTTTGTATAACAACTGAGCACTCATGCTGCTGAAGTCCTCCTTCCGTAAGTCATCCTGCAGATAAAAAAGACAGTGAAAAGCAGAACTGATTCAACATATCAACAATAATGACAATGCACGTTTCTTAGGAAGCACTTGGAAAGTGTCTGGCGCAACTTAAACATTTCCCAGCTCATTGAATTCTCACAAAAACCCTGAGGTAGGTACTCTTATTATCCTCATTCACAGATGATGAAAGTAAAGCAAAAAGAGGCTGATTAACTTGCCCAGGTTCACACAGAGAGTGAACAGCTGAGTGGGGATCTGGAGCCAAGAGCCCACCCCATTCCCCGTCCCCGCCCCTCTCCTGAGCATGGATTCTTCACCACAGCACCGCTCAGCCTCCGGGTAGGATGGTGCAGCACGAGCGACACTGACAGCCCACAGGACACAGCCACAGGAGCCCTCCACGTGAGAACAGACTCCTCCCCCGCCAGCCCCACAAAGACGACAACAGAATTAATCAGAACTTCCACAAACAATTCATCGGTTTCTACTGTTGCAGATCTCTAAACCTCTGCCTATTTTAGCAGAAAGGTTCCTGTTTCAATTCTTCAAAATCCAGTTAAGACACGTTTTCTTATAGTGTTGCTGAATACCAAACAATCTGCAAAAACTAGGTTATAAAACAGCACTAGCCATGATTTTCTTAAAAAATGCAAAACAGACAACCAAGAACTACAAAACCTCTTCTTTATGATGAAAGCTGCCTAAGGGAGCAGATCTAATTTAACAATGCCCTCCAGACACCAAGGAGGCAGAGAAAGCCCAGAGGGGGCACTGCTGAGCACACAGGCCTGCTGGCCCCACAGAAGCACCTGCCTGTGAGGCGCGGCCACGGCTCTTGCAGATGGAGGACAAGGTAGGTGTGTGTCCCTTCGTTCCAAGCCTGCTTCTTGGCCTGGGCTATCTTCTGCCCCTCGACTCCGACATCAGAACTAGGAGGCCTTTAGAGCCAAAAAGAATCTCACAGATCATCTAACACAACTACTTAGCCTTCAATTTTGTTATAAGAGGAAACAAGGGGCCAGAGAGGTAACTTTCTGTGGAACCAGGTCCCACACCCTCGTCTCCTGACTTCCAGCAAAGGTGCTTTTTTCCCCACACTCCTCAGCCTCACACTTACCCAGTGACTTGCAATAATTTCTGCACAGTAGTTCATCAATGTGCTGGCATTCAGCTCCTCCGCAGTCTGATAGAAGCGAATACAGTTCCTGACGTTCACCAGAGACATCACACCCTTCTCACATCTACAAGAGAGTATCAGTGATCAACAGGATTGTTAGGATCAATATATTCATAAATGAACAAACCAAAGCAACAATCTGTGTACTGGCTGGCTATGTCCAATAACACTAAAGTGTAAGGTTTAAGCAATACAGCTATGAGTAAACTGCAGCTGAGTTACTCTAAGTACCAGAATTTCATTATTGTATTGCTCATTCTGGTCAGAATCCAAATAATCTTTAAATAAACATGTTAAGCATAACACCCCAACTGCCTTCAAAGTAACCACATGAAACTCACTGATCATACACACAGGCGATTGTAATGTCAAACATGAAATGCATCAAATTCAGTCCTTCGATATTTGATTGTATGGGACACACTTGCAGTTCCCACTAGCACAACTCTATCATGCCACAAGTGTGGCTTAGAAATAGCTTCAAATATGAGGCTCCATGCCTCAAGAATACCTCCTTAAAAGTCTTACCATATGGTGCTCTATATGGTATGTGAATCAAAACTCAATAAAGCTGACTTTAGAAAGCCCACTTTAAAAATCTATCATGTATAGAAATGACTGAGTTAAGAGACAAACTACAGAACACCAAGATAGAGAAGAATTGGCTACAACAGTGTCCCACAGTGCCTGGTAACAGCAACAATAACAATATTCTGAGAATCATTAACAAGAGAGCCCCAACTAGGTCAGGGAAGACAGGGCTGCACACAGGTCTCTGGTAGCACAAAGCAGGCACACATCCTAGACTACAAGATGCAGAACAGGGAAGCCCCAAGTTTCCACTACCCTAGGATTTCCAGAAACCTTGGTGAGCCTCCACAGCACCAGGCCTGGGAGGAAGGAGGCGGCGACACAGTCCTCCCACCTCCCTTGCCTGCACATCTCCCTACAAGTCAAGTTCATCTCCAAGGGCATCCAAGAGGCCTCACATGGTCTCAGGGAATACCCCGATACCCCACTGCTGCTTCTGTCCCACAGTGCCCACAAAAACCAAGTTCTCATCACGAGGGAAGGTAGTGACAGACACAAAGTGAATCATCAGATCAGTAAGAAAGACCAACGCTGAAGGGCCCAACTACACGGGCTCCCTGTGCCCCCCCCCCCCCCTCCTCCTTGGTGAAAAAAGGATAATGCTCTCTTTCAGAGGTCCAAAGGATCTATGAGTGTTTTTTAAGATAAAGGAAAACCATGTACAATTTGCAGTCTGAGGTACATAGTAGGTATGCTCGCTTACTAGTTGAGGTCTTCCTCAAGGAAGATGCATAATTTAATAACTAATACAAAAGAGATTCAGTCCTACTGTAAATAAGAATAACTGGCTAACAGATAACTACCAACTTTAACAGGTGAGGTGTGAATACCAAGAGGACAGGGGGAGACGGGGGAAGAAAGGAGGAAAGTCATGAGAAAGACCTGAGGAGGAGGAGGAACAAATTTTCTAAACCTCACAAATGAGACTTCAGCCAGGAACAAGAATAATCTTGCAGCCATTTCTTCACCTAGCAGTAAATGAACACACTCATTTAATTCCAAGACCTGTGCTTATGGGCTGTTTTTAAGCAACATAGCTTGGTGTAAAGAAGCACCTCCCCCAGGGCACTTTTAAATCAAATTGGCACCATATCTAAGTAAGTCACTACAATAATGAGTAAGGATGCTCTACTTCTGAGCCTTTGCTGTCTACACACTAGTCTCCCCAAACTCTAGCATGCTGGCTGCAATGTCTGGTGAAGTCATTCTGACCCTGGCTACAAAATCAGAGCATTCCAGGAGAAATGTCCTCTTTTCGGATATGTGAAACTTTTATCACCTTTACACTGACAAATATCCTAATGTCCTAAAACACGGTGTGATCTCAGGGAGTACCAACTCATCTGCAGAGCACTTCATAAAGCATTTTTATAGACAAATGCTGAGTGTGAAAATGCCATTCTCTTCCTTACTACCACCAAGAGACACTGCACCAAGATACTCGATGCTTCATGAGGACAGATGTTTTGTTACAACTGGCAGTCACTTCATTTTCACTAAACTCTGGGATCCCCAGAGTGCCATTCACAATGTAGACAGCCTATAAATAGTCACTGGCATGACTTAAACAACTGAAGAACATGTAATCATATTTAAAAATTCAGATTTTCAGTTCACATCTTCTCTTTGAAAAGCAGCAAGGCACACTGACTTTTCTCTAAAGGGATGTTTGTTGCTGTTAATACATGTTTTTCATTTTAGAGTATAAAAAAATACAGATGCACAAAACGGTACACCTAATTTTTAAAGTCAAGAGTATGCTTAAGCGTCCCACAAACTCCTGTCCAGTTTTATGTCATCTGTGCCTCTGAATATAAGGCAGAAAAATTACTGAAGAGATAAACAAAAAAAGGTTAATGGTGGTTAAATCACAGATGATTTACTTTTGTTATTTGTATAATTCTATACTTCTTAAATACCACATACTGAACATGTAGCTAATAATCAGGAAAAAAAATTATTTAAACTGTCAGTTGTTAGCATACACTATTAATTATCTCTTTTTTTAAGAGTATTTTCCTGATAATGCTGACACCCAAAATTTCCTTTTCCCTTTTCATCAACCTGGTGACCGCATTCCCAAACCAAGATCCCTACATGATAAACATCAGCAACACCTGCTTCACATTTAACTGCACACATCCATGTGTCAGAGCCCTTTCACTTACTATTTCAAATGTGTAATTCCTTCTGCAAACAGCAGTGGGCACTCTGTGATCGTTCAAAAGCCGACATTTGACTCCACGGCTGGGTCTCTTCCATCCCAGCCCTTAACAAAGCCTTGACAGATAAACTTAATACCCACATGCAATAATAAAACACTGAGCATCTGGTAATGTTGATAGTTATGAAGCCTAATCAGTTAATAAACAATAAACACTTAAATTAAAGAATCCATTACACAGATCACAGCTATCTAAACTACGTTAACTACAGGGCACTTAAAGCAATTCAATTCATAAGCAAGAAAATCAATCTGAGAAAGCTCAGGAAATGTGTGTGGGGGGAGGGGTAGATATCAATCACATTCAGTCTAATTAAAATCACGCTCTGATTTCACTCTGAGATGATTCAAAAACTCACCCAAAGAAAGATCTTTACTGTAAAGCTATCCTGGCTAACCTAATACTATATGTGCCTACAAATCCTAGACCTGGTTTGGTTTTTAGGTTATTGAATTTAGGTATTAATATGGCCTCACGCCCACATCAATCACAGATAATCAGGAGTAAGCTGTGTACTGACTCATGTGGGGCACAGTGGGCCATCTCAGGGGAAACAGCCAGCCTCAATGCAAACAGAACAAGCGGCTCTAGGTAGCCAGGTCTCTCTTGACTCTGATGCTGTGGCTATTTAGTTGCTATGTCATGTCCGACTCTATGCAACCCCATGGACTGTAGCCCTCCAGGCTCCTCTGCTCATGGATTTCCCAGGCAAGAGTACTGGAGTGGCTTGTCATTTCCTTCTCCAGGGGATCTTCCAGACCCCAGGATCAAACCTGAGTCTCCTGCTTGGCAGGTGGATTCTTTACCACTGAACCACGAGGGAAGCCCTCTTGACGCTGAGGGCAACACAACAGATGGAATGCTCTCTCTCCACCCACCCAAGAGAAACGCCATTCCTTCACACACAGAGATCACAAAAGATCACTAAGTGATGTAAAAGCACTCCTTCTAACAAGCTGACTTGCAAGGGCTAAATCACCAACAAAAAATAAGAGTATTTTGTCTGCTATCACCTGGTAAACAGTGTGTTCTCACTGTGTTCTGTAGTTTATAAAGACCAAGTTGGGAGAGCAACAGAGAAAGTGCAATATAAAAAACATAGCAGGCTATCTCCTTGGAACCTAAAAAGCCATAACAAATGGAGAGTGAGATCTCAGAAACACTATGAAATTTATTGAGACAGACTCTCATGTACTAATTTAGTCCTTAATGTGTTTGTAACAAGAGAATGTGACCTTCTTCCAAGGTCAGAAGAACTTCTTCCAAGCAGACAGAAAGTAGAAGTGAAAGGAAATGAAATAGGAGGGTGAGGGGTTGGACACTGGATTATATTATTTCACACTCGGTTCATCAGTTCACACATCTATGTAGTTACAGGTGACAAATCAGTGAAAGACGAGGGAAGACCCAAAAGCTTCGGTAAAATTTAGCTTACAAGACAACACAAAGCAAGGGAGACAAAATTTTCTCTCCACTATGGCCTTTAAAAGAACACCTTGCAAAAGTTATTTACATTAGCAGAAGCAGCTGTTTTCCCAGAGCTTGGCATAATTAAAGCTCAGCCACCACCATCTGAGGTGCTTGACTGTATCTGCTGTGACTTGCCTCTCCCTAAGGAGCTGTAGCTGAAACCGATTAGCTAGTTTCATCAGCTCAGTCAGGAACACATCGTCTTCTCTGAACTCCAACTCATCCGTATAGATCCAGCGAAGCATTGTCATTGTCACCTCAGGGTTAGCATCTGGTTAAAGAAAGCAAGCATAAAAACTTTGAAGACAAAGCACAGATGACATAGTCAAGCCCTCCCAAGGACCCCTAAAAGCTAAAGCTACAAAGAAAATTGTGGTAGACCCAGCTCAAAGAAATATCACACAGCCATTAAAAAGGGTAATTAAGCATTCTGGGTACCATCTGACCCCAGGAAAGTGTTAACTAGTTTTGCAAGGGGCAGTACATGGGGGAGATGAACCTATTAAAGATGTAAGTCAAGGGATTTCCCTGGTGGTCCAGTGGTTATGAATCTGCCTTGCAATGCAGGGGTTGCAGGTTTGATCCCTTGTTGGGGAACTAAGATCCCGCATGCCACTGAGTAACTAAGCCTGAGTGCCACGACTACTGAGCCTTTCATGCCACAACTAGAGAGTCCAAGTGCTGCAATTAAAACCTGACACAGACAAATAAATGAATATTAAAAAAATAATAATAAAGATGTAAGTCAAATAAGCTGGAGGAAAATATTTTAAATATATGACAAAAAGTTTACATTCTTTTTTTGGGCATCTGTACCACGTCTGTACAGGCAAACCTTTCACTTCACTGCACTTTGCAGGTATTGTGTTTTTTCTCCACAAATTGAAGGGTTATAGCAACCCCATGTTACAAAATGATGGTTAGAAATTTTTAGCCACTAAGTACTTTTAAATTAAGGTATGTACATTGTTTTTTCTAGACATAATGCTAATAGACACTTAATAGGCTACAATATAGTGTAAACATAACATTCATATGTACTGGGAAAACAAAAAATTCACATGACACAGTATTAGGAGTTTTGCTCTTTGTGGCTGTGAACTGGAATTGAACCCACAATCTCTCTAAGATCTGTCTGTATACCACGACTCGGTTCATTCGCCCTTATCTTGGGAAGATAACTTATTCCTAACATTGAGGGCATCACAACACCACCACCGTTGAACATCTTCTCTGTGGTGGTTTCTTTACTTTTATTGTAAAATTTGGCTTGGTTTCCTTTAATAACCCTACCCAAATTGTCCAAACCAACAAACCTGTATGATGAATAAACCCACATATGAATAGATTTTAAAAACAGTTTCTAAAAAATTGATATCAACAGAGATGCCCTGGAACCCTCAAAATTTCAAATAAAGATTTGAATAAAAATCTTCAAATAAGATTCAAGTGATCACCAAACTTTCCCACTCCTGCCTTGATTCATCCCTTAATCTCCAAACAATAAACTGAGAAGTGATCCACTCTGAGTCTCATATTAAGCAGTGGGCAGAGAACAATGAACCAGAAGGAAGTTAGGTGCTTCTGTATCAGTCAGTTCAGTCGCTCAGTCGTGTCTGACTCTGTGACTCTATGTGTGACCCATGAACTGCAGCACGCCAGGCCTCGCTGTCCATCACCAACTCCCAGAGCTTACTCAAATTCATGTCCATTGAGTCAGTGATGCCATCCAACCATTTCATCCTCTGTCGTTCCCTTCTTCTCCTGCCTTCAATCTTCCCCAGCATCAGGGTCTTTTCCAATTAGTCAGTTCTTCCCATCAGGTGGCCAAAGTATTGGAGCTTCAGCTTCAGCATCGGTCCTTCCAATGAATATTCAGGACCGATTTCCTTGAGGATGGACTGGTTGGATCTCCTTGCAGTCCAAGGAACTCTCAAGAGTCTTCTCCAACAACACAGTTCAAAAGAATCAGTTCTTCAGTGCTCAGCTTTCTTCATAGTCCAACTCTCATATTGATACATGACTACTGGAAAAACCATAGCCTTGACTAGACGAACCTTTGTTGGCAAAGTAATGTCTCTGCTTTTTAATATGCTGCCTAGGTTGTTCATAGCTTTCCTTCCAAGGAGCAAGTGTCTTTTAATTTCATGGCTGCAGTCACCATCTGCAGTGATGTTGGAGCCCAAGAAAATAAAGTCTGTCACTGTTTTCATTGTTTCCCCATCTATTTACCATGAAATAATAGGACGAGATGCCATGATCCTAGTTTTCTGAATGTTGAGATTTAAGCCAACTTTTTCACTCTCCTCTTTCACTTTCATCAAGAGGCTCTTTAGTTCTTCACTTTCTGCCATAAGGGTGGTGTCATCTGCGTATCTGATGTAATTGATATTCCTCCCAGCAATCTTGATTCCAGCTTGTGCTTCACCCAGCCCAGCATTTCGTATGATGTATTCTGCATATAAGTTAAACAAGCAGGGTGACAATTTGCAGCGTTGACATACTCCTTTCCCAATTTGGAACCAGTCTGTTGTTCCATGTCCAGTTCTAATTGTTGCTTCTTGATCTGCATACAGATTTCTCAGGAGACAGGTCAGATGGTCTGGTATTCCCATCTCTTGAAGAATTTTCCACAGTTTGTTGTGAGCCACACAGTCAAAGGCTTTGGCATAGTCAATAAAACAAAAGTAAATGTTTTTCTGGAACTCTCTTGCTTTTTCGATGATCCAATGGATGTTGGCAATTAAATCTCTGGTTCCTCTGCCTCTTCTAAATCCAGGTTGAACATCTGGAAATTCATGGTTCACATACTGTTGAAGCCTGGCTTGGAGAATTTTGAGCATTACTTTGCTAGCATGTAAGACGAGTCCAACTGTGCGGTAGTTTGAACACTCTTTGGCATTGCTTCCTTTGGGATTGGAATGAAAACTGACCTTTTCCAGTCTTGTGGCCACTGCTGAGTTTTCCAAATTTGCTGGCATATTGAGTGCAGCACTTTCACAGCATTATCTTTTAGGATTTGAAATAGCTCAACTGGAATTCCATCACCTCCACTAGCTTTGTTCGTAGTGATGCTTCCTCAGGCCCACTTGACTTTGCATTCTAGGATGTCTGGCTCTAGGTGAGTGATCACACCATCGTGGTTATGTGGGTCATGAGGATATTTTTTGTATAGTTCTTCTGTGTATTCTTGCCACCTCTTCTTTTTTTTTTTTTTTAACATTCAGCCTTTTATTATGACTTATGTACTGTTGCCAGGTAATGTTTTCATTTTTTTTTCCCCTTTTATTTTTTTTTCCATTTATTTTTATTAGTTGGAGGCTAATTACTTTATATCATTGCAGTGGTTTCTGTCATACATTGAAATGAATTAGCCATGGATTTACATGTATTCCCCATCCCGGTCCCCCCTCCCACCTCCCTCTCCACCCGATCCCTCTGGGTCTTCCCAGTGCACCAGGCCCGAGCACTTGTCTCATGCATCCAACCTGGGCTGGTGATCTGTTTCACCCTAGATAATATACATGTTTCGATGCTGTTCTCTTGAAACATCCCACCCTTGCCTTCTCCCACAGAGTCCACAAGTCTGTTCTATACATAGGAGTCTCTTTTTCTGTTTTGCATATAGGGTTATTGTTACCATCTTTCTAAATTCCATATATATGTGTTAGTATACTGTAATGGTCTTTATCTTTCTGGCTTACTTCACTCTGTATAATGGGCTCCAGTTTCATCCATCTCACTAGAACTGGTTCAAATGAATTCTTTTTAATGGCTGAGTAGTATTCCATGGTGTATATGTACCAGAGCTTCCTCATCCATTCGTCTGCTGATGGGCATCTAGGTTGCTTCCATGTCCTTGGCTATTATCAACAGTGCTGCAATGAACATTGGGGTGCACGTGTCTCTTTCAGATCTGGTTTCCTCGGTGTGTATGCCCAGAAGTGGGGTTGCTGGGTCATATGGCAGTTCTATTTCCAGCTTTTTAAGAAATCTCCACACTGTTTTCCATAGTGGCTGTACTAACTTGCATTCCCACCAACAGTGTAAGAGGGTTCCCTTTTCTCCACACCCTCTCCAGCATTTATTGCTTGTAGACTTTTGGATAGCAGCCATCCTGACTGGCGTGTAATGGTACCTCATTGTGGTTTTGATTTGCATTTCTCTGATAATGAGTGATGTTGAGCATCTTTTCATGTGTTTTTGTGCCATCTGTATGTCTTCCTTGGAGAAATGTCTGTTTAGTTCTTTGGCCCATTTTTTGATTGGGTCATTTATTTTTCTGGAGTTGAGCTGGAGGAGTTGCTTGTATATTTTTGAGATTAATCCTTTGTCTGTTGCTCCGTTTGCTATTATTTTCTCCCAATCTGAGGGCTGTCTTTTCACCTTGCTTATACTTTCCTTTGTTGTGCAAAAGCTTTTAAGTTTCATTAGGTCCCATTTGTTTATTTTTGCTTTTGTTTCTAAAATTCTGGAATGTGGGTCATAGAGGATCCTGCTGTGATTTATGTTGGAGAGTGTTTTGCCTATGTTCTCCTCTAGGAGTTTTATAGTTTCTGGTCTTACATTTAGATCTTTAATCCATTTTGAGTTTATTTTTGTGTATGGTGTTAGAAAGTGTTCTAGTTTCATTTTTTACAGGTGGTTGACCAGTTTTCCCAGCACCACTTGTTAAAGAGGTTGTCTTTTTTCCATTGTATATCCTTGCCTCCTTTGTCGAAGATAAGGTGACCATAGGTTCGTGGATTTATCTCTGGGCTTTCTATTCTGTTCCATTGATCGATATTCCTGTCTTTGTGCCAGTACCATACTGTCTTGATGACTGTGGCTTTGTAGTATAGTCTGAAGTCAGGCAGGTTGATTCCTCCAGTTCCATTCTTCTTTCTCAAGGTTACTTTGGCTATTCGAGGTTTTTTGTATTTCCATACAAATTGTGAAATTGTTTGTTCTAGTTCTGTGAAAAATACCGTTGGTAGTTTGACAGGGATTGCATAGAATCTATAGATTGCTTTGGGTAGTATAGCCATTTTGACAATATTGATTCTTCCAATCCATGAACATGGTATATTTCTCCATCTGTTTGTGTCCTCTTTGATTTCTTTCATTAGTGTTTTATAGTGTTCTATGTATAGGTCTTTTGTTTCTTTAGGTAGATATACTCCTAAGTATTTTATTCTTTTTGTTGCAATGGTGAATGGTATCGTTTCCTTAATTTCTCTTTCTGTTTTCTCATTGTTAGTGTATAGGAATGCAAGAGATTTCTGTGTGTTA